GGTAGAAATGTTTCCACCAGCTGTACTTATTTGTGCGGTATCTGATTTTCTCACTATATTGCATTAAACATCCTGTGGATACAAAGTCTAAGAACTTTGCTGCTGTATACTGACTTTCGAAATTTGAAATGTTGATGATTAGAGGTCCCATCTGGGTGTTCAGACTACTTGCATGTAGGGAGAGTAGAAAGTGTGTTGCAAAGTCCTTCCCCCTTCAGTCAGTCGTCAGCCCTCCCCGAGTGAGGGCAACCGAAGCAAGAAACCTCTCACCACTTGTGGAGTAGAGCAATTTATGTTCTAGACTCTAAATTGTATGGAGTCTCTATGTGTAAAAGAAGAGAAGAAGGGTTTGGATTCGATATCCCGCTTTATCACTACCCTAAGGAGTCTCAAAGCGGCTAACAATCTCCTTTCCCTTCCTCCCCCACAACAAACACTCTGTGAGGTGAGTGGGGCTGAGAGACTTCAAAGAAGTGTGACTAGCCCAAGGTCACCCAGCAACTGCATGTGGAGGAGTGGGGATGCAAACCCGGGTTAACCAGATTATGAGTCCACTGCTCTTAACCACTACACCACACTTGGCTCTGCTTCATAAAATCACCCTCCAACTCACAGAGGGCTAAAAATGGACTGAAGGTGACACACTGGAGGGAGCAGAGCATTATTTGCACACATGCAAATAATTTGGACATCTAAATAAGGCAAAGGTGGCCAACCAATTAGGATTGTCTTTCTTCAGAACTTGGTGGAGCCAATCAGATTTCAGAACTCTCTGGGGATCTTTTCATTATTTTTGAAGACTGCCTTTTTGAGGCACATCTGTGGAAGTACAGGTTAATTACACTTCTTGACAGGGTTTCTGTCCCACACCCTGCCTTCACAACAATGTCCTCCTGGTTATAAACGAGGGGGTTGCAGCCCATCTTGTTTGATGATGCAGCCCATCTTGTTTGAGGCAGCATCATTTAATCAAGCTCTTACAGGATCAATAATTTGTTTCTCAAACAGGGTGAATAAAAAGGATAAATATATATACACCCGTAAAATGAAATGAAGTTCTCTATTCCTGATTTTTCTAAGTTGGGAAGGGTGTGTGGAATAGCTTCAAGGATCAGAGAATAAGAAAATATTTCATCTCCTCTTGTTTGTTTGTGTTTAAATGTTGGAGTGGGATACCTTCCCCCTGTGGCTCTGGTGTTCTCATGGGTGTACATGACTCACAAAGAACTCTGTGCATATGGAACTTGGTGTTTTTTATGCTGTTTTCTACAAACAATAGGGGAACTTCTCATACATCCATAAAGCTCTTCAGCTCATTAAAAAGAAGAATGTAACCATGCCATGTGGGAAGCTCAGCTGCTTATAAGCAGTTCCTAAACCCAGCGGAATACTTTGTTTTTACACTGCAACATTTTGGTATAAAATGTTTTGGGTTTTACAAAACCGGATGAAGGAGTGTTGGCTCTTAGCACGTTCTGGATACTTTTAACAACCTAACTGGAGATGGATCTCCATTGCAAGGCTGCTTTCAGGGACATTGGATCCAGTCATGCTTAGGGGAAATATATTGCAAACAGGCTTTACTTAATTTACACTGGCTTTCCCTAATTTATTTGCTCTGCTTTTACTTCATGGTTACATCACATTGGACATTCCTCTGGTAGAATAATGTTGAATCAATTTGGCTGCTCAAGGCACTTTTGAATGCAAAAGAAAAAAGCTATTATTTTGAGTTTGTGTTTTCAGTGGAGAAAGAAATATAGTCGATGGGCATTTAAATTGTGGTGATAGATTATAGAGAATGTGGCTTCTTCCCGGTTCAGGTGCACATTCATGCAATCTTATTTCAGCTATTGTGTGAAAGGTCTGCACCATGAATCCTGCCAGTAATTGGTGCCTACAGTTTGAAGGAAGTTGTTATTTACTTTTTAAAGAGATCCAGTCCCTTGCCTACTGAACCTAATTATCTTGTTATTGGGTCACCAATTCTCAAAGCCTGTTGAATCAACACTTTTTGTGAAAGTCCTATCTTCTGCAAATCTTTATTGTGGCAAGCACTCTTTCCCCTGGGCAAGACGGTTTAAAGAGCACATTAGCAAGAGCAGATATAATCCGTAAACAATGGCTTTATACTTGGCTGGCTCAAAATAGCTAATTGCCTTTCTGAGTAGAATCTAGGAATAGAACATCCAACCTTTGCTCTCTCTCTTTTTTTACTGTTAGCAGCATTCAACGTTTGCACAAGCAGACTATTTGGAGCCTTGTTAGCACTTCGGCTTCTAGTCAACTTAACATAACTTGCAGTATTTCCATTCCAACAGGACATCCAGACTGCACATGAACCCTAAGGCATTCAAAGATGTGGGAAACTCATACACTTGAATGCCTCTATATTAATAAGGATTTTGGACTAGGAGCTTTCTACCATCTTTGAATGGTCTGCCAATGGCAGCCTTATCTGGAGCGTACATTTTTATAAGTTTGAGGTTTGAGAAACTGCATTCACCACTTGCCATTGAACATTAGAAGTGTGAGAAGTATCCTTACAGCAACAGAAACATTAGGCACAATATTCAAGATTTTTTTGTTTTTGTTTGCTGTAGTATGAAGAGAAGTACTCTTTGTGGCAGCATAGACTTTGAAAGTCTTTGGGCTATTGTTATAAGTTCACAGCACAGCTCTTCAGCATCAATATCTTTGTTTCCATTGTGGATCGATTATTTTTCCAAATTCTTGCAGGCCTTAAGTACATCATTAGTAGAATTCTTTTTAAATAATTCCAAATAGGGAATTAGTATATTGTTGCATCTGTTATATCAACAGATTGTATGGTCATGTCTAAGAAAACACAGGAGGAACCTACTGTACTTTGATTTTCTGCTTTAGATCTTGTGGTGCCTCTTCTTCAAACTGCTATTTCTTTCTCCCTTTTCTAACTTTATCTGTCTCAAGGTTTGGTGGTATTTCTAGCTCCTTGCGATCTCAGTAGCATTTATCAAAACTTTGAGAACTCTGCATCCCACAAGGTAATAACTGATCACTCGCAACTGGATTGTAGCTGAATTTAAATCAGCTTCCTTATTTTTCGGAAGCTTGCTTGTAAGTTTGACTTCAAAAAAGGATGTTGTCCCATGTAACAACTTACAAATTGTATCACCAAGGACCTTAGCTTCAATTTGGGAATTATTTCCAGATACAATGGTACCTCGGGTTAAGTACTTAATTTGTTCCGGAGGTCCGTTCTTAACCTGAAACTGTTCTTAACCTGAAGCACCACTTTAGCTAATGGGGCCTCCTGCTGCTGCTGCGCCGCCGGAGCATGATTTCTGTTCTCATCCTGAAGCAAAGTTCTTAACCTGAAGCACTATTTCTGGGTTAGTGGAGTCTCTAACCTGAAGCGTATGTAACCTGAAGCATATGTAACCCGAGGTACCACTGAAAACCTTTTAGGCTTGTGTCATCAAAGATTTAAAAAGAATGCATTGCATGGTACAAAAGAAGGGCACATGGGTTAATGTCCAGGACCCTTTTTCATATGCCATTTTCTTTGCTTTTCATGTCACTCCCATTATCATAACCTTGACCATGCAGATTCCCAACTGGTATTCTCATCTGCTCAAGCTGTCCAAAACAGTTTCTGTTATAAAGGCACCTGTAGTAGTAGTAGTAGTAGTAATAATAATAATAATAATAATTTATTATTTGTACCCCGCCCACCTGGCTGGGTTTCCCCAGCCACTCTGGGTGGCTTCCACAAAGACCAAAAATACACTAATATAGTGTAGTTTCCTTTAGAACAATTCCCAATAAATATTATCTTAGATAACCTCAGGCCCAGACATATCATTATCTGATTGTTTGATTACATCAGCATAACACACAATCATTGTCATTTCTTCTACTTGACTAACATCAGGTGTGAAGTCCATAATAATTGAGTAGTTTTCATTGAGGAGGTAAATCTATGTCTGGATGCCACCATTGCAGATAAGGGCTTACCTGATTGAACACTGTACCATACGAAACATGCCCCCTGCACAGAAAACGTATGGTATTTTTGAGCCCAGACTTGCTCCTGATAGGCTTATTTTCTATGTGCAGGGTACTCTAGGGATGTGGCCAGAAGTTGCACAGTCTGGACCACAAGTTCTCTATGTCAGTCAGATCTACATCATCTAACTATCCAATTCTCTGACTTTACTAGTAAATAAAACACTTTGTACTATGCATGTATTAAATTCCAGCACCTTTGAAAGTTTATAAACTACCGTATTTTGGATCACACTTGTTCGTCCCAATCTAGAGAGACATATCAGGATATGGATATGGCTTCTTCTTGCAAAACCCACTTTTCTGGACTGGAAGCATCTGAATGCTTCCCCCTATCCACATTCTGGCACATGAATAGTAGCTTGAAGGATGTTTCTTTCAAACTGGTGTGCTGTTAGTTCCAAGTAGGCCCTGGAAAACATCTTTTTCCAAGTCACCCTCCTATTCTATTCTGTAAACTGCAGTACCCCGAGTAGAATTTTCCCAGGTGATCAAAGTGATACAGGGTTAGGCAGTCTTTCAGTTCATATGCATGTAGGTCTGTTCATGCAGTCTAATGAATGCTTGTAGGGGTGTGTGTGTGTGTGTGTGTGTTGGGGAGGGGGGTCATCTTTTGACATGCTCTTCTTTCCTCTCCTCCATGCATGCTCTCTCATTGAATTGTTTGTCTGCAGAGGGCTATGAGCTTTCCTTCCTGAAAAGTAACATCCCAACAATCCTCGAAAGTTACTGGCTTGCAGTTCGTAGTTTTTCTATTGAAGCGAGCTATGATTAGACAAAATTCTGCCCCCCTCCCCAAATTAAAAATAAAAACAATGTGTATTGCTTAATGAAAGGATGCTGAAGATAAACCACATATCAAGTAGCAAACCACTCCCCTTAGAATGCCACACATGCTGAAGTGCTTTGTGGTTTTTTTCCTCTTCTTCCAGGGCCCAGAAGACAAATATAGAAACAAGGGGAACTGTTGATGCCCTGTACAACGTTATCATCAATGACCTTGGTAGAAGGTGTATATAAAGTCCAGAGCAAGCACAAACCCCTTACTTGGTCCTTTACTTTTCAGGGTAGGTACCAATCTCTCTTCTAAATATATATTTGTAGTCCAGAGTGCTGTAACCTTTTCTCAGTATTGTATTTTATGCTGCTAAGATGTAAAGGTTTTAGTTCTGATAGCCGTGTTTAAGTTGCTCTGTGATGCTGCCAGACAGCATGGGGGCTCCGGGAAGAGATCTCTCTGCTGAGACCCACAAAGCCAAACGCTCAATCAGCTGGAAAGAACCATATTCCTTTTGAAAGGAGATTCCTGTCCTTGGTATGCTGAGGATGGGTTGATCATTTATTATATGCAAGTCATGTTTTCTATCTTTCCAAATACCTTAGGGAGCTTTTCAGTTATACAACTTAAATGCTCCGGTGGATCAGCTAGCTAAAACATGCTTAGATGAAAACGAGGCTGAAGCACCTTAGAAAATGCACAGCCTAAGCCAGTTTTCAGTGATGTTGCAGACAAGAAAACACTGGTTGGGATTGTGGAGGGCAAAAAAATACAAATTTTTGCTTTGGGTTTCAGTGGGGAAATCATTCCTTTTAACTTCTCGTTGTGTTTCACTCCCCGCCCCCTCCAGAGGCTTTATTTCTTTCAGAGACTATAGGCTGCCCCATAAATTTTAATCCTCCCTCTTTCAGTCCTGAGCTTTCATACCCACACCAGCATTCATGCCCAATACCTGTTTAGCCCAGGAAGTATGCCCTAGTTAAACTTTGTATAACCATCACATCATTCATACTGTGCATGCAATGCATTATTTCCTGGGAATCTGTGAAACTTGACTAATACTGAAGAGAGTCAATGAATGGAAAGGCTTCATGAGAGAGTCTCTTATGAGTCAACTCAGTTCCAGGTGGTTCAGTCTGCAATCCTTTACCTAAGAATGAACTGTACTGAACTCACTGGGACTTGCTTCAGAGTAGACTCATTTAAGAGTGCAGTTTCAGTCTCCGATGCATGGACACATACAGATTTGAGACAGTGAAGACACGAGGAAGAAATCCTGCAGTGTTCTTATATTTGGTAATGAGATTGCAAGCTTGGGTCAATTGCTATTGATGTAGACGAAAGTTAATGAGGCCTCTGGTACATAGAGGTTAGGTGAGCTTTCTGCTTTCTAGTTTTTAACAAGGCTGTCTTGTTGTAACATCATGCATTGACTGTTAGAGCATTTGTCTAAAGTTAAGGAGGAATGACAGCAGCATGTACACTTCAAAACAGAAAAAAAATCTTGCAATTGGACCAGAATATTTTGCTCAGTTGTTTCAGTAATAAAATAGCAATCGCTGCACCCAAATACAGTACCCAATGAGAAAAACCCGGTGTCAATTTAATGTTTCCCAATGCAACCCTTCTCCCAGTTGGTGCTTGATTTTGGAGATGAAAATATATCAGAGTGCTAGAACCTGCTGCAGCAAGATCCGAAGGGACAGTTTTAATACAAAATTCACTTCGGTGCAGGATGAGAATAATGCACAAAATGAATGAGAGCCGAATGGCTATTTCATTTCCCTTTAAATGAAACTTCTCATTTAAAGATGGCTGTGATTTCAGGCACAGGGAGAGTGATGTTTCAGCACTCCCATTATAAACCTGTAAATGGTTTTCATTCTAGCTGGTCTCTGCTGGCCTACATAGATGGAAAAACACAAGTATCGCATGACTACAGACTGTTCTGTCTTGAATCTTGTGTTAATTGAAGGTTAAAGTTAGCTATCTTCCCCCAGACTGCTCTTCTGTCCCTCTACCTGTACATTACGTCCCTAAATACAGAAGGCTCATTATCCAAGCGTTAAATATTTTATTATTTAGAAAGCAAAATACACAAGGATCCTTCCCCCACCCCCATTACCACCACAAGTATTCTGGGATGAATAAGAGAAAAGGACCTGTTAAAGGTGACAATCTTGTGCATAGGTACCCCACTGAACACAACAAGACATTGTTCAAAGTAGGCATCCTTAGGATTGTACTGTTAATAAACTTAATGCCATTAATCTGCTACTCTTTAAGGGCTGCATGTTTGGGAAATATTACTCCCAATCAATCAGTCCTTGCTAAGATTCCCTTTTCCTTCCAGAAGCATTTCTTTATTTTCTCACTATAGATCACTATTGCAGCTTGTTTTGAGAAATCTACCAGATATGGCACTGGACGGGAGACAGACATAGGGTTTGCTCAACTTGGCCTGCTCTACTGTTTTTTTTTAAAAAAAGTGAACACCTTTATTCACACACAGATTCCTCATCAAGCAGTCTATGTATTGCTGAGCCATGAGAGCAACTGATGATCTCTTAAAGAACATTGTCTTCATGGCTTATATTGCCAGCTCTACCTGTGTCCTTAGAAAGCCAGCACCAGTCTAGATTAGACAAATACTAGGCAAAATGAACTGATGATCTGACTTAGAATAAGGTAGAGACGAATTTTCGGAGCGCAAGCTAAAATGATAGGCCATTTGTTTTGTCTATGTTTATTGAATTGTCTTTTGGATACGTTGTGAGTTGTCTTGAATATAAATGAATTAAAGCTTTCAGTGAAGATTAATTACAATAAGTAAATACAATAAATATGCATAGGAATGCAGCAAAAAAACAGAGAAAGGAATAGAAATATTTTAAAGAAATAAATTAAAATTCCTTCACCCGTGAATGATCACAGAGTTTTCCTGCATTCCTGGCTAAGGAAAGGGCCTTCAGACCTGAGTCTTTGTATCTTTATACATGCATGCACGCACACGCACACATACACTTTATTTCTAGCAAATCTTAATCAGATCTAAGAAACAACCTGTTCTCCAGGTCAGATTTCAGCCCTGAAGTCACAAATCTCCACTCATTCACCTGAGAGTTGGGCAGCATTTGCAGCTTGGCAGAACCCTGCTGCCACCTTCTGGCTTCCATGTGCCAGGCTCCCACAGCCAATGGGAGATGTTGCTGCCTCTCCCATCAGCTGAGGAAATTAAAACTGGCCTGCCTGCCAACTGGCCAATCACAGGTAGGCCTGTAGGTGGTGCTGGGGTGGGCGGGTGGACGGACCTGACTGGGACACCAGAGGAAGTCTTTACTCAGGTCTGCTCCCTGGCCATTTAAAGTGGTCCACCTCCTTGCCTGGCACTGTCTTTCAGATTTCCCTCCCTCCTTCCCTTCCCCTTGGCTTCTTTCTTTGTACTGGTATTCGACTGACCTTGCTATGGATTGCTTCAGTCTCCGTATTTGGGGCCAGGGAGGAATTTCACCCTCAGGCTAATTGGGCCTGTCTGGTTTGTTTGCCTTCCTCATAGCAATCATCACAACTTTGGTGGTTATGGCATTGGGTTTGATCCTTAGTCTTTGCCCAAGGGGAAGACCCTTCCGTGGCAGTAAGGTATTATATTAAATGAATCCAGGCGGAGGAGCTTCTGTCCATACACCCAGGTGGCAGTTAAGGGCCATAGCACTCCCTAGCATGGCAAAACTGTCAGATGGTATCCATTTGATGTATGTCATAGGTCATCCTTTAGCAGGCTTGACCCACTAACTGGCCAGCAGGCAGGCTGGATAATAGCAGAGATGCTCAATACCATGCCAGACTTGCATCCGTACTCAATAAAGTTGTGGTCTAATTTGAACCCATGATGCTTCTCTGAGTCCTTGCTTTAATTGTTGCAGTGGATAAGAGACTGGTGAGCTGCATTGCCTGGGCACACAACAAACCAACTCCGAACATGTGTGGGATTAATTTTCCGTAACCCTGTACAACTACAACTTATCTCTCAAATACCACATTGCAGGCAGCTTTTAGCTGTGCAGAACAGAGTGACAAGGCACACATTTGAAAAATAAATGCATGCATAGTTCAGCTTTCCTTGGAAACTGCTGCCATGTGGAAGTGCTATATATCGCTCTGCTTTGGATATTAGATAGATAGATAGTAATTTTGTTGTTGTTACAGGCTAGATTGCTTTGTTTTTCTTTTGGGGAGTGCAACTTTCAGCTTGCTCGGCAAGATGATGGACATGTCAGAATTCGGGGAAGCTGCTCCCTTCCTCCGGAAAAGTGACAAGGAGTTGATGGTGTTGCAGACTGTGGCTTTTGAAGGTAAGGTATTAGTTGTTGATTCTGCCATCAACCAGGAAGGCTGAATGATGCATACTTCTATAGCTTATGATTAGAAGTTCTGTCGTAAAGGGCCAATGTCTTTACAGCAGTCTGTTTAGACTGGCGCCCCTTATACTTCTGCACTTTTTAAAATTGTGCATTTATTCTGCTGGTCTGACCAGCTGCATGTTCCATATTTAGCTTAAAATGTAGCTTAAATCACACTGCAATTTGAATATGTAATAGGTAGCCTTTCCATTTTACTTGACAAGACCCCCCTTTCCCCATTGATGTTGTGATTATTCTGATGTCAAGATCTTGCAAGAAGGGTTGCAGAACTTTGATGTTCACCATCTCAAAGTATAAAGTAACATTGTCTGGAAATAGCACAGCAGCTCTTAGCCGGCTCGGAGAACATGCATTGTTCTTAATGGTATTTTAAGAAGGTAAGTATGTCTATTGCATGTGGGTGACATATGGCCTGCCTGGTTTCAGTGTGTGCTTTTAGACATCAAAGTAAAGAACACACAGCTTCCCAGGCATTGTTCTTTAAGCATCAACTAGCTGGAACCAGAAAAAACTTAAAAGCAACAGAGTTCAGAGCGTGATGCCACGCCTTTAGGGTGATAAGAAACGGCTGAGGTCATTTGCAGTTCTTATGACTTGCACTGCATACTGTAAGATCAACAGTATAAGTGCATCCATGAAGTATACTCTACCCTGTGGTATGATAGATTTTGCACTGGTACATTGTGATGATGTGCAAATGTGTCAATTATTGCATCTCTGATTCTTGAATTTTCAGCTTGAGTTTGTTGGCTTCTTTGATTTGAGCAATTCATAAAAGCGAATGCTCCAAAAGCATTTCAAGTAAAAAGTAAGCTAGTGTAAGAGGGTGGAGCAATGGGGAGTGGAACATACTTGTAAATTACTCAAAATTCCAAACAATCAAATTGTAACCTGTGAATTGCACACTTCCTTGCATTTTGCTGAGGTTAACCAAAAGCACATTTGGGTTGTGTTTTTTTTTGTAGTGCAGAAATGGTGCCAGAGCATTTGCCGCGTGCAGCAGGCACAGGTTATTCATCTTCTGTCTGGAAGGACCAATGCAAGTGGAATATAGTATTCAGGAAAATGTACTATGAGCTGGAACATCTCTAGTTAAAATCTCACTTGAGCTGCTAACACAAATGATGGTCTTGTGCAGCCATAGGCAGACTCGGTCCTCCAGATGTTTTGGGACTACAATTCCCATCATCCCTGACCACTGGTCCTGTTAGCTAGGGATCATGGGAGTTGTAGTCCCAAAACATCTGAAGGGCCTAGTTTCCCTATGCCTGGTCTTGTTCAAGGCCACTGCCTGCTTCAACACCTTCCCAATCTGAAGGAGGGTCAAAGCGCCATCTTACGTTTCAGGGCTGTTGTAAGGATTACTTGAGTTTGTGAATGTGCTCTGAACACGTACAAAAACAACACAATTCTATTCTATTAATTAATATTCTATTAAAAATAATTCGTAATTTATTTTGCAATGTTGAGTATCAAATATTTTTGCATAACAATGAAGGACTCATTTTTCTATGCTAGGGAAGAAGAAATGCTGGATTCCAGATGAGAAGAAAGCTTATCTTGAAGCTGAGATAAAAGAGACTGGCGGTGGCAAAGTCACTGTTGAGACTGCGGACGGGAAGGTAAAGAGCCCCCCTCCCTGTTTGATTAGTCACAAGAATAAAACATTCTAGACATAATGAGGACAGAGAAACAGTTTTTGCTGCGTACAAACTTAGGCCAGAATCAGTTAAACAGAAAGAAGCAACAATCCGAGGAAGGGACGGAGGATCACACAAGAGAGAACTGTATAGAGAGCTGGAGATTTCCTTGCTGCTTCGCTATGTATGATCTCACTGTGCTTCTAAGACCAAGGGCCAAAATGCATGTTAAGCATATATATATATAGCATATATATACAGCTACACCTCCAGATTTTGTTTAATTCATTTTTGCTGTGTGAGGAGGAGCCTGATAGTTATCCAGACCAAAGCACAAGGGAAAGGGAGGCTTATCTCTCTTCCCCCAGCCATGTTCACAATGAAAATCCTCTCCCCCCCCCCTTCCAGTATAGCTAGGAAGCTTAGGCAAAAAAGTTCACAATGGGATATTTTTCTCTAAGCCTCCTAGCTCTTTGTGTGTATGTTATCTTCATACATCCAGGAACCTATAAGCAATTGCCTATAGGTGCACATGAGCTTATGAGACTTGCAGTCTTGGGGGGGGGGGCGACGACCCTACAGATATGCCGTTTATTGGTACCTGCATGTGGGTAGTGTATGAGGAGCCCCCTGCATTTATGTGAAAGCATTTTTGTTTAAGCTTCTACCCATGGCAGTTGGGGTGACTGAGAATATGTGGCACATATGGAAGCCACAAACATCTCCCTGTGATTCCTATGGAATACATGAACAAGGCCTTAGTATATTTAATTTGTTTTTATATTGTATGCATCAACCCAAAGGATTAAGCAAGAAAGTCTTTTAAAATCGCTGTTCACACAAACAAATGAATAAAACCTGAGAGAGATTTAGTTATGAGTTTGTAAAATATAATAATAATAATAATAATAATAATAATAATAATAATAATATATTTACACCCTGGTCACTCTAGGTGGCTCCCAACAGAATATTTAAAACACAATAAAACATCAAACATTAAACATTAAAATTTTCCAATACAGTGTTGCCTGCAGATGTCTTCTAAAAGTCAGATAGTTGTTTATTTCCTCGACATCTGAAGGGAAGGCATTCCACAGGGTGGGTGCCACTACCAAGAAGACCCTCTGCCTGGTTCCCTGTAACCTCACTTCTCACAGTGAGGGAACCGCCAGAAGGCCCTCAGAGCTGGACCTCAGTGTCCGGGCTGAACGATGGGGGTGGAGCCCCTTCTTCATGTATACATGAAACAGATGCCCTGAATTAAGGTTCACCAAACGCTTCATTGCTATGACCTGTAGACTGAATTGGGACATAGGTTTTTTATTTATTAAATTTCTACCCCACACCATGGTCCTGCTCACACATGACACTAAGCCAAACCATGGCTTAGCATGAGTGAGCGAACATGTGGGTTTCTGGGCTACTCCTTTGATCATAACCTCCAGGATCATGAGCTTTGCTCCTGCACATCTGGTCATGGCTTGTACTAAGCCATGGATTGACTTGGCATTACACGTGAATCAGATCCATGTGAGTTAATTGACTTACCAATGCTAGGATGTCTCTGATATCAACAACTGTCCTTTGTGAATAATGAAAATTGTTAATTTAATTGTCGTGGTCTGTACTTTCTGCATTTACTTTTCTTTCTGACCTCACTGTTTACAATCACGCCTATCCCACCACCACTTGTATATCTACCTACAACCCAGGATAACACTTAATGTACTTGATTAAATGGACCATCACCCACACTACTCTTTTGTCATAATAAATTTGTTAGTCTTTATGATGCCACAAGGGTCTTCATTGTTTTTGTTGCCATGGTCTAATATTGCTACCCCTCTGCAAGTAATTTATCTACAAACTATAATGCTTAGTAACTGTTATGTCTTCATTGGTTCCTGTTTTGTTTTAAAATCACAACCGCTTCAGGTTAATGCTTTGCTACATCCTTCATTGGCAAATTGGGATAGCATTTAGCTTATAACCAGTTCTCGGTGTTTGACCACTTTCTCCATCTTGCTTTTTAAACTTCAGATGGCCATCATCATTATTGCTTTCTTAAAAATCATGTATTCTACTGTTTACAACAGTGGGTGGCAGTATCCAACAAACTGAAATGGATAAGAGATGCATTTTCTTTTTTCCTTTTCGATCAGTCTCCCAAGAGACCAGATATTTAGGGTTGCACAGAAGCCTTCAAAGTTGAGTTTCCACTTGTGGGCAGCCTGTCCTTGAAAGTAATCCTTAAACAATCTTTTAATTTTAAAAAAGTGTTGTCAGATCGCTCTGTAGTACAGGAAGTTTGGAAAGGCCGTGGTTACAGTGTTCCCTTTTCTTGCAGACAGTCACTTTGAAGGAAGATGATGTTCAACAGATGAACCCTCCCAAGTTTGACATGATTGAAGATATGGCTATGCTGACCCACCTCAACGAGGCATCTGTGCTGCATAATTTGAACAGACGCTACAGTAACTGGATGATCTATGTATGAGTCATTCATTGATTTTCATTTAAAACTGCATGTTGAATTGCATCTCCATTGTGCAGGATAAGAATCAATACTGCCAGATGGACATTCTGACCTTTGACCCCTTTGTGGTTCCTGTTCCTGGCTTATTATGCATGAGGGACTCTCCTCTGTATACTCTCTGCTCCCTTGTATATTCACTTCTGTGATCTTCCTTTGAAACTGAGTTTCTGGTCAGTTGCTGGTCAGAAGTTTCCAGAATAACCGTTGACAGGCAGACAACCAAAATACCCTTGGGTTCAGTTCTCTTCCCCAAAAGCAGGTTAGCTCTCTATACCCCTGTCAAGGGGTAAGGAGGTTATTGCTGCACATAGTGTCAAGTATGTGGTTAAAATGAGTGGTAGATTGCGTCATAAAATTGTAATGCTGTATGAGCTCTCCAGCAACTCCTTGAACATGGATTATCTGTCATTCGAGCCTTTACAACTACTCAGAATGCATATTACGGAATGGTTGCTATTTTGTAACCCCCCCTAAGAACATAAGACTAGCCTATTGGATCAGGCCAGTGGTCTATCAAGTCCAGCATCCTTTTCTCATAGTGGCCAATCAACTGCTTATGGGAAACCTTCAAGCAGCAGGACTTGAGCACTATAGCATTCTCCCCTCCTGCAGCTTCCAGAAACTGGTGTCCAGAAAATTCCAGAAACTGGTGTCCAGAAAATTCCAGCAACTGGTATTCAAAACCATTACCTTTCTCATTTGGTTTTGCCTACTAGGAAGAAGACAGGAATGAGACATGTGATTTCTTTAGCATCCCTGTCTCAAATGTTGTGGTGTCACCAGAAAAAAAATGGGGGCATAGAAGAGGCAAAGTATATTTCTAGGTGGGAGAGTTCTTCTCTGAATTAAAATTACAGTAGCAGTATATGTTATTTGCAATGACTGTCCAAGTGGGGGTGGAAGATGACTATTCACCTTGTTTGGAGTGCTAACCCCCTGTATCCCCTCTGGTGCTTCCCATGTTTGTAATGCTCAGTACAGTGGTACCTCAGGTTACAGACGCTTCAGGTTACAGACTCTGCTAACCCAGAAATAGTACCTCGGGTTAAGTACTTTGCTTCAGGATAAGAACAGAAATCGTGCTCTGGTGGCGCAGCAGCAGTGGGAGGCCCCATTAGCTAAAGTGGTACCTCAAGTTAAGAATGGTTTCAGGTTAAGAATGGACCTCCAGACGAATTAAGTTCTTAACCAGAGGTACCACTGTACTAACATGTTACCTTGCCTCTAGCAAGCTAAAGTGTTTTTTTAAATCACCGTAAGTGAATTAAATTTTTGTCACTGTGTCTTATCAGATGCTGTAGCACATTAAATGATCAAAGGTTGACTAGAGGGCTACTTTTTCATTTTTTAATGTCTGTCACATCCTTAATTCACCCATTTTATGACTGCGTCTGTGCCTTGGGCAGCTGATAGAGGTCAGAATGTTCCTAATTCTGTCTCCTGAAATACAGGTGGTATCAAACAGTAGACAACTTGCCTCTGTGTACCCAGTCTCTAAATATGCAGGGAGCAGCTCTCTTTCTAATATATTTGAATAAATGAGGGCACCCCTATAATTTGGGTACACCAGGCATCTGTTTACTTTGTCTCTGTGGCTTAGCCAGCCTTTACCTGTTGGTTTCACTCTGGTTGGACAATAGGTTTTCATGCTTTACACACCAGCAGAAGCAGAATAAACTATGCATATTAAGCAAAGACACATGCTGCATAATATTATCAAAATGCAGTAGTTTCCTTTTAAAGTGCAAAGTTTGGATAACTGCTGCAGAATCTGGATGTTTACAGCATGGCGTGTGCCCAGTCCTGATTGCAACAGGAGTTGAATGCCTTTCTTAACAAATATTGTTAGCCGTTAAGATTGCTTACCTTTCTAAATGCCTTGTGCATAATTTTATTGTCGTAGATGAAGTGTTTGGTATTGGAAAATCATGTTCCAATGCATACTACCGTATTTTTCGCCCTATAGGATGCACCGTCCCATAAGGCGCAACTAGTTTTTTTGGGGGGGAAATAAAGGGGGAAAAATTATTTCTCCCCCAGGCGCAGGGCTGGGGCGGGGGAAGCCCGAGTTTCCCCCGACCCCAGCCCCCAGAACAGGCAACTCTTCGCAAGCCGCGGGAGCCCGGCGCGGGCTCCCACAGCTTACGGAGATCTGCGCGAAGCCTGGAGAGCGAGAGGGGTTGGTGCGCACCGACCCCTCTCGCTCTCCAGGCTTCAGCGAAAGCCTGCATTCGCCCCATAGGACGCACACACATTTCCCCTTCATTTTTGGAGGGGAAAATTGCGAAAGGGCGAAAAATACAGTAGTTTACAATGAAATTCATTGTTACTGGCCATGTTCCTCATTTCCAAGGTTAAACTAATTTCTAATTGAGTTGTACTAATGAAATGCGTTTTTTTTATTCATGAGATTTTCTTAGTGGGCTTCAGTCTACACATCATCAAAGTCTGGGGATACTTCATATATATCACACATTTCTTCAGTAGAATTCCAGGTGGCATGGATATGATTCTCAGGTGGCTTTCCATCCCATTTAGTTTTAGAAAGGTTGCTGCATCAAGTGACTATGGGCCATCTATGGGAGCTTGTAGCTCTTCAGATGTTGTTGGACTCCAACTCCCATCAACTCTAGACAGCATAATCAATAGCTAGAAATGATGGGAGTTGTAATCCAACAACATCTGGAGGGCCACATGTTCTCCATCTTTTTACCGTTATACAAGTCCCAATCAACTAATGTTGCTTTCCCTTAAAAATGTTATCATTTATATTTACAGAGGTTTGCATTTTCAGGTGAATTGTTGGAGGCTGGGATTACGAGGAAATCTTGAGCTGAAAGTTACAAATGGTTGGCTGTGACCAACATATCCATTGCTCCAAAATGAAACAGACAACTTTGATACAAACCATTATGCTATCGATGGGATTCACTTTCATTTTGTGTGTTTAGTATTAATATATGAGTAAATTTCTTTCTCAATTTCCATGCCAGTGCAGTCTGGTTCTGTTAAGCCATCTTTTGTTAAAAACAACAACGACAAACCCTACAAATGAACTGGATTAGAACAACTGCACTGTTGGCATTAGGACACAGTGTGAAATCCTCATGTTCTTTACCAAGGTTCTTAGTGATTTTCTTCTGTTTTCCTTTCCAGACTTATTCGGGTCTCTTCTGTGTGACAATAAACCCTTACAAATGGCTTCCTGTCTACAAGACAGAAGTTGTTTCAGCTTACAAGGGCAAGAGACGTTCAGAGGCTCCTCCTCACATCTTCTCCATAGCTGATAATGCTTACCATGACATGCTGCGTAGTAAGTAGCGTCATTTGCCCACGTGGCCCTTATTTGTTTGTCCTACAACTAAATCTTGCTTTCAAATGTTTTCCAAATGCTGACAAGAGAAGCTTCTAGGAAGGGCATTTAGGCACTATATCATGGGCAAAGAGCCTGGAGATGGTAAGATCTGTGATCTTCAGTGCCACTCAGATTAGGGATAATATCTACTGAACTCCTGACTGTCGAAACTGTATATCCTTGAAGTGACTTGTAGCTTAACAATGCCAGAAGGGCCACAGGTTCCCTGCTCTTGGTTTACAAGAAAGAAAGAGAAATTGTTGAGAGAATTTTTTTATTTTCCCCCCAGTAATGCTTAGGTTTTATAAGACACTAAAACCATCATTACACAGTCTTCCCGTCTCTCAGCAGTGAGAAACTCCAGGGATGTGCAGCGCTCACTCTGAGTTAATTTATTTGGAAGAAGATCAATGAAAGGTTATGACAGTTTTTAAGCGTTTGAATTTATTTACAGGTGCAGATCTAGATTTAATATTCCAACAGAAAGCCAAGTTCATTGTCATGTGTCAGGTCTCCAACTTCCCTGACACAGTTTGCTTACTGTGCTCCTAAAAACTCAGCTCTCTGTGCCTGTCTCTCAGAAACTAGACTTTATCCCTTTTGTTCACTTCCCAGGCACACACAGACCTAGCATACGCCATCCTTAGCTGGATAGGGAAAGAACCCACCCACTTCAGATGACTTAAGGGAGATCCATCTATCAAGAGCAATCAGTTAGCAATCTGCCTTAAAAAAGGTTTTGCAACTGTGTCTTAAAGGAGCTTCAGCAGTCATTCTTGCTCTCTAGTCTCTAACACTCTCTTGTCAAAACCTCCAATCTTACAACACAATGATCCAGGTCACCTCGCCTGTGTTCCTGTGCTCACATGGACCACCCATAAACAAGAATTTCTCCATGGACATCATTGTCAGAGGGTGAATCTGTGTACTCAGTAGCCCCATAACTCTTTCTGACAGTAAAGTGAATGGCAAACCTTGGTTTGCTTCAATCTCTATGTGCACATTTCTGTTGCTCCTACCCCTGCCTGCTCCCTGTTTACACAGAGAAATAATCAGCCAGTAGGTCAGGGCACTTTCTTTTCTTTTCTTTTTTACAGTCCTGCTTCCCTTTGGCTGAAAGAAAGGAATGTACTGTAACAAATGAGCCTTCTTTGAGCAGAAACCACAAGGCAGAAATAGTGATCTCAATAACTGGAGCAGCTGTTTAAGAGAAGGAGCATGCGCTTAGCTTTCCTGTTGAAATCAATGTGTGCTAAAACTGCCTGGCTTTGGCTGCACTACAGCCAAATGTTAAAGGCCACTGACTCTAGCCTCCCTCAAGCACTGGAGCAGTGATATAACATCATGCCACCAGAACTGGAGCACACTGCAAATTCATGTCCGAGCAGCAGATTTCTTCCATCAGAGGGCAGTGGTGATGCATGCCTGATTATCTGGAGCACTAATATTTGTGCAGCCATCAACATTCTGGAACATTACCAAGGGAGCTTGGGGTTTGTGCTCATCTGTTTCAAATGTGACTCTGCACAGAGCACAATAGGTATACTGCCATTGATAACATTAAAATAATATATCAAAGTATGAGACATTTTCCTGTCTTGTGCTTTTTGTTGGAGCTGGCTGAGTTATAATAATGGTTGAAGCATAAAAAGCAAAGCAAAATCTGTAATTATGCTTGGCACAGTAATGTGTTTGGCTTTCTAGGTCCTTATAATTATAGCATCTTTAAATGCGAGGTGCCTGCCCTTAAGAGGCATGCACTATTGTTACAGAGCTAGTTTGTCTAGATCCCCTGAACTAAGAACTTTTCCCTTACCCCTATCAAGTCAGTGCAATACCCCAGCTGTATGGGTCTTGTTTGCTACTCTTGTATGGGCGGGGTTGGTAGGGGAGGCAAGTACTTCAAATTCCATCGACGGTCATTTGCAAATAAAGCACATGCTTGCCCAATATAACATAAATTCCTCTAGGTTCTCTCCTCTCTCAAATCACTTGCAAACAAAAAAGATTGCTAAGCCGACATGTTACACAGCTGGTACTTTGAGACAATCTCTATGCCAAAGAAGGGGAACCTGTGGCCCTTTAGAAATTGGACTGCAACTTCTATCAACCCCAGCCAGCGCAGCCAGTTGTCAAGGAATATGGGATTTGTAGTCTAGCAGCAGCTGGAGGGCCACAAGTTCTCCATCCTTGCCCTGACCAATTGGACTGCCAATGCCGATTTCCTTTTAATTCACAAAACATGCCCTTTCATTAGAAAGCAAACAGAAGCCCCACGCTCTCGAAATTGTTGTGGGGCAACCAAACCTTTTGGTTTAAATGCAAAACTTGAAACTTCACTACGTTTCTTCCATGTAACACGAATAGAGCAGGTTGAAGGGAAGCATCTAACACAACAGGTTTAGAAACCCTCTAATCTGAATGTCTTTAGCTGAATGTGTTTTCCATGTTACAGAGCCTTTGATATGCTAATTAACCCCAACCTGTCACAAACCCATCCCTCCTTTGTTTCTCTTTGCTCTCTTCATTCCTACTTCCTTTGAAGAGCCCAGTGAATTTCAACAGCACACCTTGCTCTTGGAATTTCTACCAAGAAACTGATCTGGTTAAATTGTCTTTCTCTGCTTGTGATGGAGTAATGCAATGGCTTTTGCAGCTACCTCCACAGCAGGCATATGGTACTAAATAATGGAGAGAACCCAAAATGAATTGGTTTTGCAGGGCAATGCATTTTGCCAAAGCACTTAAAATATACTAAACAAGATATTTCCCATGTTGAGGGGAGTTTGCCTAAATGGGTTTCTTCTTGTTTATTTCTGTTTGTATAAGAAATTATTCCCTGGTGACTATGTAGCAAGTGCAATTACAGGTTCCTTTTTTTCCCTTCTGCACAGATCGAGAGAACCAGTCAATGCTGATCACGTAAGTGGATCTTTTTCTAGGGAGGTTATTTATGCAATGCCAAAAAAGGAAAAATGCATCTTCGAAAAGAAGGGCAAAAGAGGACACAGATTCACCTAACATTTCTATATGCTAATTATAGTATAGATGCAAATTGAGAAATAATTGCTATAATATAAATAAAAATACAATATATCCCAGATTGTGAGCAAGTGATCTATGTGCCTACTCAGTAACTATTTATATTTATTTCAAGGCCCAGTTCTCCCTTATCTTCAAATCTGATCAGACAGTCCTTCACACAGAGGACTCCTTCCGAAGAGGACTATTCTATGTAAAATAGGGCACATAGCCACCCCTATCTTTTCAGATGCCTCACATCAGCGAAAGCAAACATCAGCAAAAGCAATTGGTTCCTAGTATGCTTACCAAAGCACACAAAACTGAATACATTTTATTTCAAAGCACATATTCGCCTTTGCTAACTTGTTTGCAAGGTTTTTCAGCATGGGCATTAAGAGAAGTAAATTTTACCCTTGGGTTCTGGGTATAAAGTTAGTTATTGGGCCAAGAGGGAACACCTGGTAGGGGTGAGTGTGAGCAGAAAGGCAGCGTGGGCCTGGGTGGCAAGGATTAACCAGGGCTCCCTGGCTACTGTGCTTAAATATTGCTGTTCCTGATTGGATTTACCTGAGGTGCCTTGAGTCTGTTTCTAAGAAACACAGCTCTGTTGCGTCACAACTCAGCTTCTGATATTCAGGTTTTAGTCAGTGTATATTTTGTTGGTACCTTTGTTCCAGAAGAGCTGTGTTTTATTAGACCAAAGACGTACTAAGTCTTGGCCCAGTTTCCCACAGTGGCCAACCAGGTGGCTTTGAGAAAACTCACAAGGAGAGTTTCAGTAGTCCACTGTTGCCTCCACCATCTTCTATTCAGTTGTGTTTCACATGGCCATCAATAAGACCAAGGCTTGTATCTAATGTGATGCTGAATAGCTTGTTCCCTTAGCACAAGGATTTGCCCTCGAATAATTCTATTTACCCTCTCTCTTCCCCCCTTGCCCTCCTCAAATCTGCTCCAGAAGGCTGGGAGAAAGCCCCATAACAGATTTAGGAGGTGAATGAGAGGGGGAGAAAGTTCCAAATGTAAATTATTGCACTGATGGAATGAGTTAGTGGGATACTGCCCTCATAGCCACTGATAGAGCTATTCTTTCCATACTCCTATCCTCTTGTGTGCCCAGATGCCACGGTTCTCAGCATCCCAACCTAGAGAACAAAATCAGACATAACACAGTGTATTTGGGTCAAATAAGGCCACAACTGGCCTCCTTTTATACTCAAGGAGCAGACTCAAGTGAAGCCTGCTGCCAGTTGGGTTCGCTCCATGGCTGAGCACCCACTCCTTAGCCTGCTCACCATTGGCCAATTTGGCTGCAGGCATGGAGTCAAACTTCCTGGCAGGTGAGGAGGCCTATCTGGCCTCCCGTCTGCCGGGAATCATCCATCATGACAAGCCTGTGTTGAATCAGCGCCAGTGGACTTACCTGTAAACATGGATCGAAAGTGAATTCCTTAAAGGTGAGGTTGCTGGACATGATTCATTCAAATGTAGCACAGTTTAGAGTTTGGAAAAAAATGCAAATGTATAAGGCTGATGGAAGTGAAAAGCTTGAGATTAATAATGTCATCTTCCTTCTGTTTCATAGTGGAGAATCTGGTGCCGGCAAGACTGTGAACACAAAACGTGTCATTCAGTATTTTGCCACAGTAGCAGCAATCGGTGAACCTGGAAAAAAGAATGTAAATATTCAAATGACTGTTTTCTTCTTCTGCGCAAATAATATTTATTGCCCAACAGGTGGAAGACATTCTGTTTCCAAGGCCCTGTAAGCACCAGTTAGCATGGTTGTTAATTGCATGGGGATATGTGAGAAGAAGCTGTAATATTTCAAAGTGATTCGAGGGAAGCAGAGCTCATGGGAGTTTGCCCAATGAGTCTGGCTGTTGTTTATCATCATATCATCATATTTTTTGGGTTCTGAATGTGAAGAAAGGGGCAGAATGGAGAGTAGGGATATTGAAACTGGTGAAGGTTACCAAGAATTTTATATTAGAGATCTCTAGTCCTTCTTCCAGGATGACAGATCCCAGGGAAGAGTGAATGATTGTAAATCCAGTTCAAGCCTGCAGTGTAAATGTACCCTGGGGAACTGAAGATAGAACAGTGCCGTACCTGGTAATGCTCCATTAACAGCTATAGCCATTCCTGGTTCTGCTGTACTAGCACTAGCATTCTCCACCTCTGATCTGTCACCTCTTTTTCCTGTGCTTTGCAACAGAGTCATCTGGACACACGTCAAAGCATCAGGAGTAGCATAATGTGGATAGGGACAGAACCCTGCAAATCTAGTGTGTTGGGTCAGTGGCTGGGCTTCAGACTCTGATTATGGGTGGTTGGATCTAAAGCATGGCAGGGACTGATGGTTTAATACCGACAGCAATAATGGACAACTTGAGGAACAAAGCATGTGCAAAAAAAAATGGGTTCTGAATGTGAAGGAAGGGGAAGAATGGGGAGTATGGATATAGAAACTGGTTTTGCAGCCATACAGAAGATCCTCATATGATCGTAGGACTGGGTGCCTCTTCTTGGTTCAGGACAAGCAGCTTAGAAGTGTTGGGAAATTTACTCTAGAAGTCTCTGTGGAAAAGCAGTTGCAGAATAAAAAAGGTCTCTGAAATCACAAATAGAGCGGAATTGATAAGCAATGTTTAATGATATTTTCTAATCACTTAGACTAACTGTTTGTTTAATTGTCTTTTCATTTTTCTTTGAAAGCAACCAGCAACCAAGACTGGGGTAAGTAGATGACTTTCTTGTAATTGAATTTGTATTTCACAGATTTTGCTGACGTGCCGTGAATGTTGTTCACAGGCGTATATAAAACTTTATTTGCACTTGCCCTGCTTCTAAACCTAGAAGAACACAGCTGAAATTAATTTTTGTTACAAAGCCAACTCAAAATCATAGAAACTGGCTCTGAGCAATCTAACCGTATGATTCTAAACATTTTTTGCTTTCTAGACCAATCCTATTGCATCTTTTTATACTTAGTGTTTCTTTCATTTTGTGGAGCTGGGGTCAGCCTAAGCGAGAAGTGCTTATGCTCTGCTGATTTCAACTGGAGAATATTAGCACAGGTTTCATTCAGTGACATGATTGTTGTTGTTTTCCCTTTTTACACAAACTTGCCCCTTCTTTCCCTTTCCTTCAGCTTTGTTGCATGTCTTGAGCATAAAGTATGCTGGCAAGAGACTTTATTTTTTCCAGTAGGCATTAGACTACACATCAAATCTGTTGGTTTTTAATATTTTGTATTTCGTTTTAAGGGAAAGTACTATAGGTAAAAGTGCAAGTAGATAACTAGGTACCACTCCGGCGGGAAGGTAAACGGCGTTTCCGTGCGCTGCTCTGGTTCGCCAGAAGCGGCTTAGTCATGCTGGCCACATGACCCGGAAGCTGTATGCCGGCTCCCTCGGCCAATAAAGCGAGATGAGCACCGCAACCCCAGAGTCGGTCATGACTGGACCTAATGGTCAGGGGTCCCTTTACCTTTACCTTTACTATAGGTAAAATAAAAGGAGAATTCCCTGGATGCCTGAGATTCAGGTTTGGGCAAGTATTCTTTGGTGAGAGAGCCTCAGCAGAGATTTAAAACCACAAAACATACAGCAAAGTAAAGTGTGGAAAGATAGCCTGTAAGACTTTTTAAATATCCCCTTCTAAATTGCTTCCAAACTTCCCCACTTCCCTTAGCATAGAAAGAGACCACACATTTGGCATCTTTGTAAAACACTTTCAGGTTTCTTTCTTTCTTTCTTTTTAACAATCAAGCAGTACATAAATTTTATTAAATAAATATTTGGGAGTTTCCACAAGTGCATTTTTTTTTAAATGGCAGAGATGCATTCTGCCAGAATCGTGGAGTTTCCACCAAATCTTAAAGCCCTTTAGTTGGCAAATTGTGAGTGCAGGGTTGTGCCCTAAATGTACTTCCATCTTTTGCATTGTAAGGGGACTTTGGAAGATCAAATCATCCAAGCCAACCCAGCCTTGGAAGCCTTCGGGAATGCCAAAACTCTGAGAAATGACAACTCCTCACGCTTTGTAAGTATGCCTTATTGCTGTGGTACTTTACCAATCTGCCTTCATTAGTAATACCGTATTTATAAAAATGTTCAGCATTCAACATGAACAGCTGTACGGCTGATACTTAGGGCCTTTTCACACCTACCATTTGTGGTGAAAGAGTTGTTTTTTGATCTGACATTTGTAAGAGTGAATTTGTAGCTAGTTATCGACACTTTTGCTCACACTTCGCTATTATTAGAGAGCAGTGTAGGGATTTCCTGTCAACGTGATTGGCAGGTTGTGCCTGAGCTGAGAAAAGTTCAGTAACTGTAGTCACACCCCTAATGAACTCTTGTGTTCTGCCAGCCAGTAAATGTCAGAGTTATGAGCATGAGCATGGGGATAGCTCTTTCGTGGCTATTTAATTAACTAATTCCAGAATACCGACCTTGTGGAAGTATAGGAGTTTAGAAGAGGAACTACGTGCCTGCCTGGGGCGACAGCAAGCATATTCCTATGATGAAAGTTTGTCTGCTGCTGTCATGGCCAGTACTTTGCCTCAGTATCTTCGTCTCTTTCTGCCACATTTCTTCTCTCAACTGAGCTTGCATACCAACAGCTTGCACCCGTCAGAGAGAAGTGGCATGAAACAGGCATCTTCCCAAGCCCACCCACCCTCCTCACAGAAACTGGGATGCTGCTTGCACACATGCCACACAACTGAAAATATTGAGAATCCATTCTGGATCTTCACAAAAGTTGGGGGAGTGGTGGTTTGCATTCCAAGAAATATGGGGTTGTGAAGCCATTCTTCTGGGATACTAGCTGAATGATACCAATGTTGTCTAGCAGTATACCCCCAGATCTAAATCCCCAATTAGCTATTTCACTATAAAATGGTAAGCGTGGAAAGGCACTTATTGAAACATCTACAGATGTTGCTTCCAGTCCCACCTTTTGCCCTTCTGACTAAGCACTTCGCAGTAGTCTCTGCCATGTAGCGAATGGAACAGGACTGAAGCAGCAATCCCCGTCTTACCAAACATTCACCCAGCCAACTACACAATCCATACAACTGAAGACATGGCTTTTTGCAGAGTTCCTAACTTGAGAGGCAGGAGTTGAACGGACAAGCTTTGAACACAGGTTGGCTTTGTCTGGAGGCTGCTGCCGTGATCTTGCTTCTCCCTCTCACAACAGGTGTTTATTGAACACATTGTACATATTTTGAATGTCAGCCAGCGGACTTGAATTCTGTTTGGACAATCACTTGATATTTATAAAGCACCCGTTACATCCTCCATACAGATATTTTTGGAGCACTTCACAGCAAAATAACAGAGCTTGCTAATTGGAACTAGGAAGGGATGGACATAGCAGCATGCATAAACCACAGGAAATGTCAGAAAGCAGAAAGGTGCATGTATCCATGCAAGAAGGTTGTCAAGGGGATAATTTGACCAATTAATCAAGTACAGCAATGACGTATCAAAGAACTGAGTGCTGCATCCTCCTGTCCAGCAGATGGAAGGTGGTTACATCTTCTGAATGGATGAGTGGGATGCAGATAACAACTGCAGCACAGCACAATTACTGCTGTACTCTTGTGTAACACTGTGTTAAGTAAAGCACACAAGTCATGCGGAACAATGCCCAAAGGATGCAAAGCAAGCTGGTCACAAGTCAACAGAAGGGTTATAATTTGTTGTTATAATTATGGTATGCGGAATGCAAAGCTACTGAAACCATAGTCTGTCTCTGCAGTTTCCCGGTTCCCGTACTTAACAAAGACAGAGGAGATATGAGAATCTTTAGACACCTGGAGGTTGCACAATCTGTTTCAAGCAGATTACATGGGTCCCCCCCGCACTTAATCTCACTTCATACATGTGAGGTGATAAACCTTGCCTACCTGAAAGGAATGTTTAAAATTATTTGAATGTATCCATTCATCATTTAGGCCCCCCCCACCTTAAACCATGACAACCAATATCTAAAGCATCTCCAAATAGATGCCCACCCTTGCTTTTTTGTTCATATTTCTAATTGGTTCTATATTCCTTTTCTATCTGTTGGCTGTTGCAGTTATGTGTATTGATATATTCTCTTTTGTACAAATTAGGGTAAATTTATCAGAATCCATTTTGGAACTACAGGCAAGCTATCTTCAGCGGATATTGAAATTTGTAAGCAACATGCTAATTTCTATACTTACTTGAGCTATATTACTTGAGCTATATATTCAGATTCCATGTTTCAACCTATTTCTCAATGTAATTCTTCATTACCCAACCAGATCTGCTAGAGAAATCCCGAGTTATTTTCCAACAACCAGGTGAAAGAGACTACCATATCTTCTACCAGATCTTGTCTGGGAAAAAAGCAGAGCTACAAGGTAAGAGAAAGGAAAGACGTGGTGTGTCCAAATTAAGAAATGCAACTATGATCAGCACTGCTGCATTAAAGAATGAAAAACTAAAGACAGGTGACTTGCAGAACCCAATTAGGTTCAGTGGTGGGTTGTTGTTTTTACACTTTTTGTAACTGCTTGTTGGTGCAATCCTATGCACACTTTTATGGGAGTGAGCCCCACTGCTTTTCATTTTTTCATTTGGGGTATGTTCACATTGACAGCTCAATACACGGCAAGGTCGTTCCCCTCCCCTGCTGTGTTTGAAGCCTCAATTTACATGGTTTTGTTCACCTAAGAGAGAATTCTTCACCCAATACTCATGAGCTTTTTGGTTTTCCTGTCTCGGCAACATCACCCCCTACACCCCACCACTGAAGCTGTCACCTGTGCAATGGCTGTCTCAAATGTTCAAACCATTCTGCAGTATAAAGCAAATGTGGCTTACTTTTTCTAATTGGATTGAAACTGGTTTGAGAAGCTACAGGGCTGATCTGGATTGGCATTAATGTTGTGTTAATGCATACTAACAGTGGGAGCACACTGGGTGTGGAACTATTATTTGTTTGTTTGTTATTTATTATACCCCATCCATCTCACTTGGTGGCCCCAGCCACTGAGCGGCTTCCAACAGATATAAAAACATAATAAGACAGGGTTTGTGTGAACATACCCTTAAAATGCCTTTGGGCTATGTGATGTCCTAGAATGTTATTGGTGCTGGTGTTAAACAAAGAAATTGGCAACACTTCCCAGGGTATCTGGCTTCCACCCCATTGGGTGGATCTCCTTGCTTGATTCCCTTCCATATATTTTCACTTGTTCTTTTTTAAAAAAACAGAAACCATTTTAATTCAATCTGTGTTTCATTAATTGCTATACTTGGGATCAATTTAATGTGTACATGGGTTCAAACGATAATGTTATATATAGTTTCATTTCATTTTAGAATTGTACACTGCCTTGTAAGGGCATTGTGTCCTCTCAGGCAGTTTAGAATTCCTTTCAATAAACAAATGCTGGAGACCATGGGAGGTTACAGTGCTCAGATGCCCATGTTCTGCTTGTTTTCTGGGTGGCCACTGTGAGAACAGGATGCTAGAACTAGGTGGGCAATTGGCCTGATCCAGCCATCTTCTTTTTTATGTTCTTATATATTATCCTCTAATATATTATTCTCTTTGAATCTGTAGATAGGGTTTTGCCTAAGACACATCTTTGCCTCGTGACATTTATACATGCTGATTGTGAGTTGATGCAGATTGCTAGAAATCCCCAGCTAGGCAGTGCTTCTTCTAATATAGCGAAGCATCCCTTTATCCATGCGCTAAATTGCTGCTTGGCAAAAGCAGTAATAATCTCATTTGAGTTCTTGTTATCCTGGCAGAGTGGTCCATCTGCTAAACCCTTAACCCAGTTAGCCTTTGCTGTGGTCTAATTAAGGAAGATTAAAGGAACTGTTTCAAAGTAATTTTGTGCTAACAGGATTTGAACACAAATATTGTACTGTGAAAATGTACCTTCCATGGTGAATTTATTCCTCTGCTACACACATTCGCAGAGATGGTTGCATGCATCAGTCACCACCCAAATTTTTATTTAACTATTACAATCAGTTGCTCATAAGTAGTCCTATTGAGAGAGAGAAATTACTGTCGGTAATAATGTCTATAGTACACACACATCCTGTTGTCTTAACAAATCTCCTGAGTCTTCCTTTTGTCTTGCTTTTTGGCTAATATTCTTGACTGTCATTTGAATTTCCAGTGCTTTTCTACAGGGGATCAATGCACTGGAATCAGCTGAGGCTCTTTAGTTGACTTAGAGTTTGTTGGGCCCTGTGCAATTTCCCTTGCCTTTTATCTGTTGCAGAAGAGGAAGGATCTGAAAGCATGGCACCGTATGATACCAAGTTGACCAAGGTGTGAGACTTGGGGGCTTTTGGCCAAGTGGAATTAGCTGTATGAGCACAAGAGTGACTAGGTGGCACTGTGCAGCAAGGTCCATTAATTTCAACAGGTCTACTCTGAGTAAAACAGAGTTGAATATCACCCTTGATTATTTGAGCACAGAAATAAAGATCATTTGCAGTTCCACCTCAAGATGAAATCCAGGCACTGCAAGATGTCAGAAGTGGATTACTTATTTAACCTAGCAACATCTGAAGAGCAACAAGTTCCCTAGCCCATATCAAAGTGGTTTGTGGTGGAGGAAACTTTTATGTACTTTTGTGAACAAATAGCAGGTTGGCTCAGAAGAAATAATTGTCAGACTTCAAGTGGTGGTGTCCAACTTCTTTCTCCTGGTCTTTCCTGTGGAAGTCATGCATATGGCACTTATAAGTGATCCAATTTAGGAGCTAAACTCTACACATTTCTGCAGGTCTAACTTCTTCCAACGATATTCCACTGTCATTGTGATGCCACCATAAACCTTGTCTTATGACATTGCATTTATGGGTACATGTTGACTCATGAGGTATACTCAGTAACAGACCAGATCTCAAGAAGAGAGGCTATTTTAATTTTTCTTATTTGCAGATATGCTCCTGGTGTCGACAAATCCCTACGACTTCCACTTCTGCTCACAAGGTGTAGTTACTGTGGACAATCTGGATGATGGGGAAGAGCTGCTGGCAACTGATGTAAGATATGATTCATTTTGATTAAAGATTGCAAAATCTTGCTAGCCATAATCTGTTGCAGACGTTGCTGTGGTTAGATATTTCTTTTGTTCTCACTGAAACTGTGGCAGCAGATTTGAAGCACTGCACACCCAGCCCATGGGAAATGTGCTGTAGCATAGAGTAGCTGAGCACAACTGTGCTACCAAGTCAGGGCATCTGGTGCATTTCAGTATTTAGGATGCTCTTAGCATAGGGTCCCCTTTAGCCAAACCTCTCTTCTTGCTTTAAGTCTTTCAGAGTAGGAAGAGTGGGGAAATGCAGACATAGCCTTAGGGCTATGGTTTCCATTACACTTTGTAGGTTTCCATTAGGTCTTGAGTACATAGGAAAATAATTCTTATCTCTATATGTACAGATATTATAAAAAGCAACACTAAATCTGTGTATCAGCATTAATAATTCTTTCAAACTTGGCAGAGACAGTAGGTGGGATCCAAAATTTTTGTTCCACAAGGGATTTCCATTGAACATTTGATACAACGTGATGGTCATATCATAGAATCATAGAGAGCAGCACTAAGAAAAACACACCAGGTATAAGAAGTCCATTTTGATGTAGGACAGTGGTGGGTAATCTCCAGGTCACAGGCCGAATGTGGCCCTTGGGACTCTTCGCAGACTATGCCTCTGAGTAGGCCATACTCTGCAGCCTCCTCAAGTGTCTGGGCTGTGATAATGCCTCTTGCTTGCCCTCATAGAGGAAGGAGAGACATGTGGCTGGAATGTAGCCTATTGTACAAAGTTAAGAATCAAATCTCTGATCCCACTCACTTTGCTATCTCTTATCTTGCCCACAACTGGCATGGAGGCCCCAGAAGGTGGGCCTTCAGCATGGGCTGAAGGTTCCCCCTCTTGATGTAGATATCTATGTAGAGATCAACTATTTTGCTCATTGCAATCTCTGTAGTCAACCTCAAGTAACCTTTTGAGAGTTCCCATCAAATGTGAATGGTGCTTCTCTGAGGTACTCTTGGTGACTGTTCCCGAGCTGTAAAATTTCATTCCTCTGGGATTCACAAGATATTGACATCATTATGTGCACATAGCCCATAATGGATTTTTAATGCTATCCTATAATGCGTTTTTAATGCTATTCCCTACACTTTTGATGTTCTCAAGTACTTTGTAATGCATTCACATTGCACATAATGCATATTTTTGGTATGGAGAACATAGCAATCCAGAATATTCCCAATAAGTTTCCCCTAATATTGGTATTAAACCATCCATCCTTTTATAGTGTATTTAGGGATTGGAAAGGGGAGGTATCTTACTGGCTAAGGTACTTCTGTATTAACACCCCTCATCTGAACAATGGGAACAACAATTTGAGAGAAAGATAAGCCAATGCAAAAGTCACTTGCTTAGTATCTATCAGATAAATTATGTTGTTTCCAACAGACCAAGTGAGCAGCAAGCAACCAGAGGACTCAGGCATTTTGAGAATGTAGTTTTGGATACGGTAAATGATCAGAGGGTCCTGGTTTCTGCATATGTTAAAGGGAATACATTAGAATAGCCCACATGTGGTATTATACCTCAGTGAAACTGACACACATGCAGGGCACAATGTTTCCAGACCATTGGCAGGATTGTGGACAAGACTGAGAGTGGCAACAGATAGTGAGATTTTGGGTACTCAATGAGAGTAATATAATAACTACGCAGATTTTTTTTGGAGGGGGAGAGAGAGAACGTAGTATTTAAGGGCTTGATTAGATTCATTTTAGCTGCTGAAAGATTTGTGATAATGGAACTGTGGAAAGAGCAATAGGACTTTCACGGTACATCTCGGTTACAGTAAATCTTGGGAAATTACCGTTGCAGAAAAGTTTATATATCAAATCCATTTCATCAAGTAACAAACAAAACAAAGCACTTTTTTTTTTTAACAGAAAGGAGTAGCTTTTTTTAATGCTAATAAGATTGACAGTACATGGCAATATATAGTGATTTAGGAAAAAACAATCAATGATTTAAGTTTGTGGGGAATTCTCATCGGTGGAATACAGAAGAAGACGCATTGTTATATTTGTCATTCAGGGTGAATTAAAGCATTACAAACAATATTCTTTATCCCCCCATATTTTAATTGATTTTCCAATAATATATATTAAATGGACACAATTAAATCCACACAGTGAGAAAGGTTCCACCCTCCTCTTGCCAGAAGTGAGTGTTCTTGTTCATATTATATTGTATGCTCTTCAATCATATTTACTTACTGTCTATTTTTGTCAATCCTTCAAGCAGGGATCTTCTATATCATATGATCACCATCATCTCCATCAATCAAAGGAGACAACTCATACACAAACATAGTTCTAACAAGGAGGAAGCAGCCAGGAAGTCCAGTTCTGTGCTGATGGCAGCCAACATAGTGTTCTCCATTCCACATGTGTAAAAAAATGGCCACTAATTGGCAGAGAAAGTATCTGGTTTCTTTTCTCCCCTCTATACTGCTACATCATGGGTTATTTTCTCCTGAAGGAGCTATTCATACATTGCTAAACCATAAATCTAGCCCTATAGACCTTGTAAATTTCACTAAGTTTGGACTATAAAGATTCTCACTACTAACGTTCTGAACAGACCTGTTGTATTAATATATTTATTCGTCTCCTCAAAAAGAGAAAGCAGAGACAAGTGAAACAACAATGTTTATGATGCCTTAAGTCTCCCTGATTGATGAATATGATAGCAGTGATTGTCTTCTTCTGTATTAGTCCCATAGCAAAAAAGAATATTGTTCCAGGTCTGGGGCAACAGAGTTTGGGGGTGCAAGGGCACCCATAAATGCTAGAGTTAGTGAATGCTAGAAATTAATAAATGGTAGAATTTAGATAATGTTTGGAGTATTGAAGGAAAGGTGCCAGGCCAAGGCCTCACTTAAGATAGAAGTTATTAAGAATGGCAAAAGGTGCTGGAAGTGAGTCATTAACCCATCAATAAAAACCATCAACAGGGCAAGAGATTTTCTGACAAGGACCTAGTGGGAAGCTCCCATGGTTACCATGGGTGTATGATTTCAGCTTCCATGACATAGGAAAACAGGGAAGGTGGGGCTGTGCCCACGAAAAAAATAGCTGTTTAAAATGAGACGGGGTTTTTTTCCTAGCAAGGGTCTTTGAGCAGGAGAAGGGTGGAGCCAGAACTCCAGGCAGAAGCCATGCAGGGCAGAACCATCTTGGCAGGCTGGGACAGAGACTCCAATGCTGTGCTGCTGTGGGAAGCAAGTCCCTCTTGTGATGTAATGCTCTGAACTCTCTCCAAAGTAGACCCAGGTGTAAATATGGGTACAATAAACCATATTTCTTCAAGACTGTGCCTTGATTTCCCAATGGAAACAAAACCCTGGCTGAGCTCCTGGAACCCCTGGAACCTCAAGCAGCCGCTCGGCGGAGATTGGGTTGGCGTGTAGCGCTATTATGTTCAGCTGTCATGCCATTGCAGTTGTTGGGCTATTTTTTTGGTTGGTGGTTTTATTTGCTTACCTTAAAAATGAAAAATCTCTCTCTTTCTCTCTCTCTTCAGTAGATTATTAGTGGTAGGAACTATTCTCTGTTTTTGAGGAATAGGGCAGATTCAAAATAAATAGCAGAGGCTTCTTGTTCCTCTAGTTTATTTTTTGAAAGATCAATACCAGAACAAGCACAAATATCAGCCGTGCCGCGAAAGAGCTCTAGAAAATAAAGCTGCATGTTGTTTCACAGGCAAGTGACAAAACGTCCTGTTCTTTTTACTTTCCACAGCAAGCCATGGATATTTTGGGCTTTGTGGCGGAGGAAAAGTATGGTGCCTACAAGCTCACTGGTGCCATTATGCACTTTGGAAACATGAAATTTAAACAGAGACCCAGGGAGGAGCAGGCAGAAGCTGATGGCACTGAAAGTAAGCTCTTCCGTATCTGCCTATTCACAATGTTCCATGCCCTGTGTTGAGCTGTGAGGCTGCAAGGCAAGGTCTGTTTTAAGTGACTGCAGGGATGTTCACAAGTTACATTCAATGAGTGCACAATCTGTGTACACAAATAGTTGAGCTGTGCACATGTACAGTTATTCACAAGTCATGTTCAGCAAGTGTACAGACTGTCCACACAATAGTTAAGCTATACATCAAGGGTACAATCTTTCACACAAACACTTGTACATTTGTAGGGCCAGCTTATACCTGTGCTCATTGAAACATGTGAATAAGACGTGGGACTCAAAAATAGGCAGATGAGTGACCATGGGACTGGCGGACCTTAGCCCCACCCACGGGCCCGCGAAGGGGTGGAGTCCCCTTCCGTGGCGAAGCACAGCCATGCCGGCCCCTGACATTTGCAAATACACCCAGTACTTAAATCTCGGACATTGATATAATTGGTAGAAGGAAATTGACTAATTTTTTGAAAACGGGAATAACAGTCATAGATGATCAAGCAGCATAAACGTGTTTACTATCATTAATTGTTGAACCAGCAGATGACTGTTAACGCAGAGAAACCGTCTTGCCCTGGGTGTCAGGACTGACGTTCTTCAGATAAAAACATAGGTTCCTGTTCTTTCGCATTTAAACAATATTACAATATCTGAAACTTGTTGCAGATCTGCCTTAAAAAAGAACAAAGTTCCCCTAGGGAAACAGTTTAATTCTGAATGGACACAGCTGTACAGATTAACGGAATAGCCTTTGACCTGCAGAAATGTATCAGAAGTCGCACAGGCCTACTGGAGCAGCTATGACTTGAGACTGATGATCAGAAATTGAGATAACCCACATCAAACAGGACAGACAGATGGATGCTGAACAGATGGAGGCCCAGCGAACATGAGTCTGATTGACAATGAATAAAGCCAGATTGGAGTTGGTTGGTTTGGATGGGGGGTGGAGCCCCATGCAATTTTGACTTTCATCTGGCAATGCGGATGTTTGGGTATTGAGGACTGAACATTTTTACATGGTTTAGACTAGAAGGGCTGTTGTAGGGTCAAATTGTTGGTTGAAAGCAGAGAGTACAAATAAGACGGAAGGAGAAGGACAGGGCTCGGACTAGATAAGGTTAATCGGATTTGAGAAGGACTGAAAACCGACCAGAGAAGCGTTGGGATTAGTTTTAAAAATTGAAAATTATTTGGCTTTTAAAAATAATATATGTTATAGCTGTTTTATTTTAATAGTAATAGAAATGATTATAAAGACAGAATATTATGAAAAATGGAAAGGATTTGCTGCGACAATTAATAACTAGGATACAAAAAAAGGGAGGGGTGAGGAGGTCAAAGAAAGAAGGTAATGACAATTAAGGATTTGAGAATATTGGATTTGTTTTTAAATGTTTGTGGCACATTTTTGTCTTTTGATCGTCATGTGTTATTTTTTTATTCTGATTTTTATTAATTTGTATTGCTTGATTGTGGCTTGTTTTTCCTTTGTTTTTCCTTTTTCTTTTTTGTTTCTTTTTTGTAACTCTAAAAATTCTTAATAAATATCATTTAAAAAAAAAAGAAACATGTGAATAACCCTTGTTATTGCTGTATGATCTGTATTCAGATCATACATAATCTTCAAGTTTTATTCCTCTCACTTCTGCGATTGTCATTTCCATGTGATTGGAACATACATATCATGACACTTCTGTGTATTCCATGATGTTGATATTACTCTCCTGGGGGGAAATAAATGTCAAAACACAGCAAGAGCAGCAGCTAGACTTTCAGACTCAGGTACTTGGGGTTAGAGAAACACAGTTAATTCAGGAAGAATCTATGATGTAGAGGTCTGCAGTCTTTTAAATATATTAAATTCTAGTACAGGGTAGGTGTTAGCTAGGATTTATATAGCCAATTTGATTTTCATGCTCCATTGTTGCTGTTTAAAAAATGCTAGAGTCTATCCCAGTAAATGAGTGATCTGTAAATCTAAACCAGTCCTATCCTGTTTCAATGAACTTGTTGAAATATTGTAACTCTCTATCAGGTGCTGACAAAGCTGCTTACCTGATGGGAGTTAATTCCTCTGATATGCTTAAGGGTTTGGTGCATCCTAGAGTGAAAGTTGGAAATGAGTATGTCACCAAAGGCCAAAGTGTGGAACAGGTAAGGAGGTGTTTAAACTACATGAGCCAGCATGATACCAAACCCATATTATGGGATGGAGAACCATCATTCTTTTGAGGACTGCAGTTCCCTTGGGAGCAGTCTGTCTGGGACTGCATGCCACTGGGGGCGGGGGCTGAAGCCAGCAGTGGAGCTAAAAGTGGGTGGGGGACTCTTTTGAGCTTCAATTTATTATTTGTATTGTCTGACCCTTTCCAACAAATACTGTACATTGAGCTCAGATTGGCTCACAATAATAACAAAGTGTTAGAAGTTAGCAAACAACATTTCCAGTCTATGAAAAAACAAAACAGCATATAAGTGAAGCAAAAACAAACTCAAAGAACAATTAATGCAAGAACTATTTGGATACAAGCCATTGTCTTTCTTCAGTACACATTTCCTTACCACATTTCCTCAGAAATAAGTGCTACTGATTTTGATACAAGTTAGTTGGGCTTAATGTAGAAAATTTTAAAACCTCCCACAACAATATCATGAAACAAGGAAGTACGTAGCTGGATTTTCATAAAACAAAACTGTAAATCCAGCTTCAAAGATTCCAAAGCTATATTGAAATCCATCTTGCATGCAGCTGTGTGAGCATATTTATGCCGAGTTGAAACTGCAAAACCTATGGCTTTGGGCAATTATTAAAGCACACATTACCACACTGAAGTCCTTGCCATTGGACAAAGCAGTAAACTATGCAAATGCAAAAGGAACTAGATAAATTGCCGTTGAGCCAATAAATATGTTGCTTGGTGATGAAAAAATATAATTCCTCTTGCAGATTTCATATGTAGCTATATTTATTCCTGTTTTATAAGTCAGGGACTAAGGGTGAGAAATGATTTGCTTTATCAAGGTTGCATAGTTGGATCAAGTATCCCAGGTCCAACACCCTCTATATTGAGCTACACTGATCTATGTTTTAGGTCAATAATTGTATGCTAGGTTTCAACCCAGAATGTCAATAGATCTGAACCTGGCATGTAGGATGCTCAGAGGGAGTATCTTCCACAGATTTGATCACAAGGATTATTATGGTATTGTGTGATTGTTCTACCTCTCTTCTGCAGGTTTCCTATTCTGTTGGGGCCTTATCCAAAGCAGTGTATGATAGGATGTTCAAGTGGCTCGTTACTCGCATCAATAAGACCTTGGACACCAAGTTGCCAAGACAGTTCTTCATCGGGGTGTTGGACATTGCTGGCTTTGAAATCTTTGATGTGAGTAATTGCCTCCCAAAATTTTCATGATAGCAACAAATTGATTTAAAGTAATTATGTTTAGGGAAGCTTTTAATGTTTGATGGATCACTGTATTTTAATATTTTGTTGGAAGCCGCCCAGAGTGGCTGGGGAAGCCCAGCCAGATGGGCGGGGTATATATAATAAATTATTATTATAAATTATTATTATGTCTCTTAGCTAGAAGATAACATTTGCTGAACGAATCAGTTATCAGTGTTGTATTAGCAGGAATGTCACCTCAGATGTTGCTTGACTCCCATCATTCCTGACCACTGGCCATGTTGGGTGGGGCTGATGGGGGTTAGAGTCCAACATCTGGAGGGTCACAGATTACACACCCATGTTGTACAGCTTGCTGAGTTTATCAGGAGCAATGAGAACTAGTCAGTAATGTATAGGTGTAGTTTATTTATCATTGATAAGAGCATGAGGAACATACTCCCAAACCCATCTTGGAAAGCAAGGAACTGTAACTAGTATTACAATTTTGATCTTTTGGTGATGGTAAGAAATAAGCAGTAGTCAAGTTCTCATATGAAACTTGCAAACTTATACTTGCAACAGGCTTACCAGTGTTCAGCTGACCTACTTTATTTGATCCACCCAAGGGCAGTAGAAATGCACATACACACACAAAGGCAGAGAAGATGCACATAAATGTTTAACCATAAAAATTAGAAGGGTCAATAAATTGTAGATAGTATTTATATAACTTAGCACCATCCACTGCAAGGAAAATGCCATAGTTTGCACAAATTTACTTCTCATGTTCTTAGCAAACAGCCCCGACATTTGCAGGACTTCAATTCTTCTGTTGCTGGAAAGTGGAAAATATTTGCCTTTTGACAGATACCTTTCATAATGAGTCTACTTCAGCCTCAATCCAGGAAATGTTGGTTAGGCTTTGACTTCAGTTCTGCTCAAAGTTTCATCTAACAGCAGTTCCAATGGGACTTAGGCACAAGGGGAACTTCTCTGAATCAGGGCTTCAAAAAAAATGCCTGGCATATTATGCCTGGCACACTTTGGGAATTCAGTGGCGCTCTTCTATCCATATCTGAAAATTAAGCAGTTGTGTTCTGCACATTAGCACTGAAGTTAGTCTTAAAGGAATTCAGATCATATACTAACAGACTTTACATATATTTGCCTTCGTTCTTGTTCCTCTGTAAATTTAATTTTATGTCTTTCCTCCCCCTCATAGTTTAACAGCTTTGAGCAGCTTTGCATCAATTATACAAATGAAAAACTGCAACAGTTTTTCAATCACCACATGTTTGTCTTGGAGCAAGAAGAGTACAAAAAGGAAGGCATCGATTGGGTGTTCATTGACTTTGGATTGGATTTGCAAGCCTGCATTGATCTCATTGAAAAGGTATGGAAAACAACATTGGGGTTTCTGTTTGATAGCAGGAAAGGCTTACCATAAAGACAATGAGATTAGGGTAGATTTAGGGGAGCGCGACTGGTTTGGTCACACTGGGAGTGGAGACTTGGGGATGCCACAGGCGTCACCACAACTATGATGTAGAACAGAAGGCAAGATGTGAGGGGGGCGAATTTTGGCATTGCACAGGGCACCGCTGAAATTTGACACCCCAAGGTCTACCAGTGATGTGATGTAGTGACTAGCGTGTCTGACTAGGTCCTGAACTAGGTTATGTCTTTGTGCAGCTGTAAAATTTACTGCTTGACCCACGGGCCAGTCGTTGCCTCTGGGCATAACCTACCTGACAAGCTAGTTTTGACCATAAAATTGAGGAAGATAACCATCTATTCCAGCTTGAGTTCTCTGAAGGAAAGAAGGAATACAAACATACTTTTGAAGATTGATTTCTTCTACTAGCACCATGACAAGCCTAAACAACAGCAATATACCTGGTACCTTTTGATTCTTGATGTTTCCACTGGAGATACAGATATACCTATATTTATTCATTTTTCCGTAGTTGCCCATGCTCAGAGATGTAGCAGTCACATTCAAAACAAATAAATCTTCTTGACCAGTTTTTTCCATTAGTTAGGAGAGACCATTAAACAACTTTTGCCCCACCAAGGCAAATGTTGCCTAATAATGCAAGAACTGCAGAAAAAGACTGGGATGGGTGTCAGTAACTTGGCAAGCCACGAGACACAGCTGGTGGTATGTGTTCATTATGCTGTGTAGTAAGTTATATAGACCTCAGCTATTATAACGCTGGGTTGTTTTCTGACTGATTTATTGAGAAAAGTAAGTCAATCCAAGCCTTTTTGAAAACCAAAGCATCAATATTGTGTCAGCAATCTGTATAAAATATAATATTTTCACACTGTGTCGTCAAGTCTGATAGCAGTCTGAAAGAGTAATATGTTAACAGCTATTGGGAGCGGGGAGATTCTGCAGATGCAGTATTCATTCATGCTAACCTAAATGACATCCTTGGAAAAAAAACCCCTAACATTTATCTCCCTATTGCCGTGCGTAGCCCTTGGGGATCTTGTCTATCCTAGAAGAAGAATGCATGTTCCCGAAGGCTACAGATATGACCTTCAAAGCCAAGCTGTACGACAATCATCTGGGCAAGTCACCCAATCTGCAGAAACCCAGGCCTGACAAAAAGCGGAAATATGAAGCTCATTTTGAACTCCTGCACTATGCTGGAGCGGTAAGTTTTTGGCATTTGCAGATGGGGACAATGGCATTAACCTCAAAGCATGAAGCCCTGTTGGAATGAATGTGTCAGATGCTGCTGGTGGTTGCTCGCGAGTAACCAGGCAGGACTCCGACCTGTCTTTTACAGGTTTTATTGTGCAAACTATTTACAGTGCAGATCTACAAAGTTCATGCCCATCTTAGTCACTTGCAGAATCCGGGAGTGGCCCCTTCCGGCTTCTCCCCCAACATAAGAACTTCGGCACCCCAAGCCTCCTCCCTCCCTTGCGTTTCACCCCTCTGCGCAAGCTGGGCTACGGAAGAGGCGTGCGTCCCTCCTGGCCAGCTTGGTGAGGTGAGGCGCTGGGTGCTCCTCAGGAGTTTCAGAGGCTCTCTGTATCCCAACGGCCCCCCTGCCTCCCTCCCCTGTTCCGATGGCAGTCCCCTGACAGAATGGAGTCATGGGCCAAAGTGGTTGCAATGGCACGAGAGGAATGCCACGCTTTGAGTTTTGAAAAGTTAACTTGAGGCTGAAGTCAGTTGAGCTTCTGAGTGTGCTGGAAGCAGTTTGAAATTATCTGCTCTTGAAACATATGCCTTAGAATTCAACCACAGAGTCCCTGTCTTCATCTCTAGGCATTATTATTATTATTGTCTCTACAAAGAAAGACTGAAACTCAGTGGTAGAGCACATGCTCTGTATGCAAAAGGTTTAATTCATGTCGTCCCCAGGTGGGGCTAGGAAAGACCCCAATCTGCAACCCTAGAATCAGGAGTGATGGGAGTTGCAATCCAAGAACATCTGTCACCATCTTAGCTAGCCGTGGTGTGGACAAATGGATTAGTAGTCTGACTCAGTAGAAGGCAGTTTCCCATGTTCCTAAGGGATAGGAGGAACCGAAAGACTGGGGGGGATGCATAGAAGAAAGATGTGGTGATTATTTAGGAAAATGGAGATCTGATATTAAGATGAATATATTACTGGGAAGACTCCTGAAGTGACCCATAAAATCCCCCTTAATTACCTCCCTTCTTTCAGATGTCATTTGGAAACTATATTGTGCAGACAGACCTTTGCAATATGAATGTTCTCTTTTCAAACCAACCAGTATTTACTGTTTTTTTTAATTATGTTTTTATGTCTGCTTTTTGTTGATTTTATTCTTAAATGTTGCATTTCCCTTCCATTTTTTTAATGAAAGTGCAGTTTATAAATACATAAATAGATAAACCAGAATTTTAAATGGTTGTAAGGTAAAAGCAAAAGGCATTAGACTTGATTATTTAATCTGTTTTATTGTTTTGCTTCCATTTTGTCTGTCTATCATCTCTCTCCCTCTCTCTCTCTCTCTCTCTCTCTCTCACACACACACACACACACACACACACTAGGTGCCCTATAACATTATGGGTTGGCTTGAGAAAAACAAAGACCCACTCAATGAAACTGTAGTGAGCACTTTTCAAAAATCTTCCAACAAACTTCTGGCAAGCCTATTTGAAAATTATGTCAGTGCTGACAGCGGTAAGTCGAATGACCATTTCCCTTTAATTCCTAGATCAAAGCTTAGCAGAAATGTTGAGTAAATATACCATCTCATGAGATCTGAAGGTCTTGCTGCCTTAAATGTACTTTTTTCCATTACATCTCTGTGGGATGACTATTTCTACTGATTCAAACAGTTGGTGCATCACTCAGCTTTCTTTCTGGCTCAGATGTTGGTACATCACTCAGCTGCAGCCATAGGCACTATGAGTTACATTTTGACGGTGCACCCATAAAATGCTTTATAGGTACATCTTTAAATGCTAGACAGTTAGGAATGTCTTTAACACTCCTGATGAATACACCATTGGTGGGAATGATACTGTGTAATGAGTGAAATAACCTCTGCAAAGAACAGATTGGAGTACTGTGGGAGGTCAGAACCATGAAAATACTGGAAGTAGCAAATGTATATTACAGACATGCCCCCACTTATGTGAGATTGACACATGTGTGACCGCATATATGCATGGCGCTGGGAAATAAATAAATAGATATATTCAATCCAGGAAATGGCGGGAGAGTTAGAGAGTCCTTGTGGCTCATGAGGACACCCTCCCCAGAGCCCAAAGAGGTCTTCAGAGAGGGTGGAGGAAGCCCCACAGAGACTGCAGGCACAGTGGGGCTTTGTTTAGGCTGCTGAGTCTCCCCACCTAGCAGATGATGCGTGCGGTAGCCACCTCTTTTTCGCATCCTCCAGCCTCTAGGCATCCCCAGAGCTTCAACTCTAGTTGAAGAGAGTTGTGCTGAGAGGCAGAGAGAGCTGGAGGGCAGAAAAAAATGGGCTTTTTTGACAGCTCCCTACTTACATTATTTTCACTTATGTGTGCGGGCCCTGGAACATAATGTAAATGGGGAGACACTTGTACTACGCACAAATAGTATGCATTTTCCAATACATTGGAATTATATATCCTAGTTGGGGTCATGTCATTTTTCAGTCACGGCCTACTTGGGCATGAATGCTCCTGTGCTCATCAACATGGACACAAGGATGTACCAATTAACCTCTTCCGCTAGTCCTGAAGTGTGAAAAGCATGACCATTTGTAACAACAGACTCTTTCTGCCCACAGCTGTGCACATGAAGGCTTCTAGGCTTCTGCACCATTGGGAGTCCATGTTTCGAGGAAACCTTCATACGTAGTGCTGTACGTGTGAAGGCTCCACTGCCACAGGTGGTTGTGCTCTTTGCGCAAAGGCTAGAGGATGAGGCTGCTTGAAAGGTCACCACTCCCACAAAGATGAAGATAAGAGCCTGAATGCCTGCACACGGCTTCTGTAGGGGTTTGAGTGGGCACATAGTGAACTGGTTGTGTGAATCAGCAGCCTTGAGCGCAAGTTACTGCCTTGAGCACAAGTAATGTGTGAGCTCATTGCACCTCAGCCCAGCAGTTGATGCTTATAATGGATGCTATGGAAGAATAGTTATATGGATTGGAAAGAAGGGGCAGTATCCAGCTAAACCCTCCAGAACATCTTTAAGGGGCACATGGGCAGAAGAGAGGGAGAGGAAGCTTTGTTGTGTAACAAGGTGGTTGCACTAGGGGAATTGTTTACTTGGCTGTCACCCAAAGTTTAAAAAGGAATAGTATGAATTGTTTCTTTGTAGATATCGGCTATGTTGTGTCACTTATTGGAATATAAAGCATTTTTTAAAATTGCGACACCCCACCTATCTTTTATAGTATAAAGTAAAGTAAATGCAGCTTCAGGAAATAAAAAATATTGTGCACCTGATAATTAAAGAAAATGGTGGTTCTCAATATCAAATCTCTTAGTTTTGAGGGTTCTGCTCCACTGAGCAGAAATAATTCTTAAATAACCGCATTTGCAACTGTCCTCTTTGGGCACCGCAGCAATTTGCAGGTTTCCATAAAATGATGTTAAATAAGTAGGAGTGTGACTCATTACAGAGATTTAGCTGTTATATCCTACAGCCACAATCAATTTACAGAATATTTATTAAGAACCTCATGTGAGTAGATGTAGTTGTCATGAATCATAAGAGGGTGTCTGGAAGACGCAGCCAGAATGCAGGCTCCATAACGCAAATTGGAGAAGGAGCTGAGCCAAAATAACACAACCTGCCACTTGCACATCATTGCAGGTAACTAGGAATCGTCATCTTGCCTGTCGGGATTTTTTGTTTTTTTAAATCTGCCACGGAATGTTATTCCTGGGACTTGTTATGCGGTTTTCACACTATGTCTGCCAAAGGGCATGGCCGTCTTAGTAGTAACATGAAACACATGGCACAACTCAGGTCTTTTTTACACGGACGCTTGCTATCAGGAGAAGCTTCCTAATGCCGAGAGCTGTTCTGTATCAGAACCAACACATCTGGAGCTGGTGAGGTCTCCTTCCCTGCTGGCTTCAGCAGAGGCTGGACGGCCATCTGCCAGGGATTCTCTAGTCGCATCCTGCATTGTTGGCCCTACATGGATCAGGGGACTGGACTAAATGACCCTCAAGATCTCATCCAGTTCTGAAATGTTATGCTGTAGAAAATAGCAGGTGCACTCTCAGATTCTTTGCAGGTCTTCAGAACTGACTCCAGTTAGTCCCATGTGCAGTATACCTTCAAAGCGGTGTCATACCACTTTAAACAATCATGGTTTCCCCCCCAAAGACTCCTGGGAACTGTAGTTTGTTAAGGGTGCTGAGAGTTGTTAGGAGACCCTTATTCCCTCACACAGAACTGCAGTTCCCCAAGTGGTGTGACTGTCGATCCCTCTTCCTCTGGAACTCAGGGAACTCTAGGAATTGTAGCTCTGTGAGGGTGCATATGAGGCAACATCACACTAACCCGACAAGAGTGTTTGGAGCATGATCAGGGTATGCTTAGAGGATGATCAGAGGACACTTTACACCACAACACCATAATGTTCTTGATGTTATCTGTAACCCACACATGGTGTTAAGCAGCAGAATATATGGCTGATTTATTAAAACTGCCTTTCCTTTCTAAAATGTTCCTTTGGACACTTTTCCTATGACATAATATTTAACTTATAACCAAAGCAAATGCCTCATGGAAAGTCCCCTCCATGAAGTTCCCCTTATTAATCAGTTTAGATGCCTATATTGTCCTTGGCCTACAAAGCTTGGGGGCCTTATGCAAGCATATTAGGGAAAGTCATACATTGCAGACAAAGCCAGAAAGTCTCTGGGTGGAATTCAACATTCCCTGCACGAGGCCTCCTCTGATAGGGTTTGGTAAGTGAATCCCTTCCAATGTATGTATCCCATTCTTATGAAGAATACCCAGAAACCTACCGAGTGGCACAGGAACTAGTATTACTGGACAGTTGTTAAAGCCTCAACACTATGGAAGGACTCACAGTTGCCTGGAGCCCCTATTGCTGCTTCTTGCTGCCATTGTCTCTTGCTCACCTGAGGGCCCAATTCTCACGGCTGCCTAGAGAAAGGCTTATAGCTCAGTGGGAGAGCATCTGCTTTGCATTCTTAAGGGTTTCAGTTTAAATTCCTGGAATTTCCAGATAGGGCTGAGACTATCCTAGTCTGAACCCTTAGAGCAGAGCTTTCCAAACTTTTCATGTTGGTGACACACTTTTTAGACGTGCATCATTTCTCGACAGTAATTCAGTTTTACTAGCAAACCAGAGGTAAACTAACACCTTTCCAGCCCTGAGAGGAGCGTGGGGAGCATTCACGCGACACACCTACACACTGCAGGCGACACACTAACATGTCATGACACACTGTTTGGAAAGCTCTGCCTTAGAGAGCAACAGGTAGCAGTGCTGGATTTAGGATGGTGTGGGAGGTTCCTCCATACAAGGAAGAACACAAGGAACCAAGCCAAGGGGCCACAAGAAAGCTGCATTGTAGCTTGTAGCAGCTGAAAACATCACTGGACCCACACTGCTGCATATGGCTTTGCGGAAAGCCATTGATAAGCATGCAAACTATTAAACATTTATGCTTCATGTCAGTGGTGTAATCAGTATTTAACTTAGTTGCTCTGTCTTTTTTTTTTTTAAGCACAAGCTGATAAAGGTGGAGAGAAGAAACGCAAGAAAGGTGCTTCCTTCCAAACAGTGTCATCCATGCATAAAGTAATTTTTCATTTCTTTTTTAAATGTAACCTGTCTGTTGTCTTTGTCATTTTACACCAACGAGCTGGAATATTCCTAACAGAGAACCTAAAATATTAGAAACAGGCCTCCATACAAGACCTGATTGTCTAGCTTCCTAAGTCATTAGCTGTACATTTTATTGATTTCCTCTTCTCATTCAGCACTTGAAACCAGATGGGTAAACTATACTCAGCTGTCATAGCTCATCAAGGATGGGGTTCAATACAACCACCAACGCATCCAGGAGGACTTCAAAAAATTACAGGGTTTTATTACATAAACTTTAAGGGAATAGAGTGAACTTGTTAACCTTTAAGGGACCATAAAAGACAAACGGTGGCAACTCTTGCACTGGCAGCAACTGTCAAATATGGCTAGCCCTCTAGAAGTTGTGTCCAAAACTTAGCAGGTGGTTGGCATGGTTGGATTTGACAACATCAATTGCTTATTTTGGGATCAGGATCAGAAGCTACAGTTTGATACTGGCACAGTTTAATAAAGCATAGTTTAAACTAACCACAATTTGGTCCTCTTGAGATGTAACTGAGAACTGTGCTTAATTTAAACCAAGACCTGGGTGCTTCCTGCCTCCTTCTCATGACTACATCAGATGGGAGGTGAGGAGAAGGAAGTGCACGAGCAAGTTCATTGACGCAGCTTAAACTATGGTTTAGTGTGACATCCAAACCAGAGCAGTGATTGTGAAGCAAGTGTACTAAGAAGTAACCAGGCACCGGGAAGTTGTGGGCAACAAAGGAACTACAGTAGTCCCAGTGTATGTACCTGCCTACTGAATCACTTCTTTATCCCATGGAGATGGGTGGCTTGCTCATCAGATGCTTGTTGTTCTGAAATGTTCCATGATTTTGCTTGTTTTAATCTCCCTTTCCTTTCCAAAGGAAAATTTAAACAAACTGATGACTAATCTGAAGTCCACAGCTCCCCATTTTGTGCGCTGCATTATTCCCAATGAAACAAAAACTCCAGGTAAAGCAAATCCAGCATAATTTTATTGGATTTCTTAGGTCTCACAATACAAATCATCATCTCTGGTGACATGTGATAAAGCCACCCTGAAATAAAATCCTTACGTTGGGCTTTCTTTCCAGGTGCTATGGACCCCTTCCTTGTCCTTCACCAGCTTCGCTGTAACGGTGTCTTAGAAGGAATTCGTATTTGCCGCAAGGGATTTCCAAACAGGGTTATCTATGCCGACTTTAAACAAAGGTATCGTGAAGATCAGTGGCCTAGCCAAGTTCTTACTTCTTTTGATCCCCCAAACCCAATAAGCAACCTTCCTTTTTAATCCTCTTAATTCACTTTTGGATGGCTTCTTTTGTTTACTTGATTGTTCTTTCCACAGCTGAGCTGAATCAAAAATTTTGCACATGCTGGAAATTTGGCCGGTGTGTGGATTTTGGCCCAGAATTTTATTTATTCATAAAAGTATTTCTAGACCACCAGTTCATACTGGGTGTTATGGAAGTTCAGCTGCCTACCTACTTCAGCTTCATTTGGGCGAGGGCTCTCTTTTGGCCCAGCGTCTGTTAGCATGCCTGCCTCAACCCTGTAGCTTGTGAAATGCATGCTTTTGAACATGTACTTAGCAGATGTCTCTTTGCCTCCAGCCACTGCACACCTGGGAGTTGGGCAGGAGGGTAGAGAATCTAGACAGGATTGCGCCTGGTTGCTTCTATGTTGTAGTGGTTTTTTTATTTTAAAAAATCAGTGTTATCTACCCTAGTTTTGAGGAAACAATTACCGGTAAATGTCAACGTTTGTGCCATTCCTTTTGGAAAAAGGAAGTTGTCAGTGTTTACTGCTGCTGCTGCTGCAGCAGCAGCTATATAAATCTCCATCTGGAGAGAGATAAGCTCATTATGTTTAGATTCCGGAAGGAGAAATGTTTTTAAGTTTGTTTTGTTAATAGCAGTGCTATTACAGGGAATATTTATGACCCTTTGTTGCTTTAAATGCTTTCTATAACTTAAAGTTACAGGGCAAAGTTTGCTCAATTGGCTGTTGGGGTGAAGCCTTGGAAGTTCAAAGCTATCTCCTTTCACCCTAATCTTCCTTATTTTACATTATTATCTAGCTAATGTGTTGGGGGCTGGGTAAATGAGGAGGGGGGAAACAAATGACTGCTCTGACATCACTGGTTAATTGGGTGCATTAATTGAGGAAGGGCCATAGATCAGTGGCAGAGCATATATTTTGCATTCTGAAGGTCCCGTATTCAGCCCTTGGCATCTTCAGTTTAAAGGAGTAGGTAGCAACTGCTGAAAATGGGTAGAAAGGCAGAGAATCTGGTCTTCTGTCTGACATACCTCCTGTATTCCAGTGTAAAGAGAGGCATAGCAACCTGGTCCAGAGTTTCATCTGCTTACACATTTTTTTAATCTATTCTTGCCAGGTACCGCATTCTGAATCCTTCTGCAATTCCCGAGGACAAGTTTGTAGACAGCAGGAAAGCTGCTGAAAAATTGCTTGCCTCTTTAGATATTGATCATAACCAGTACAAGTTTGGACACACAAAGGTAAAGCAATGGTTTCAATCTTTCCTTGATCTCAGTTAATCATCTGAGAGAATCTGATGCAATAACACTGTTGGAGGCCTGGATGGATGAATGGATGGATGGATGATCACTCGAAGATCAATATACACTATTCTGTCCCATCTATGAAAGAGTGGTGGTTGTGGGGAAGTAGGAAATGACATCTGGTTAAAGAGAGGCTATCATCCTATAGCCACTTACCCAAGGATAAAAAAAACAAACCTCATTGGGGCTTACTTCTGAGTAGCCTTGTATAGAATTGTGCATTGATTAATCACAAGTGTTAATCAATCCCATACACGTTACATCAGTTAAAATAACAACATGACAATCAGAAGTGGAAATCAAGAAGAAGGTAGCTCCGTGGCACCTAACACATTACACCAAATTGAGGCTCCTTGTGTGTCATTATTCAGCTTTAAGCACCCAGGCCAAGGGGCAAGCCAAACAAATATTCAACAAGAACAAAGATCAATGCAGGTAGAAGGCTAAATACAGAGACCCCCATGGTAATAACTAGGCAGTGTGGATCCACCCATTAAAACAACTAGTTAGGTTGGGCCTTCCTAGTCCCCCTGAATTCAACCCCTGAACAATAAAATTGCAGCAGCACTAACAGTCAGCACAGCCAGGCATGGCATATAAAAACAACCTTAAAAGCAAAAAAATTACCTGGCAAATGGCCCCTGGAGTAAAACAGTCTTCACTAAGTGACAGAAAACAGCAAGAGAATGGCACCACTGCCATTTTCTCGCTTCCGTTCTGTGTTGTATTTATGTAAACCACTTAAGATTTCTGTTGAAATATAGAACAGTATACAAGTTAGTTAAGGAAATGAAAGAGAGGGGCAAAGGGAATCTTGTGTGACAAGTGTTCAAAAGCACACAAAGAAGGCTATCTAGTCCATGGGTAGGCAAACTAAGGCCCGGGGGCCGGCTCCAGCCCAATCACCTTCTAAATCCAGCCGATGGTTATTAGTGTGCTTTTACATGAGTAGAGCGTGTCCTTTTATTTAAAATGCATCTCTGGGTTATTTGTGGGGCATAGGAATTCATTCTTTTTTCTTCTTTAAAATATAGTCTGGCCCCCCACAAGGTCTGAGGGACAGTGGACCGGCCCCCTGCTGAAAAAGTTTGCTGACCCCTGATCTAGTCACCATTGCTGCCTTCACATGCAGCTTGCTTGGCTTATTGCAATTAGTGTGCAGAGGACCTGGGCTCATGCAAGGAAGTTGGTTTGCAAAAGGAACCCCATTTCAATAAACCTTAGCCAGAAATGCTGTTGATTTTTGTGGGCGAAGTGTTCTAGTTCTGTGCTAGACACTATATGGTTGGCCGTAGTGAGAAATGGGATGCTGCACCAGGTGGGCCTCTGGCCTGATCCAGTCAGTGGTGGACTTTGGGCTCTGAAATTTCATCAATGCCCTGTGCAACACTAAAATTTGGTGCCCCTTGCCTCTCACATTCTGTTCTATGGCAATGTTGTGTGACCCCCTGCAGCCCACACCAGTTTTGCTACCCTAAATCTGCCTCTGGATCCAGCAGGTCTCTTCTCATGCTAAAATCTCTAGCACTGTTCATAAAACCGATGTGAAGAAGTAAGGGAAACACCTTTTCTAGCACTTCAGATTAAATGGCCAGAATAAATGCACCCCATAATGTTGAATGTCAGATCAAATTATAAAACAGGAAGGAAGTAGATCAGAAATACCACCAATTGTCTACCACCCAAGGATATATAATTCACAGCTCTGATTGTACCTGTAATGCTTCAATTGCCATTCATCATTACTAATAGCTAGATTTTTCAAAGGAATTGATGTAAAAGAATAGAACTAATTGCCACTTTTATGAATAATATTTTTTAAAAACCTTGCTAAGGGTGGAGACATACCCCCTAGCTTTCAAACATCCAGATATGTCTTTATTCTTTTTCTTTGACTTTTTAAAAATATGGCATGCTTTTTGCAAGGTAGAGTATTGTAATATAGGGTAGATATAGGAGAGTCTGTCGCTATTTTCAGTCGCATACTGGTAAGTTCAGGATGCACAATTATAGTTGATTGGGAAGCCTTGTGCAACAAATCTGCTCCCCCCCCAAAAAAAACCCAACCCCAGACTTTTTGCAATAAGGAAAAGGGTGGTATAATTCGCTGGAAAGAGTGGGAAAACAGTTTGATGCAACATCATCTGATCTCCTGATAAACTAAACAGAATGGATGCTCATTAAATAGCCAGTGCTGTCCAATCTCTCTGCAAACACATCAGGATGAGCGTTCAGTAAACAGGTCATCTGGAAGCATTTACAAAATAACATGCATAGAGCTGTAGAAATTTATGATGCAATCCTTTTTATATATATATAATTTTTATTAGTTTTTTTAACATATCATTTTCAACAGTAATTAAACATACTTTTACATCTTATTCAAATTTTTGACTTCCATCAATCCTGTCTGAAAATTTTCCAGTCTAATCTCTCAGTATGCATTTCTTATCTTCCCTATTACATTTCAAACTCATAACCAATATCTCTATCTTTTTCTACTTTGTAACACTTTGTATATTTCTCATTACAAAACATCTTGTAGTCCTACTAGCGTAATTTGTTGATTACAGTTGCTCTTGAAATAATTCATATACTTCTTCCAATCTTCTGTAAATCTCTGGTCCCACAGGTTTTGAATCCTGCCTGTCATTTTGTCCAATTCTGCAGAAATTTATGATGCAATCCTAGTCATGTCTGCACAGAACTAAGTGCTACATATTACCAGGAAAGGGGTCGGTGGGTAGGATTGGAGCCTTGAGCTGTTTTGAGGAGCAACAAAGCACACAGGACACTATAATGTCACTTCACCTTCCCTTGGTACAAGATTTTACACTATTCAAAAACCAGCCAGTATAAATTGCATCATTAGTAATCTGACCCAGTTAGCACTGTTGTTTTGGAAATCTAAGATTGAATTGGACCATATTACACGTCAAGGGTTTGTTGAATTTGTAAGTCTTAGATTCATGGTATACATTTCAGGTCTTCTTTAAGGCTGGTCTTCTGGGACATTTGGAAGAAATGAGGGATGAGAGATTAGCCAAGATTTTAACACTAATTCAAGCAAGAGCCCGAGGCAGATTGATGCGCATTGAGTTCCAGAAGATCGTAGAGCGAAGGTATTTATGTATGGACTGCTTATGTCATAGTAAAGGTAAAGGTAAAGGACCCCTGACAGTTAAGTCCAGTCACAAATGACTCTGGGGTTGCGGTGCTCATCTCGCTTTACTGGCCAAGGAAGCCGGCGTTTGTCTGCAGACAGTTTTTCTGGGCCATGTGGCCAGCATGACTAAGCCGCTTCTGGCAAAACCAGAGCAGTGCACGGAAACACCATTTACCTTCCCTCCGGAGCGGTACCTATTTATCTTCTTGCACTTTGATATGCTTTCGAACTGCTAGGTTGGCAGGAGCTGGGACCGAACAACAGGAGCTCACTCCGTCACGGGGATTTGAACTGCTGACCTTCTGATCGGCAAGCCCTAGGCTCAGTGGTTTAGACCACAGTGCCACCCGCGTTTCCCATAGTAGACAGATATATATTTGGACACAAAATCATAATGTTTTCTGTAATTGATAATGCCTTTCCAAGTTCTTCCTTAAGATTGGGGAAAATCCAAGTGATGAAACAGTAGAAGTTTGCTGGGAAGGGACTATGTCCTTGTAGCATAAGCGGTACTTTGAGGAAAACCTCTGACAAGGCTTTTGGATGTTATAATGATGTGAAGAGAAAAGGAAATGTGAGTGTTTTATGCTTCCTGATTCTTCACATCTAGAAATTGATCTTCTGGCATAACCCTCAGAAGGGAGATGGGGAACTGTGGGGGCAGTTTTTGCCTTTCCTTACACGGCGGGATGAAAAGGATTTTGCACAGATGGAGAAGAACAGAAAGCATTAGACACTTGCCAGTCCTGTTCCATTTATCTCCTGTCTTTCTCACCTTGAAGGACAAGGCAACTCATGATATGATAAATATTGATTAAAGGAGAATACAGGTAGCTTGCTAACCAACGACAATTATCATTATTATGACTGAAGCTGTTTTGCATCCAGAAGACAAAATAAGTAACCATGCAGTCATTGCTTTCAAAATGAAAAAAATGTAGAAAAGAAGCAGACAGTTCCAGCATGGGCTAGACCAACTACAAATGAGAACCATGAAAATATTTTCAAAAATTGTAAGATTTAGTAAGATCTCATCCACAGCATACATGTAATGCACTCTTATACCACTTTAACAGTCATGGAGATTCCAGGGAACTGTAGTTGTTAAGTGTGCTGGAAATTGTAGCTCTGTGAGTTTGGCACCCTTAACAAGCTACAGTGCTCAGGATTCTCCATGACTGCTAAAGTAGTATAATAATAAAAAATAACAATAAAAAATGGTATTGTGATGTGGGAAAGTCAAAGGACCATAGATAAATTTGCCCCATTACAGAGATCCTATGAAGCATGCTCAGGGGAGTGTCTTATTCTTCTTAAACCAGGGATGCCCTGCTTGTGATCCAGTGGAATATCCGAGCTTTTATGGTTGTGAAAAACTGGCCTTGGATGAAGCTTTTCTTTAAGATCAAGCCTCTGCTGAAATCTGCAGAAACTGAAAAAGAAATGGCCAATATGAAAGAAGAGTTCCTGAAATTGAAGGAGGCCCTGGAAAAATCTGAAGCCAGGAGGAAGGAGCTTGAAGAAAAGCAAGTATCTCTGGTGCAGGAGAAGAATGACCTGCTTCTTCAGCTGCAGGCAGTAAGTGGACCAAAATTTGTTGTTGGAATATAGACCCATTTGGGGGCAACAGCATAGGTGACTCATCAGTTGCAAAGTACGAGCCTCACTTTAAAGCTGAAGAATCACACTTTTTAAAAAACAACAACGTGGTGAATACAATTCATATAACATTTTCTTGCATGGCACTTGCTATGAATCATAAAGTGGAATGAATAGTGAAACAGAGCTCTAAAGACGTAGCCCGAGCAATTATTAATATGCTGCTCAGTATCTAGTAAAAATAGAATCTACAGGCACTCGTGTTGTTTACAAGAACTGGCTCTGACTGAGAACAGATTGCCAAACATTTCCGCATTTGGGGTGTGTGGGGGGAGGATGGAACAGAGAAGATAACTCGAACCTTTCCAGATATGCCAAGGGGAAAACAAACACTTTCTGTTTGATTTGACTCATTTGCTGGTGGCCCGGGGCAGTGGTCCGCATGCTGTAGGTGATGATGGCTCCAGTAGAAAGCAAGAGAGGGGTTGCCAACAGGTAACCTCAGACTGAATCTTAAATAGAAATATTACACAGTTTGGGAGGTTAGCTCTGCCCCAGGTTATTACAAATTTATTTGGAATGCCTTGTAGCAAGGAATTCATAGATGAAATGAATAAATAATGGAAGCTTTTTTAGTTCAAAGGGGCTTGCCTGTTTGTGGTTCTGCTAGGTCTTCTGGGCTGGAGGCATCAGAGTCATAGGATGACAAAAGGTCCTCTTCAGGTCTGACTGGTGTTGACAGAATGGACTCCTCCTCTGCTGGAACTTCCAGGGCAGTGGGGACTTCCAAGGTTGGCTCAGAGGGCAATTTCCCTCCAAGGACCCTTTGTTCCCCAATGAGGTGTCAAATCAGAAGGTTATAACAAGTAGGCAGAATATCACCCCATAATGTTAACAGCAGCAGCACCAGCAGCACCATACAGAATTCACTAGGGATAAATAAAGTGTTGCACGCCTCTCAAATCTCCAAGCAATGCAAGATTCCAGGGGTTCTGTGTGATGAGGGACAGTGGAGACTGTGGTGTTTTATGATATATGGTTTCTTTACACAGCATTAACTTACAACATCAACACCCCATAGCTTTCCCCCTAGCCACAGCCTTGAATTCAAGCTTGCTTCTAGTCCAGCTCTCACACACAACTCTGACTCTTGTGCTTCTCACTACCAGCCAGGTGAGGGAGGGGGCCCCACTCATTTGCCCTCTGGCACAAAGCCACTTTCTTATGGTAAAAAACCCCCCATATTTATGGGCCCTTGGCTGCTTCATTCAACAGTGGGATCCTCCATTAGATGTTAATCCTTTCTGGATCCAGGAATGTTGTTGTTGTTGTTGTTGTTGTTTAGTCGTTTAGTCGTGTCCGACTCTTCGTGACCCCATGGACCAGAGCACGCCAGGCACTTCTGTCTTCCACTGCCTCCCGCAGTTTGGTCAGACTCATGCTGGTAGCTTCGAGAACACTATCCAACCATCTCGTCCTCTGTTGTCCCCTTCTCCTTGTGCCCTCCATCTTTCCCAACATCAGGGTCTTTTCCAGGGAGTCTTCTCTTCTCATGAGGTGGCCAAAGTATTGGAGCCTCAGCTTCACGATCTGTCCTTCCAGTGAGCACAGAGCACGGATCCAGGAATAGAATTGAACATTGTTTTTTAAATACCAAGGAATTAATGCAAGATAGCAAAGGAGCCCCAAATGGATAGAATAAACCTGCACTAGGCACTTTGAAGAGCTCAGGCCAGCTTCCAGATTAAGGATGGCTCCAGCAACATAACCAGGATTCCCAAATATTAACCTTAAAAGAAAAAGTTTGAGTTCCTTCAGATGAACTCTTTATCAATTTCACTTTTTCTGCCTAAAGTGGAGATGTAGAATTGACATCCCTATCATTCAGCTTGGACACTGAGATCTAGCTCCGAGGGCCTTCTGGCAGTTCCCTCATTGCAAGGAATGAAGAGGGCCTTCTTGGTGGTGGTGCCCACCCTGTGGAACACCCTCCCGTCAGTCGTCAAAGAGATAAGCAATTACACAACCTTCCATAGACATCTGAAGGAAGCCCTGTATCAGGAATCTTTCAATGTGTGATGTTCTGTTGTGTTGTATACCCTGTTGGAAGACACCCAGAGTGACTTGGGCAACCCAGCTAGATGGGTGGGGTACAAAAAATAAATAATTATTATTGTTAGAGTTCGTTCACACATTCCACCAGGAGGCATCTGTTTAGAGTAATCAAGTGAGGCAAAATCAAGAGATCACATACATGTGTGAAACAGCCCCAAGTCTACGTGCAAAGTTAAAATGACCAAGCTGCTTCACGGCACTCCAAATAAAAAAAAACCCTAAAACTTAACAAAATGATAGGACATTGCAGTAGAAGTAAACTTGCTGTAATAAAGACCATAATTTTATTTTATTTTTAAAAAGTTGTTATATATATAATTCCCCAGTGATTATATTATATTACACACACACACACACACACACACACACAATTACACAAATTAACAAAGGGGCACTGTCAATTATGCCACTTCTCATTGGTGGTGTAACAGGGATTGCTCCATAGGTCCTTGTGACAGACAGACAACCATCACATTACGATCTCAATATTTAGGAAAGGATAGCAGTTTTTCTAGTGACTAAATATTGCAATAGGAATGTTGAGAGAATGTGATTTTCTAGCAATAGATGTGCTGTCTTGAAACATAAACTCCAATTCTCCTGCAAAGAAACAAGCAATATGCTTGCATTTATTATATTCAGAGCAATCATACTGGAAAGTCTCTTTAAAGCTGTGGACATGTGCAATGAGAGATGTACAAACTACCTAGCAAAACCATGATAATATGTAGAAATTAACAAAGGGGCACTGTCAATCTTTTGATCTACAAAATCTGGAAGAAAGAAGTTCTTTTTATATTACAGTATTGCAGTTCGTAATTAAATATTCAGAAAGTTTCTTCCTCACAGTAAAAGACAGACATTAGGAACATTCATATTCAGTTGTGAGATGTCAGCGTGTATATTTTGTATTAAATTTAGACTTCTCGGGAATCTTTATCTCTAAATAAGTACATTAAAAGAAAATAACAATTGCTTTCCATAATTTGTTCAACTAAGGACTGGCGTCTTAGTTTTGCTTTGCATTAGTTTACATTACTTTACATGCAAATAAAAGAACTGCAATACTTAAAAGGCTTGGATATAAATACTAATGTTTTTCATCTATATTCCAATCAGTTGAGTTGGTTACCATGGCAAACCACTGAAGCAAGGAGATGTTAAACTTGGAGATGTGGCATTTTACATGCAATTTGCAAGCATGCTGTTGAACTAGCAAAGAAATTATTTGAAAAGATGACAAAGAATGCATATTTTAAATTTTTGAGAGCTTACAGCACATTCCAAAATGAGTGACTGTTTATTATTAGTACACAGAATGTTTTTATACACAAAGTGGTTTGTAATCACTATCGTGTTCATCTTCCTAAATCCCTTGTGGGACACTATTATTTTCATTCAGAAGACGAGGAACTGTGGCTGAAACAGTCAATTGAATTGTTTCCAGATGGCAGCTTATTGTGCAATCAGTGTTACTCATGTACACAAGTCTTTTTCAACATCTACATGACAATGTTGTCATCAGAATGCCAGGCCATACCTTAATAATAATCAGTTTCCCCTTTACCATAGAAAATCCATAAAAATAACCCATTATACTGTATATCTGCAGTCACTATTAGGGTGTAAACTTGATTGCGTGTTTTTTGTGGTGAGAAGTTTGTCATATGGGTGGTGACATTTCCGTCAGTGGCCTCTAATGCAAACCCCTACTGCCATTTGCTCCTCACCTGTGAACCACCTAGCTATGTTGTTTGCGACAACCCACACAGTCTGAGTGTGCTTATTTCCCCTAATTGCTGCACGCTGAAGGCACTTTCAGATTTCAGCAACCAAGCCAGAAGGAGCTCTTCTCTCAAGATCTCCACACAGAACGTGTGGGATTCTGTCGGAGACTGTAATTGCAATGGTCTTAAAAATATTATTATTTAAATAATGAAGAGGTCTTACATGAGATTATTCTAGTGTCAGTCTTAGCTAAAGACTTAGCTAAAAATAAAATAGCCCTCTAGCACAAAACATCAATATTAACAAATGGAAATGGGTATTGCCCCTCCACCCAAAGGGCAACTTTCCGTTTTGCTTGTTGTGAAACATGATGACTAAGGCTGATAACATTTGCTCTTGTAGACTTCATTCTTCATGTAGAAATATTTGCATGTGTAGGCAGTACAGAAGGGTGGAGGAAGTAGTGGAGTGCAAGGGAAGAGCGACTGAGGGAAGGGACAGCAAACAAACATCCAGATAAATTCCATCCGGCTCTGCCCACTGGTTTGGGTGGCAAGTGGCGAAATAGCAGTGAATAGCTATGACTGAAAAATGGGAATGTGTGGAAGCAAATGCACACAGAGGAAAATTAGATCCAAATGGCCGATTGGCAAGCCAAGGCCCCCATCTGGAAGCATCCCCTATGTCACTAATATCATTCATTCATGTCTATGTATCCGCAGAGATGTTGTTGTTGTTATTTAAAGCAGGCCTTTTTCACCAGCAGGAACGTCTTGCCTCAGAAGGCTTGCTTAGCAATCCTTTGGCTCTTTCAGGGGGTTAGGGAAAACAATTATGTTCAGAAGAACCTTTCTGTCACTTGCAGGGTTGATAGAGGCAGTGATATGGGTCCTATCTTGGCCCAACATCTCTTATTTTGCTGCATAGCAGAGATGGGGAATCTGTGGCTCTTCACAAGTTATGGGACTGTAGCGCCCATCATGCCAGACCATTGGCCATGCTTACTGGGTCTGATGGGAACTGTAGCCTAACAACATCTGGATTGCCACAGATGTAATCCCACTGTATAGTCTCTGCTCAGCTGTTACATTATCTTCCAATGGTGTGTTTCATTGTTAACCTTTACCAAGAGGACTCATAATGGGTGCATTTGGTGAGGGGGCAGAAATGAATACCAGTCATTCAGGCCTGTTATCTATCTACAGGTTTATGTAGGCGCCCAGAATTAATGCGCTGAACAATTAATGTCAATTATCTCCCAAGCTGTTCATATCTGATCGTTCGTCTGTGTGTAAGATTGATATATCAATCTCGCAATGTGTGAGAGCACACGCATCCTCAAGAGAGAGAAAATTTGTGGATGAGAAGCCGTTTCCTACGTAAGTTTTCTCCCTAGCCCCTAACGCAGTCCCTTGCAAATCCTGACAGGAGCAAGACACCCTGGCAGATGCAGAAGAAAGATGTGACTTGCTGATTAAATCTAAGATCCAGCTGGAGGCCAAAGTCAAAGAGCTGACTGAGCGGGTGGAAGATGAAGAGGAGATGAACTCTGAGCTGACATCCAAGAAGAGGAAGCTGGAAGATGAATGCTCTGAGCTGAAGAAGGACATTGATGACCTTGAAATAACACTGGCAAAAGTGGAGAAAGAAAAACATGCCACTGAAAATAAGGTAGCTTTAATACTTGGCCATTAAAAAAAAAATCCACCCTCAGAGCAGTTTTATGGCAGTGATCAATATGCAAGTCTATAATTTTCCAAAACTCTTGGCTGGGAAAAGATCTGGCTACATGCTCCGCCCGTACTATGTCAGGCTAATAAGAAGACAGCTATATTTTTGCCCATGGGAACAGTCTAGGGATTCTTTGAAAGACTGATGCAATTTATGAACCAGGAGATCTGTGATCTTGCTATCAGCAACCTTCTGCCTGGTCTATTTAATATATTTATACTTTGTCTTTCTCTCACAATGGAACTCAAGACAGTGTACATGTGGTTCCCAGGAGATCTCCTTTTAGGTACTGACTAGACCCGGACCTGCTTACCTTTCACAAGGTGGCTACATCATGTCCCTTAGACTAGAAAGTTGTTGTGCAAGTTGTTTCTGGCCCTATATTTGGTGCCTGGATATTCATGTTTTAAGAACTGGGAATTGAACAGTACCACATTAGACACCTGATGTATGCTCCTTGCTTTCCTTGCTTCCCCACCTGATATCTGGAATTCAGTTCACATGAGCAGATATCCAAGAAAGCCGAGCATCACTTGCATGGATGAAAAATTATTTGTGGGAATCAGTCCCACATTCATACACAGCACTCGGTACACTTCAACCACAGCGCAGGCAGGGAAGAGAAACCTTTGAGCTAAGATTTCTTTGCAAAAACTTCTGGCCTATGTCTTCCTTCCCCAACAGGTTAAAAATCTGACAGAAGAAATGGCAGCACTTGATGAGACCATCAGCAAGCTGACGAAGGAAAAGAAGTCATTGCAGGAAGCTCACCAGCAGGCCTTGGATGACCTGCAAGCAGAGGAGGACAAAGTCAACACACTGAGCAAGGCTAAAGTGAAACTGGAGCAGCAAGTTGATGATGTATGTTTGCGCTGCTGTTCGTTCACCTAGGTTGTTTGGGGACTGGGGTTGGGCATTCAAGTGGCTTTGATTGTCCTGTTATAAATGTTGGACCTATTATTGAAATAGGTGACAATGAAAGTCAATCTGTTGTTCAATTTCTGAATGGAAGGTAAATGTAAGGAATTCATTTGCATTCCAAGTTTCACATAGAGGTGCAGTGGGGGGGGGGGGCATAGCTCAGTGGTAGAGCACACCAAAGTATAATCCCTGGGTCTCCAGGTAGAGCTGGAAAAAGACTCCTGTCTGGAGCTCTGGAGAGTCACCAGCAGACTCAGTCAGTGTTGACAGCTTGGAGCTAGATAGATCAGTGGTCTGACTCAGTATGGTATCTTCATATGTTCCTATGAATGGTGGGGAGAGGGAGGTAGTTCCACACCCCTTTCTAGTATTTTGTTCGGCATGTTCTTTATGGGGAAAGAGGTCAGTCTGTATACATCAATAAAAAGAGTACTCGGTTTCTCTAAACTTCAGTACGGCTTACAATACCTGAAAATACTGCCAAATGTCTGTGGTCTGCCAAGAACTTGAAAAGTTGAGTGGCTATTTTCTCCTATATCTGTCCCTTTTCATTTCTGTAGCTCGAGGGCTCTCTTGAACAAGAAAAGAAAGTGAGGATGGATCTGGAAAGAGCCAAACGCAAACTGGAGGGTGACTTGAAGCTGACTCAAGAAAGTGTCATGGACTTGGAAAATGATAAGCTGCAGTTGGATGAAAAGTTAAAGAAGTAAGGTGGCGTTAGATTTCTCAGCAGCAGAGGCTGTTTTTATACTGTAAAACATTCACTGCCCTATGATGCTTTGTACTCTGTGTAAAACGCAAGAAGTGAGTAACAATAATATCTTGCGGTGCCACTATATTTTCAGTCCCAGGAAAGCAGCCAAAAACAGGAGGTTTGTTTAGTCCCTGGTGAGTTGCCATATGTGACTGGTGGGTGTGTTTAGCTTGATGGGTCAAAGGTTCTGTAGGCCTGCTATACACACACACACACACCACAACTAGAAATAGGGTTGCCTAGTGAGACAGTTCCATAAAACAGTAACAGCATAGAAAATAGAAAGGTAGACCAAATTTGCTACCTCCAAGTGGAGGGCAGCCAGCCAGATTCAACTCCCCATGCTCCAGTCTGCTTTTCTTCCTTCCATCTGGTATGGTTTTGTGCTCCACGTCATAGCAGATTGGGCTTTGGCAGGCAGATCAAAATGTAGTTCACTTAACCAGCTTTTCCCTCCAACAGAGTTCTAACAGGTACCAGATCTCTGTGTTACTTAGATTGCAGATTTGCAGGCAGCAATTTCCTAAGGACCTTGAAACGTAGCAGGAATGAGTCATATTCAGGCATTATAGCTCCTGTATGGAGCATCAGATGGATAAGGAATGGAGCCAAACTAAGTAGCCAGTCCCCCTTTTGTAGTGTGTGCTGACTGCTAGCCCTGTCCTTGGCATCCTTGCATTCAGCATGAATGTACAGTGGTGGCTGGCCTTCCATCCAACCTGGAATTCTGCGTGTTTGGGGAGAAGACTTCACATGTGCTACACATGAACACCCCTCCCTGCAAGGGGGAGAGGAGGTTAGTCATGCATGCATGTGTTGCTCTATGCAAACACCTGAATAGGGCTATAGCAATTGTTTGTTCTGAGATGGCATTTCTGCTTAAAAGCAACCAAATAATTACTCCATTGTACTCAAACCCAATCTATTGCATTAATAGGAAAGAATTTGAAATCAGTCAGATGAGCTCCAAGATTGAGGATGAGCAGGCCATAGTGATGCAGCTCCAAAAGAAGATAAAAGAGCTTCAGGTAATTATTCCTGCTCAGTTTCTCTCAGTACTGGATATACTGGACATTGTATTGTAAGAAAGCCTTGGGCTTTGTACAGGTTGTCATCCCATTTGATCTGAATTCCAGGTTATTAGAAATCTTTTAAGGTCACAAGAAAAGCTCTACTGGATCAGATTAGACATCTACCTCTCTCTCTCTCTTTTTAATATACCTTTATTAATTTAAAATAAATACATTTATGAAAAGCAGACATACATACAAGTAAAAAAAATTACAAAAAAACAACCAAAAAACAGAAAAATCAAACAAACCACCACACTATAAGATATAAGAAGATTAATATAATTATTCTCATATATACTCCTGGTATTGAACACAATTATAAAATTTATAGAAAATAAATTTAAAACTGACTTCCAATTAATCTCACTGTACTTTGTCTATCCATTACTTTATACCACACAGTTACATATTTCTTGTATAATTTCTTTTTACCTCCCTACAAACTTATATTTATACAATACAGGGATCAGTATAATTCTGCCTGATTAGATATCCATCTCATTCATCACCCTGTTTTCCAAAGTGGACAGCTCTGGGAAATCTTGAAAGCAGGGATTGAAGGTGACAGCTTTCTCCCATTGTTTGGCCTCCTCCTTCCCAGCATCTGGTATTCAGTGGCCTAATACCACCAAACCTGTAGCTATCACTTAGCTACCAGAACCAACAGCCATTGATTATAGATGGTGGAGAAATTAAATTAACTGTGCATTGAAAGGTGGACCTACCTAATTTGCATATTCCCAAGCAGTATGAGAACAGAAACACAGCCAGCCTTCAAAATTCACACTTCTCTGAATTTTGTGATGAAATTCTTCAACCAAACAGTGTTTACAAAAATGTGTCTTATTAGGTGAAAGTGTCCATAAACATGAATATAGTAGTGAAAATAAAACACAACAATTCATTCTATTAGGGGAATCCTTGCAAAAGATGTAGGTCAGTCAAAACTGCATACAAGAATGGGTTTAATTCAGAGAAATTCACAACAATATTCTGATGAATTTTCATGAGGATTAAAAAACTAGCAAATTTTATAACTTTGTTACGTGTCATGTGAAGAGCTATGTTAGTAAAGAATGAGGAGGAGGAGAAAGATTTTTGGGCATATGGTTTGGCTTTTTCTATTTTTTGATTTATTAACCTATTTTGAAGGCTCAGAAAAGGTTAAACAATTAAAACCAAATCTACACAAACACAGAAAATAAAATTTGTAAGATGCTCTGTGGATGCATTGTGGATGCTATGTGTGTGCATTGTTTATGCATATTGGCTCTTTTCAGACCTTCAAGTGAACATGTAGAGCAAGGATGTGGAGCCTAGGTCCTTCCAGATATTGTTAGATTCCAACTTCTATTAGCCCCAGTTCATAGTCAGGCTTGGGGATGAGGGGAGTTGTGGCCAAACGTTATCTGGAGGTCCTCAGATTTCCCATCCCTAGTCTATAGGCTGAGAGTGGGCACGAGCCTGCTTTCTCCCCTTCTCAGCATGTGTTCACTGAACGTCTTCACAGGGCTTGTTGTGCTGGATTTTGAGGGTGAAACCATTGATCACAAACAGGCTTAAATGAAATTCCATTCTTGAGCAACAAGAATCCTAATAACAGAAGGTGCCTTGTTGAGTTGGTGGTTGGGAAAGATAATAAGAGACACATTTGAAGGAAATATATTTAAGAAGAAAGGGATGGAAGCAGGGAAATTGGCTTCTAGGCAGTATATTCTTAATGGAAAGGGAACATTCGCCTCTGACTGTATTGTCCTTGGTTACAAGCACCTAGGGGCTTGCGAGTCAGTAAAAGAACAGAATACACCTCAGAGGAAGACAATGTGAATTGCAGTGATGTGTTAACACTGGCAACAAAGTTTGCACAGAAGTAAGAAACTCTGTCAAGAATAAAAACAGTCCCTTTGGCTGCTGATCTATGGAGGTTCTATGACCTCCTTGGTTTTGCAGCTGCCAAAGTTGCTCTTTCTTCCCTCTGGAGGGGGTGGGATGTGGCATTAATAATTCTGCAACTTGCTTGCTGCCCAGAGGCAGAATGTGTGACTAACCAGTTTTGACAGTTCTAGTACAGAGGTGAATTACGGAAAGGGACCACAAATGCTTGCTGTTACCCTATATTTCACCCCCTACTCACAATTTTAAAGTGGCAGGGGATACTTTTTGTAAGGGAATACTCCACTTCTGATATTATCTTGCTTTTAAAAATGTCTATTTTGCCCTACTGTTGGAGCAATCCTGCACAATATTAGTTGGAAGTAGTTCCCAGTGGGCAATGGAGGTAAGTGTAAGTAGGACTGCAGCCTGGGTGTCTGATGTCTTGGAAAGATGGCAGAGAACATTTCCCCAGATGATTAAAAACATCTATCCGAGTTGTAATTCATGATTTAAAGTTCTGATCCAAATTCAGAGTGAGAGAACACTCTGAATTTGAGGGTTCAGAGTTACCACAAAGGTTACTTCCAATGTCTTAAGATGGAGGCACTGTGGTGTCTAGGGCTGTGCTGTTATGCTCACATGCTTCTCTGTCTGATAGGCCCGCATAGAGGAACTTGAGGAAGAGCTAGAAGCAGAACGAGCTGCCCGTGCAAAAGTGGAGAAGCAAAGATCAGACCTGGCTCGAGAGCTGGAAGAGCTGAGTGAGCGGCTGGAAGAGGCTGGGGGCGCCACTGCGGCACAGCTGGAGATGAACAAGAAGCGGGAGGCCGAGTTTCTGAAGCTGCGGCGGGACCTTGAAGAGGCCACGCTGCACTACGAGGCAACTGCAGCTACACTCAGGAAGAAGCATGCAGACAGCATGGCGGAGCTTGGGGAACAAGCAGACAACCTGCAGCGGGTCAAACAAAAGCTGGAGAAAGAGAAGAGTGAGCTGAAGTTGGAAGTGGACGATCTGTCTTCCACTATGGAGCAAGTGATCAAGGGAAAGGTAAAGCCTCTGGGGTTTACTGTGAAGACAGACCGGTTGGAGATAGGGGTTTTTCAAGCCGACCTGAATTAGCTACAACCAAAACTAAAACCATTCAGTTCCACAAAGTCTGATCAGTGAATCAAAAATAGGAGGCTTTGTCCAGCCAAGTTCTGCTGGGAGTAGGCTCGCTGAAATGAATAGAGCCAAGTTAGTCACATTCACTCATTTCTTAGGGGAGTTGCATTCTTTGAATAGCTGCAAACAATGTTCATGCAGTACATCAGGTATGCATATAGAAAAGGCCACACAGAAATGCCAAGTGGTTAAACAATGGAGCAAAATATAACAAATGGTTGGATCCAAAAATCTCTCTGTTCATGTGGGGATGTCATTGATTTTCTTTCCTGGCTGAGCCCTCCTGCGTCATTATGTGTCAGTCACACACTGGAGGGTCTCTTGATCTGCTGGAACAGCTTTTCAGGGGGCTGCTGGGGGGAGAGGGGAGTTGTAGCCAGGGGGATCAGTAACTCCCAGATACAAGCAGAAGAACCTTTTGCTCTCAGAAGGGGAAACCTTTCAATCCAAGAATTTTCAAATGTAAAGCAGGCAATTGAGAATCACGGGAAGGAGTAAGAGAGGAAGTACAGTGTGTGTGGAGATGCAATGACAAAATATTGTTACACCCCACACCAATCACTGAGCAGTGTGAGATTCCAGGGGTCCAGGCACTTACCAAGGGTTTGTGTTTCCTTTTGGAAATGAGGCACAGCAGACACTGCAGTGTTTTTATGATATATGGTTTATTTACACATATATAGTACTGGAGCCTACAATGAAGAGGTTCCCAGCGTTACACTACAAGAGAGTCTCTTGCTTCTCCCACAGCCTTGGATCTAAAACAGAAATCAGCCGTGTTCTCTGTCTCCCTTCACAGTTTTGACAGTACATCATTACTAACTGCCATCCTTAAAAAACTAACACTAGCTTTTTGTCTTATTAACTAAAATCAGAGCCTGGGGAGAGGCTTCACCCATTTGGCTGTCTGGCATTGAATCTCCAGATGATCCATCTGGTACCTTTGGTTGGGTTAAAGACTCAGCCATTATCAAGTGGTTACCTCATGAGGAAGCTGGCCAGCATTATTTCCAACCTTTGCTCATTCCAGGAATTTAAGGATTTGCTGAAATTTGAACCCTTTTAGGGGAGTCTGATCCAAACACAAACTCATAACAATAAGTTTCTCCCTTGAGTGCCCGCCTTCTCTGAGAATCATGCTTGCCTAACTTCTTAGCCTACAAGTGTCCATTTTAACTTCTTAAATTAATTATATACAGTCATACGTCATGTTATGGACGCTTCAGGTTACGTGTTTTCGGGTTGCGGACCTCAGGAAACCCGGAAGTACCAGAATGGGTTACTTCTGGGTTTTGCTGCTTGCACATGCACAGAAACGCTAAATTGTGCTATGCGCAGAAGTGCCAAATCACACCGGTGCCTGCGCAGACACGGCACTTCAGGATGCGAATGCTGCAGGTTGCGGACGTGCCTCTGTCACGGATTACATCCGCAACCCGAGGTTCCACTGTATTTACTTTCGCTCATCTTACCATGCCTTACAACTCTAGGATATTCACCATGTTGAATCAGACACTGGGGTTTCCAAATTTTTCTCCATATATCATCCTGTAATCATTTCTAAAACTCCTTAAGTCGTACTTGGTACTAGCTTTTTGGCAAACCGTAGTGCATCACTATTAATAAATGTCAAAATCCATATTAGGGCAATATATTTATTAGGCCAACCAAAATATCACCAAATAGCATGCAAGCTTTTGCATCCTCTAATAATTCATAGATATTCTGATATATTTATGATGGCTTTGCAGCTCACACTATTCTCATACAGAATGCTAAACTAGTATACTTTCTGATTTTGGCAGGAGGGAGAATGAAGGTGGAGTATGTTTTTTTCCACATTATGATCTTTGGAAAGCTCTCATCATGTGTAGGTTTTATAAATGATATACAGAACAATTGAATAATACTCCTCTGGGGATATTTAACTCCCAAGCAACTCTTAAGGAATCTCTTAAGAAGGATGTGTTTATGGCTCACAGATGTGTAATTTTCAGTGTGAACTTTTTTCTTTCGCATCAATTCAGTTCAATAATTCAGAGCTGTTATTAATTACATGATTGATTCCCTTCCATTTGCCACACACTGTCATGTAACGATTTCTACTAGAGAAGTAGCTGTGCTAGTCTTTTGTAGCAAAAACGACAAAGATTTTTGTAGCACCTTAAGCACTAACAAATTTCATATGGCATAAGCTTTTGTGGCCTACAGGGAACACTGCAGCTGATGGAGTGAACTCTGGTCCACAAAAGTTTATGTCATAATAAATTTATCCATCTTTAAGGTGCCACAAGACTCTCAGTGCAAACAACAATCATATAGTAGCTCAGTGTGTTTGCTTTTGCTTTTGTATGACTCCAGTAAGATATTAACAACAGAAAATAATGTTCTTCTTGTTGTCAAAATATATAATATAGCTGAAGCAAACTGGTGAGTATGTATGTGATAAAGACAAAAGGTTGTCAAAGTCTTGTGTGCAAGATTATGTAAGTCTTACTGTACTTCAAAACTGTTGGACACAATTAATTATTTTAAAGGAATCTGTTTTTATTATTCCTTCCAGTAAACTGAATCTTTGGTATATGCATATAAAAATACTTTTAAAAATATATCATTGCAGCTATTGCTCTTTTTCTAATTATAATTGCTGGTGGGCTCTTTTCATGTTTGCAAATTTTGTAAACCAAATTTTACACTTTGCACAAAAATTGTGGCCCTAATGTTGGATGGTTTATGTTTTGCCTCCTGAGTTTCTAGACTAATTGGCATATGCCACGTTTTATCTTTCTGTTACATAGAAAAAGATTGTCATGATCTTTCTTAATTGTCAGATATTGGTCTTTTTATGGGACAAATGAGATGAGCAATGCACTTTAATTGGGATGGTGTTTGATTACCTTTGTTCTAACCACATTAGGCAAATGCAGAAAAACTCTGTCGTACTCTGGAAGACCATCTCAATGAGGCAAAAACTAAAGTGGACGAGATGACTCGTGTGGTGAATGACCTCACTGCCCAAAAAGGGAAGCTGCAAACTGAAAATGGTAGGTTGGGCAAACATTATTATAGCCACAGGAAGTGTGAGCATGGCAACACCTTATAAGAGTAAGGAGGGATGCTTGAAGATTTAATTCAGTCCGCATCTTTATGTGGTTGCAGAACAATCTGATTTGCACTCACTGAACCACTGTGTGGAATAAAGTGCAATTATCATACTGTATTTCTCCAAATTTTGTGAGAAATTTTATACTCCACACACACACACACACACACACACAAAATATACATAAAGATTTGCCAGAAATATGGTGCACACATTTTTAAATTTCATACTTTTTGTTCTTTTTAAAACTTATCAGAAATATGTATATCAGAAATACACTGATCTGCACATCCCCACATAATTGCACATGTGCAATATTTTCATGAGGAACTCATGTCTCTTTCTTCTCCCTTTCCCCTACATAAGAACAGATCCCTTTCATCTGCTGGTCAATTGCTTCTTCCTTTCCATCTAGTTTTCTGTCCTCTCCTTATATACCTGTCCACATGATGAATCATGGGAAGGGAGGGAGGACCAGTTTCATGGCTATACAACATTTATCACATTGACTCCCAACCTTTACTGCTGCTGTTGATTTATGCTGGATGCTCAGTAGAAGTTTTCCTGATGCAAAATGCACTTGTCTTTCCACAACACTCCATTCATTGCCCACGAAGGATTCATTCCGGTTCAGCTTGCAATAACAGCTTTCTGTGATCTTTTCCCAATTGGCAACTTCTTTTTCCTGACGTGATGATATCATTTTATTAGATTCCTGGGCATGTTCAGACATGACTCACTCAAAGTGGCTTACAAATAAAAAGCAAACATGAAAACAACAGTGACCCAATCATTAAAACACAAATTGAGAAATCTAACAACACGGCAAGAAGCAAAAATGCAAAGAACAGCACTAACAAGCAGCAACAGAGGAGACAAAACTTGGTTTGAAAAAAAGAAATGTTTTCAGTTGCTGGAGTGGGGTGCGTCACAAATCAAGAGGAAGTTACTTCTGCACATGGGGTGTCACCATAGAAAATGCCCTCTTGCATGTTGTTTCTACCCTTGCCTTAGAAGGCAAAGGCAGGGAAGATGGGTGTGCTAGCTAGTCAAAGGACAGCCAGATTCACACAGGAGAAGCTAGATCCCAAGATGCTTAGGTTGTTATAGCTAATAACCAGCACCTTGAATCATGTGTTCACATTATTGTTTTTTCTGGTGCATTTCCAGCTCCCCCCTGCCCCCCACCTGAATGCATCATTAGCTTCTGATTCATTTCTGTTTGTGTAAACACTAGGAGACATTGAGGGGCTGGGATGTTTGTACCCTATGCAAAGGTGTTCACCCCTTGGCTAGGGATGAATTAGGAATGGCTTAAAGACTCCGGTCAGCATGAAGCTGGTTTGAAAACAATACATCAAACAGTAGTATTTTATAACAAAGTACAGGATGCATTTGGGATAAAGTCATGTGAACACAGATTAAAGACTCAGCACAGGGGGTACAGTGACTGCACAGTAAACGGCCCTAGAAGAGTGACTGGAAGTTGACAGAATAAGGGGGAATCACATGACCCCAGAAGCCAAGATTTTAGCAGCGGCATTCTGCACCAAATGAAGTTTCTGAATGGTTTTCAATGGCAGCCCTGCATACTACGGTTTCCCCAGTTCCTTTGGCTGGGTCCAGAGGACTTCTTAGGATGTCCCCTGTCATGCTGGCAAAGGGAAAATGTGGGCCTAGCTAATTATGTCCAGTGCCACAAAATCCCCAGTCTACCTCATCAAGCCACCCCTGTATGCCTGAAGGGCAAAAGGGTCACAGGTTACTTTCAATTATTCAGAACTCCTGGGAATATCTTCTCCTTGCCCTCCTCCTCCCTTGTCATGGAAAGCTGATGCTCATCATCTTTTTTTTGTGCTACCCCTCCGGCAGGTGAATTTACAAGACAGCTGGAAGAGAAAGAATCGCTTATAAACCAACTTTCCCGAGGGAAGTTGTCTTTCACTCAACAAATAGAAGAGCTTAAAAGGCAGCTGGAGGAAGAGAGCAAGGTAAGGCTTTGACTGAGGCTCCCAACATGATTCTGACTCCGCTTGAAACGACGACTTGGTTTTAAGGTATTGCCCTTAAGCAGGTATAGAACCGCATGTGCTCAAGTAAGTGCAGTGGAATGGCACTTAAGTGCATAAGCCGAGGATGTGCCTCAGTCTGCAGATATCAGTGAAATACAGGATGCTGGGGATACAATAGTCCCAGTATGACTGGGAAATGCTGTGGTTGCTATTAAGGATTGAGACAGTGTGATGGAAGAAATAGGAGTAGGGAGTTTGGAAAAGGGGAAATTTCCAGGTGGTGAACCCACCATCAGAACGAGTTTCAGTGCTTGTAGTAGCTGCTTTGTCCACAGCTGGATGTGCTGACTACAGCCCCCCTCTCTCCTACAGTCAAAGAATGCTCTCGCCCATGCTTTGCAAGCTGCCCGCCATGACTGTGACCTCCTACGGGAGCAATTTGAGGAGGAGCAAGAAGCCAAGGCAGAGCTTCAGAGGGCACTCTCCAAGGGGAATGCGGAAGTGGCACAGTGGAGAACTAAATATGAAACCGATGCTATTCAAAGGACTGAGGAGCTAGAAGATGCCAAGTAAGATATACAAGAGATGCCATCCTACGTTTCCACATGTATTCTTGTTTTAAACTGTTACATTCTAGGTCACAGACTGCATGCAGTTCCATGCAGTGAGATCATAGAATCTTAGAGCTGGAAGGGACCCAAAGGTCATTTATTCCAACCCCCCGCAATGCAGGAACCCCGGCTAAAGCATCCATATCAGATGCGATTATAAATTACAATCCAGGCATATCAACGTCTTATTTCTTATGGCTTCCTGTTGCAATCATGTCAGTAATCCAGGATGATCAGGAAAACCAATGTGAGCCTGCTCATTACTTGAGAAATTCATCTAAGGCAGTGGTTCTCAACCTGTGGGTCCCCAGATGTTGTTGGACTACAACTCCCATCAACCCTGAGCTCTGGCCTTGCTAGCTAGGGGTGATGGGAATTGTAGTCCAACAACATCTGGGGACCCACAGGTTAAGAAAGGCTGATCTAAGGCATCCCTGACTTGAGTGGTAAGATTGGTGGCTGCGTGTGGTGCCCCAGTTAAAGAACTCTCTCTCTAGACATTTTCCCCTTGCCCTGTCACTGCTATCTTTCAGATGTCCATGAAGTTTCATTTACCATTTTACCATCCATTCACTCATTTTGGAGAGGTCCTTGTGGAGCTCTTCATGGTCTCTTCTTGTTTTAATGACCCTAAGCAATTTCATGTCACCAGCAAACCTGGCCACTTTACCACTTGCTCCTAACTCTAGACTGATTATGAACAAGTTGAAAAGCACAGGTCCCAATATTGATTCTTGGAGAAATGTAGAAACTGGAGTCCCCCATCTGCCCATTTATTCCTACTCGCCTGCTGCTTAACCAATCCCTGATCTACAAGAGGATCTTATTTTTTGACTCAGGAATCTTGGGTGAGTTACCTTGTTGAAAGTTTTTTTAAAGTCCAAGTGCACTATATCAACTGGATTGCTTCTACCTATGCACTTGTTGACACTCCAGAAGCCATGCTGGCTGTTTTTGGTTATTTTATCTTTCACTTTACTTTCCACCAGTTTTCCCAGGGCACACATTAAGCTATCAGGCCTGTAATTTCCAGGATCCCCCCAGATCCCTTAAAGAAAAATATGTTACATTGACTACTTTCCAGTCATCAGGTATGGAGGTTGAAGATCATCAAATTCACCTTTGAGTTCTTTGGAAACTTTCAGGTGGATGCCATCTGGAGCTGGTAATTTGTTTCTATTTTGTCTGTTAGACCAAGAGCTTCATCCCTCATCACCACTATCCACCTCAGTTCCTCAGACTCCTTTCCAGCAAAAGTTAGTTTAGGCATCGGGATCACCCTATATCTTCCATTGTGAAGACAGATGCGAAGAATTATTTTATTTTCTCTCTTAATCCTCCTTTAGCACACCTTTGATTCCCTTGTCATCCAAGGGTTCACCTGCCTCCTTAGACAGTCTTCCACTTCAAATTTATTTAAAGAACTTTATGTTGTCAAATTCAATGTTTTTAGCAATGTGCCCAATGTTTTAGCATCCCCAACTGTCCACTTGCACTTTGTTTCACCAAAATTTGTGAACCTTTTTGTTCTCTTCATTTGGACAAGGCTTCCATTTATTTTTGGAAGGAAGCCTTCTCGCCTCTAATAGTTTCCTTAACTCTGCTCATTAACCAAGGTGACATCCTCATGGCATCTTTCCTGATCTGTGGCACACACTCCTGCTGAAGTGTGAGGTCCTTTTGAAGGGTAGTTAGGCCCAACTGGTATTTGGCTCCTCTCTTCCCAGAAACGTCTCATCAATTCTTCTTCTGCTTGGCTGCATTGGAGGCAGAGATGAGACAGCAAAACCCTCTCCATCAGCTTGCCCTTTGGCTCCTCCCTTCCTTGAAATGTCTTACCAGTTTTCATTCCTCTTGGCTGCCTGAGAGGCACAGATGAGACAGAAAGACCCCCTCTGTTGGCTTGGCTAGGGCCAATGGCCATCTGATTCCTCTTGACCCAGAACTGTCTCTGGCAGTTTCACAATGTAGCTTCATAATGTAACATGATTTTATTTTATTGGTGGGTTTAAACTGTATTCTTTATCTTGTGTGTGCATGTGTGTGGTCCCTATTGGTACTCTTGGTTTCAATGTACACTACTTGGAGGTGGTTATCCTGTTTTACACAAAGCGGTATATAAGAATGCTCAATAATAAAGAAAGGAAACATGAAATATGGAAACAAATTTGCTTATTTTCATCCTTTACACTCCCTTCCTTTCCCCTTTTATATCATGCATCTTAAGCTGTAAGCTGCTATTTTAAATTGTAGGCCACTCTGGCTGCTTAAATGTATCAAATAACAACGCCACAAAGGGAAATTCACGCTGTTTTGATTTGGTAATATTAAGAGCCTTTTCACTGTGGGTCGTTTTACCATGTACCTGTTCTGTTAGGAAAAAGTTGGCAGCTCGTCTCCAAGAGGCTGAGGAAGCCATCGAGGCGGCCAATGCCAAATGCTCTTCTCTGGAGAAGACAAAGCACAGGTTGCAGAATGAGCTGGAGGACATGATGATTGATCTGGAAAAGTCCAACGCAGCAGCGGGGTCCTTGGACAAGAAGCAGCGCAATTTTGACAGGATCCTTAATGAGTGGAAACAAAAGTATGAGGAGTCCCAAGCAGAGCTTGAAGGTGCCCAGAAGGAAGCCCGAAGCCTCAGCACGGAATTATTTAAGCTGAAGAATGCGTACGAAGAGAGCATGGACAATCTGGAGACCTTGAAGAGGGAAAACAAGAATCTCCAAGGTAAGTCCTGCACTTTAGATGTGGGACAGTCAAGCGAGTTGAATCGGAGAGTGGAGGGGGAAGCCAGATGGTGAAAGAAAGAGAGCTCGTGAGTCCTAGCGGTTTAGCTTCACCATTGCGTGAGACAAACAAGGCAAGGAACCAGTCTCTACATCATAAAATATTTTTGCTCTGAGGACTGAGAGATATATTGGGGCCAGATGCCTTTTGTCATTAGTCTAAGAGCCTAGTTTTTTTTCCAGTGAGACCAGCTAGTATCAGATCCTCCTGCTATTTCAAAGACTGGCAACATAGATGTAATCGTAAGAACATAAAATGAGGTCAATGGCCCATTTATTCCAGCATCCTGTTCTCAAAGTGACCAACCAGTTGCCTATGGGAAGTCCACAAGCAGGACCCGACCCGAGCACTGCAGCACTATTGTGGCTTCCAGCAACTGGTATTCAGAAGCATATGAAGTGGTTCACTTGAAGCAGGCATGGGCAACCTTAATTTTCTTTGGTGGCTGAGAGGGTGGTGACCAGATATGATAGCGATGGTGAAAGGGAGTGAGGAATGGATAGGAATAACACCGCAGTTGCCCATTTCTTCTCCCACAGCAAGGCTACCAATCATGTATGGGCTTAGTATCATATTGTTCCTATAAAATGGGACTTGGACAACTCTCCGGCAAAGTCTAAAATAATCTAGGGCATGAACTAATTGTATCAGAACTTAAAGAATCCTACCACCTCTGAAGATTGCTTATAGCTAGGGGCCAAACTAGATGTGGCCATGCTGTTCATTTGCCTGCCCCATTCACATATAAAGTCATGGGTAAGCGGTCTTGTTTTAATACAAAGAGGGGTGTACAGGTGAAAAGAGTTGAAAATGTGCATGTGTCTCTCTTATCTCCCAATACCAGAAGTTAGGTGGGCTGGGGAGAAAAGGTCCTGAAGTGATGGAACATTAGAATGTGAGGCAGTGTAGGATGGAAGGCACAGCTGTTCTCACCCATGAGCCCATTTCAATATCCAATAAGATATCCAGCCATGCTTTACATGTGGATGGGACAGGGATGTGCTGAATGTCTTCTCATTGCCTCTTCTATGACCCATGTTAATGCTGTTTTATATACTAAACTGAAATACATTGACACAATATATTCAATATTTTGTCCTTCCACAGAATATGTTCTTTAATAACTATTGCATATTGACCGTTTTATAATAAAATAGCATGTGATTGTTCAAAATATTCCCTAACTTTAAGGAAGCTGTTTGAACTGAGCTTGGAGGACCTTTCCCCCTCTGCCAGATAGAATCTATCTTAATGATAATTACAAGCCATTCATTAATATAATGAGCTTAACAAGATTTGCAACAGCCTTTCTGGACTAAGTAGAGTTTTTGAGAGCAAGACAGTATTGCCAGTATATAACAGGACTTACAAAATCAGGAGGATAAGAATCAACAACTGCAAGAGGAGAGACTGGATCTTAATAAACACATTTTAAAAATAATTGGTGCCATTGTGCACCCCTGTCTGAGTCCCTGATAAGTGCTGGATGAAGTGGTAAGGTGGCCATTTATCCCACCTGAAGTGGAGTACTGGTAACTGTCCGTTTATCCCACTAGATTTCATAGGCCACTGTGGCAAGAGCAGATTTCAGGTCAATTGGCCCCTGTTTGAATATACTTCTCAACTGTATGGGGTAGTAGAGAGCAATGATATAAGATACACTGGCCTTGTCTAAAGCCAGCTCCTTCATTAAATAATATACCTTGTGCTTCTATCTAGTCAATTCATTTATTGTATAAGTGTTTAGCTTATAATGTACTAAGAAGACTTACTGGCAGGAATTGGCTGGATCATTTCTAAGCCCCCTTTTAAAGATTGGCACCACAATTACCCTGCTCCAGTCGATTGGCATGCATCCTGTTTTGTCTGCAACTGTGAACAGAACTGCTAGAGCTGGAGCCAACCAATCAATGTTTGCTCCAAGCGGTTCTGTCAGGATGAAAATGTAGCCATGTAGCTTTCCTTGATTTCAGCTGTGTCGAATAAGAGTTTTCACCTCTGTTTTCAGGAACTGGGAACCATAGAGGAAGGAGATCAAAACCCAGTTCTAGAGGACTGATTGTATTGTTATCATTATCACTTTTGATCATTAAAAAACAATCATAAATATAAGAAATATTTCATTGTTCTTTGACCAACTAAGCCTAGAGCATGCACACACTCATACCAATACACACATCACAAAGCAAAAATAATCCTCAGAGTAAGTACATACAGAATACATTATCCATTAAAAAAAATCATATAAATATTCCCTCACAAAAGCAGGGCAATGAATGTGTTTTAACCTATGTGATCTTCAGATGCAGTCGATAGATTTAATTTCTCCATAAGCCTGTTTAATAAATTTGATGGTTCTATATGACACGCACCCACCAATTTTTAAATAAATAGATAAACATAAATTTCTAAGTTTTTAGCAAAAATCCAAGATAGGAAAAACTAAATTGCCATTGTGAAGAGATAACTTGGTGCATTCAGGACTTTCTGACACTTTGGTCTTTCTTTTTTAAAAAAATAAAAAAATTAGAGGAGATTTCAGATCTAACTGACCAGATCAGTGAAGGAAACAAGAACCTTCATGAGGTGGAGAAGATGAAGAAGCAGATTGAACAAGAAAAATCGGAAGTCCAGCTAGCCCTGGAAGAAGCTGAGGTAAGACATAGGTTTGGAACAAGAAATGAGGTTTCTAGAGTCACTGTCAGTTTTCCACCCAAAAGAAAAACAGAGGAAACAAAGAATAAGCAAGATTCGCTTCATGTGCATAGGCGGGGAAAACAAAGTGTGGTAAAATGATGTAGTACTTATTATATGGAATATTATTGTTACTTAGATTTCTTCCTCCCCTTCTCTTTACGTAGGGATCCTAGGGTAGGCTATGTACAAGTGCTGTTGCAGTACACTTTTCAAAAGATTTCAACTTTCACATTTTGAAGTTTCCATTTGAATTTAGTGTGGGTTAAAAAATGTTTTTGGGGAAAAACCCAGTCAGATTAGACATTTGAGCTATGGACTCTAGAAATCCTTGGGCGTATCAGGAATGGCAGACAAGTTTCCCTGAAGGTAGCTTTTCCACCATTACCTATTTTACCCTGTAATAAACAGCCATAGGGGAGTGTTGGGCATGTTCTGGGGCAGCGATGGGAAACTCGCAGCCCTCCAGACATTGCCCAATCCCGAGTTCCATTGTCCCCAGTCAACATGGTCAATGGCCATGGATGATGGGAGTTGTAGTCCCATAACATTTTGAGCACCACAGGCACCCTATCCTTGGTTAGCATATGGTGATGAGCAAGCACTACAAGTCTGAACAGAGTGCTGCATCAACGGAGACTATTCCCCTGGACAGGGATGGACAAGTAATGGCTTGTAGGCAGCAGTACCCCAAAGCAAGGTTCTGGTCCCTGGTGACCCTGCCAAAACATGTTCAAGTGTTGTTTTATTTATCTGTGCCTGCACAATGCAATTAAGATATAGATAGTACAGATAGATATAGATGGATAGATAGATACACACACACGCACACACAATGCATTAGAAACAATAAAAAATATTTTTTTAACCATAATAAACAAACACATATGTAAGAAAGAGGGATTCTACACTTCATATCACATCTCTCATTTGGATTTTATATGCAATATGCAAATGGACCTATCTGGATGTAATGTGAGGCTGTACAGCACGTTCTCCATAACTGCGAAGGTTTTGCAGCTCGATGGTGCTGACCATTCCTGGTTTCCAGTCACAGTCTAAAGAATCAAGTGATCTTGAGGATCAAACTATATGTGATGTTAAGCAAGGCTTTGAATCTCATAACTGGAATTCTTTTCTCTTTTTAGAGCAGATGTAGGGGTGTTGATCTCCCCTCCCTGCCATTTGCCTGCTGGAAATCCCCCCTTAAAACAAAACAAAACACTGTTGAATGCTGCTGGTTAGCCTCAAATAAGTGGCATGAGGGGCCAATTTCACTGGGAAAACAGAATGGGGCTTGTGGAACTGTTAAATCTTTCTCCCCCTGATACCATGCTCCCAATCTGAATTAACTTAACTTCTCCTGCTGTTAGTTAAAAAGAGATCAGAATCTCAGTCATGGAATTAAAAAAAGATACGCTGAATGTACCCCCAAGACTTTCAGGAGAACATTGGTTTCCTACACAAGTAGGATGAGATTGAATATTTGAGGACTCTTGATGCAGGCAAAATTCTAGCACCTTTTGGGGAGAGTAGGGGCTTACCTTGAAATAAGAGCCTAGGATTTCTCTTCTCCTTTCTTTTAATTTTCTTTTATGCCTGGCCACTGTTTCAAGCTAACTACAGTCATCCATCAGCCTCATTCCCAGGAGTGTTTTTGGAGGGAGGAAAAATGGTTGCTCATATCTGCTACAATACAGCCAATGCCATCAGGATAATGTGAGGACTGGAAAGCTCATATACCCCCCAAATCACTTTTATTTTTATGAAGCTAGAGTGAATATATTCTTAAAAGCCATCAGTTATTCTCATGAGTGCCTGAAACATTTTGGCTTCCCCACCTGGCACCTGCATTTGCTGTGATATCTGGAGGTTTGTTCAGTGCACTGGAACATGATTTGTTTATATTGTGGAATAATTTAACATCACCAAGGGCATTTTCATGAATTAACCTTTAAAAATAACACATAATTAGTTTTTTTAAAGTTCCATTTCTTCATCTGTTAGAAATGTTTGGAATACTTGAAAATAAGATTTAGCTTAAGCTATTTAATTTTTATCAAAATCTTTTCTTTCTTTTTTTCATCTTGCAGGCTGTTTTGTACTTTGCAGGGATTTCCCCTCCAAATAAAAAGGTGTTGCTATCAGAGCAGAGGAACAGCATGTTTCATCCCACTGCTTTGAATAGCTAAGCATGATAGATAGATGATCGATATATTATATTTTTATATATAATATATGTTGCGAATATACTCTAGCTGATTGGTCATAATGCATCAGCTTGTGGTGTGTTCAAGAGCTTTACCTTGACAGATCACCCTAGAACGTGCCATGGCATATTAGTGCTAAAAGCAGCACGGCCACAGATCTGTAAACAAAATGGAAGGGGAAGTGTTTTGCTCTTCCCCACTTCTTAAGCAGTGTGTCGTACTAACAGACCAATCCTATAGGTCTCCATTAACTGCAGAAATGCTTTCAAGGCATTCTCCCAGCCCTTTAGCTCTTTGGATTGCATATGGTATCATCCCACCCCTGGCCTTTGCTGATGCATAATTTCTGCTTTTCTGTTGTGGCAGTATTGGGATTCAAGTGTCTTAGGCAGGGGCTGTGCATTAGTAGTGGTGGTGGTGCTGGGCCAGGGACTGGTGCTTGGAAACTCCAAAGAAAGCTGCAGGCCATTTGGGAACATTCAATATTACTTACAAAGGTGGGGGTTTGTTTTCCAGTTGTCTGGTATTCCTGGCCATCCACACTAAAGATAACAGCTCTAAAGGCCTGATACAGTCAAGCCACATATCCTCTAAACTCTACTAGCACCCTGCTCTCCCTCTCCAAAAGCCCCATTACTCTGCTGTGGTAGTTATTGTACAGAAATTGGAACCCGGCTAAGGCATACATCTTTCCCCTTGCTAACTCAAGATGGGGGAAGTTCACAGCCATTGCTTCTGAGCACTACCCAAATATTAGAAAGCTTGAGTCAGCTGTAGATCACCAACAGTTTCAGTTCAGGAATTATGTACCTTATTGCTTCTATGATTTGAGACCCACCAAGAACAAATTATTTGCTTAGGATATGTGGCAGCCAATATTAAGTGGCTGCCTTTTGATGCTAATTTAGTAGAAACCCCTCCTTTCCCCTCTTGCACAAATGGGTTTTTATTAGGAGGCGCATGAGTGAAATATTACTTATGCAAATAGTGCATGATGTATTTTTGTGTGTGTGTGTTGGCTATTATCCTGGAGTAAAAAAAACCCCTCTATCCTTCATAGAACATTTCAAAATTCTCTGACTTTTGTCACAATCCAAAAGCAATATTGGACAGCATTCAGCCAGATATTGCCTCTGTCTTTTATTTCTAAAGGTAGTAGATACCAAACCATATCCAATAACTATATAAAGATCTTATTTGATTCTGTCTGTCAGATTGTTTAAATCAGGTAAACTTGTTGCTTCATTTGCACTCCTTTTGCTAATAGCTGAATGGCACAGATTTCCTGGATGGCATCTGCTGATGACCGGATAGTCAAGAACTCCACAGACCCTAACTGATCTTCATATTGTGGGCAATGAATTATCTAGTGCATAGTATGGTAGCCTAAATAGGTACCGCTTTATAGTGGGAAGGTAAACGGCGTTTCCGTGTGCTGCGCTGCTGCTGGCTCGCCAGAGCAGCTTCGTCACACTGGCCACGTGACCCGGAAGTGTCTCCGGACAGCTCTGGCCCTCAGCCTCTTAAGTGAGATGGGCGCACAACTCTAGAGTCGGACACAACTGGCCCGTACGGGCAGGGGTACCTTTACCTTTATGGTAGCCTAAACTGTACACAAAGAAGAACAAATTTCCATTTTTATGGATGTTGAGAGAGAATTAAACAGCCCTTAAAGCCCCTATAACCCATTAACCTTATTTACCATATAGATTTAGCTCCACAACACTCTTACATTCACAAACACACACAGTCCAGCCAAATCCCCATGTCTTTTGCAGTCTCTAGACTGCAGAAATGCCAAGTTCTTCCTTGACTTATCTCAGTGTCAGTCCCCAAACCCCCAGCCTTACCACTTAAGTTTTTCTTTTTTTATCACCTCCCATGCCTCTTTGCTTCTCAGCTGATGGAGGGGAGAACTCTTATGCATATTTAATATAAACTCTGCAAAAAGATTATGCAAGAAGAGGGAAAAGAGATTAACTCGATGGCCAAAACAGACACGACAGTGCAATCTTATACCTGTCTACTCAGGTATAAGATTGCAATACTCACTGATTGCAATGATCCCAGGTATGTATGTGAAGGATTGCAGGCGAAATGTGTGAATGCATTTAATATAATCCCCCCCTCCAACTTTAAGAACAGTAGCTGTGGGGAAAGGTTACTCCTTCCAGTCTCACTTCTTAAGATCCTGCCACAACATCCCATATCATAGAAGTTGAAACCGGAGTAAATTACATCAATTCTTCTGATAGCAAAACCAGACTTTCTTCTTATTGATATTTTAGGGGATCAATAAGAAGTCTTGTCAGCTAAAGAGGATATTTGTGCAGGAATAAAACGAAAGACTGTAACTTACATCTTGAGTCCCCCGCCTGAGTCCACTGACGTAGATGCTAGAACAACACAAGCAGTGTCTTACATGAGGCAAGCTCCCGGAGCACCCTTTGCTGAAGGAAAATACTGGTGCTACTTATGAAGCTGCTCTGACATCACTTTGGTTGCTACTCAATGCTCATTAACCTGAGAACAGCATTGGTGCAAGACATTGCACCGCCTGAGGTGGGCTGTTGCCACTGTCTTCCTCCTCTGCCTCCACTGCAGCTGCCTCGTCCTGTCCCACATTAACATGCAGGCTCACCTAGTCAAACACTTGCTGACAGCAGCATAAGAATCACTTCTAAGATAACCAGGATCACCACACACCTCAGTGTCAAACTCTAAGAAAGAGGTCCTTCATCAGAACAAAGCATTGTTTGCTGGGTGGCCCCAGAGAGTGCTTGTGCTGCCCCTGCTTTGCCGCAGTGGTGGAAATTACGGCTGAATACTGTTTACGGACGTGGGTGGCGCTGTGAGTTAAACCACTGAGCCTAGGGCTTGCTGATCAGAAGGTCGGCGGTTCGAATCCCTGCGACTGGGTGAGCTCCCATTGCTCGGTCCCTGCTCCTGCCAACCTAGCAGTTCGAAAGCACGTCAAAGTGCAAGTAGATAAATAGGTACCGCTCCGGCGGGAAGGTAGACAGCATTTCCGTGCGCTGCTCTGGTTTGCCAATAAAGCGAGATGAGTGCCCCACCCCAGAGTCGGCCACGACTGGACCTAATGGTCAGGGGTCCCTTTACCTTTACTGTTTACAGAAACCTGTGGTCCTCCAGGTGTTGTTGGACTTCAGCAAGCCCCAGTCAGCACAGTCAATGGCCCAAGATGTAATCCAATAGCATCTGGGGGCCACAGACATCCCATTGCTGCTTTAAAATTTAAGAGTCTTTCCTACCCTAGGCCACCTCACCCACATTGCCTCAATCTTAGGAAGGGGAGATGTAGGCCTGGGCTTCACTTCCCTGCAGTGGCAAATGCTTTTTAATGCTTGCTATAGAAGCAAAAGCAGAAGGGCTTCATGGTGGATTGGTGACTAGGTGGCAACTGCAGTGGTGACAGCGGCAATGGCAGGTTCATCTGCCGCCTGAACCACACAGCTAATGCTAGGGCCAGCCCTGAGACAAGGGTGCTCCCTGGCCAAAGGAATGCACACGGCAGATAGTTAACTCTATATTGTCAAAGCTCACACTTACAGTAGGCTCCAAGTACCACACAGGCCGGTTTAGCATCTAGGCAGCTATTCCCAGGTCTGAGCTCTATGGAGCAGTTGCAGCAACAGGGAGCCATGTCCCCTCCACCAGCTTATGTATCTTCCCCCAACAGGCTGTGCACACACAGCCAGAGACTATGCCTGTGTGGAAGCTGCCACTGCTCTTCTCACTTCCACCCGCTCCTGATTCTGGGAGACAGTGGTGCAGGAGAGGGTGAGGAAGAACCCAGCGCTTCACTTCCCTGACCCACCTGTTCTTCCTTTTCCTCTAGCTCTTGAAACTTCCCTTGCTTCTCACTCTTGCCTTCACTGTACCCCTCTCCTGAGTCAGACTTCCCCGGTGCACACTCATGAGCGTCCTACCAGTCCCTGACACCCTGCCTGAGAGATGCGGTGCAATCCTATAGATGACTACCTGGGTTAAGTCTCACCGAGTTCATTGGGAGATCCTTCCAAGTAACCATACATAGGATTGCAGGCCTAAGTCCCTTTGTGCACAATGGGACTTACTTCTGAGTAGACATACATAGGATTGCACTGTTAGGGTGTGATAAACATAGCTGTTGATATCCCTTGATTCTCACTCCTAGAGACCCATGCAGCTGCAGAAAGCTTCATTCCTTAGACACTAGAATTGGATCCTATGTATGTTCCATTGCACAATGAAGCACAGGATTAGGCTGCATATTTCAAAGTTATTATCTCCGTGTTGTTAACATGCATTACACATATTTTAGGGGGCTCTGGAACATGAAGAAAGCAAGACATTGCGTTTTCAACTGGAACTCTCCCAAATTAAAGCAGACTTTGAAAGAAAACTGGCAGAAAAAGATGAAGAAATTGATAATTTCAGGTATAGTATGCACACAAGGCAATTAACAGAGCCAAGTTATATACGAAGTGTGATTTTTAAAAAGAACAGGGTTGGAACTAAAAGAAAACAAGACTTCTAGTTTTAGTATTTCTCAGCATCCAGAGTAGGTTAACTGAACTTAGATGCAGTTTAAACTAACGGGACTTGAATCCTGAATATCTTCCCCCATGGAATTCAATAGAACCTAATGTAGTCTGGCTCCAACACAGGTTTTTTGTTTCTTTTTAAGAACTAGACACAAATGATCAGTGTGTCTCTTACCAATCACCAGAATTTCTCAAACTTGTCCTGGCAGTAACACATTATGTAGAAGAGGGCAATTTTCTTCTGCTTATGTATCTGTTTTGCCATCTGTACATGCTGTCTTAATTTGCAAGAATGTTGTTAAGGCTGATTGATAATTACTGTCTGCACAATATGTTGACAAAAGATACATTAATAAACAAGAGGCAATAAACAAAACAAAAAAAACCTGGAATCTTTCACAGTTGAAAGAGATTCAAAATGAAATTATTTTACAAAGCGAAGTAAGAAGATCTGGAGATGGGAATGGAGGGGAATGCTGGATTTTCCTATTTACTCTTTATGCTAAAAAATCTATATGTGAAAAGGTAGACTTCACTAGCAGCACAGGGCATTGTCAAAAATTAGGGAAAGAGAAGCCTGTGCCCACATTTGCTTACATGACATGATTTCAAAATCAGGAGAAACCAGCAACGTGCCATAGACACATTACAGTCCACCTTGGATTCGGAAGCCAAGAGTAGAAACGAGGCCATCCGACTGAAGAAGAAGATGGAAGGAGACCTCAACGAGATGGAAATCCAGCTCAGCCATGCTAACCGGCATGCCTCTGAGGCAACAAAGACCACACGCATCCTTCAGGCTCAAATAAAGGTACTTCTTGTTGCTTGTGGGACCTGGGCATTAACAAAAAATATTCTGAGCGATTGCACTCAAAATAATAATGATAATATTTATACCCCACCCATCTGGCTGGGTTTTCCCAGGCACTCTGGGTGACTCCCAACATAACATTAAAAACATGATAAAACATCAAACATTAAAAACTTCCCTAAACAGGGCTGCCTTCATATGTCTTCTAAAAGTCAGATAGTTGTTTATTTCCTCGACATCTGATGGGAGGGTGTTCCACAGGGCAGGTGCCACTACTGAGAAGGCCCTCTGCCTGGTTCCCTTTAACCTCACTACTTGCAGTGAGACAGGCATAGGCAAACTTGGCCCTCCAGATGTTTTTGCCTACAACTACCATGATCTCTAGCTAACAGGACCAGTGGTCAGGGATGATGGGAATTGTAGTCCCAAAACATCTGGAGGGCTGGGCTGAGTTTGCCTATACCTGCAGTGAGGGAACCGCCGGAAGACCCTCGGAGCTGGACCTCAATGTCCGGGCTGAACGATGGGGGTGGAGATGCTCCTTCAGCTTCAAACTTAGGGTTAGAAGGCAAACAAGAAGTTACCTTTCCCTTGTAGTACTAAAGTGGTTTCTGGGGAATACTTGCAACCTGGAGAGAATGTGAGGGAAGGTGTTTAACCTTTTCCTGTCCTCTCCCCCATGCCGATTTTATTGAGCATTCATTCTGAGTTGTTTGCAAGGCAATTATACAACAACGAGCATCCTTATTTGCTTCTAAGGTGTTTATATCCCTTCATGTTAACCATTTCAAACATTTCAATGCAGTTCCCCATCACTTTCCTAACAGCAAAAAGTCCATTGCAAAGAAAAGTGGATTTATTGTAGTAGGTAGGGATAGGGAACCTCTGGTCCACAGCCTGATTAGGCCTGCCAGGTCTACCCATTTGGCCTACTAGGTCATTTTGGCCAAGCCATGACCATCTGCCCTACACCTGACATGAGGTATATGGTAAAGGTGAAAACCACATATGGGACAGGTGAAACCACAGTAGGAAAACGAAAGGGGGTTCCAGGCACTCCTGGCCTGGATCAGGGGTGCCTTTGAAGCTCCAACCATCAGCTGACTACCAGGGCTTCAAAGTACAGTGCACCTTTGGTTGAGGAATAGGATTCCTGCACTACAATACAGTCAATCCTTACCCTGAAAGACAGCGATATGGGGGATCCCATCTATAAGATTCCTTCTCTGCATAACAGGAGTAAAGCCTGACTTCATTGGGCCCAGTGTGTGACCATGCTGCTGTTTTTTTCCAGGAACTGCAAGTACAACTTGATGATTCAACACACCTGAATGAAGACTTCAAAGAGCAGCTGGCAGTCACTGACCGACGTAACACTCTCCTCCAGTCTGAGTTGGATGAGCTCAGGGCTCTGCTGGACCAGACAGAACGTGGCCGTAAATTGGCAGAGCAGGAGCTGCTGGAAGCCACTGAACGTGTGAACCTTCTGCACACCCAGGTTGTTATATCAAATGTTGTTTCCCTAACCTGCCTCACCCCCCATCACATTAGATCATAAACCAGACATTCTTACATAGAGTAGTGATTCAGAGCAATGCAGGTTTCAGACAAAGTATGACCCCATTAACAAGGGTACACAAAGACTGTTCATTCTTGAGGGGGGGGGAGAAATTAAAGCGGAAAAGAGTAATTTTAACACATTTATAGTTCGAAAGCCTCTAGATAAAAGAAAAATGGCTTTGCTGAACATTTCTGTGACATCTACCACCTTTTAAAATTGTCTAGTTTGCCTCCCGTTGTGCTCTCTTTCTGTCAAAATGATCTCTTTCATGATTTTACTCTTCGCTTATCCCAGTCTCTGCTACAATAACATTAAAGACTCATCCCTGTCAAGGGAGAGTTTAGAGTATTTACCCAGGTTCTATTGTTTTAAAATTGGCCTTACCTATATTGTTCAGAGTGAACTGTGCCTTAGAGTGGACTGTTCTCAATAAATATAGCCTTTCTTTATTGCTAAAAATGTTTTCAATGTCCAAGTTTCAAAAATATGACAGCGACCACCACTTTCCAACTTTCCAATATGAAACAGCTGAGTTGATAATGAAACATTAGCCGTTTTGGTACAGACATTATGTTCCTTATTGCTGTCGTCAACCATACTGAGATCAGGACATGATCCAGCCAATATTAACTACCTTTAAATCCAATTATTTTAGCAGGTAACAGTTAATTGTAAATCTTTCTTATGGAAATAATGAGATTTACAAATGCATCATTTTGGCTCAATCACACTCTAGCTCTCTCTTTCACAGATTAGCATAAAAGTATCTGTTCAATACTGATTGTGTGCTTAATTACCCAGAGAAGTGGGTTAAGTGATATACGGGTTACTTTGATGAGGGATGCTTTCAAATGTCATTTTTTTCACATCAGGTGTAAAAAGCAAAAGACATTCCTACACTAATGAATTAATTTCTCTCGTAAATTCTGATGCTGAAAACCGAGGGTAATATTCAATACTAATCTTACTCAGAGTAGACAATTTAAATCAATGGCTTTAAGTTGCATGTCCATACATTTCACTAGGTCTGCTCTGAGTATGACCAATGGTAGATATTCTGATTCTATCTTAAAGCAAAAACGTGGCATTATTGATACTTTTGGTCTGTTCTATATCTCTAATTCTATTGTCTGCCTAGGAACTCCAAAGGTAGTTAATGACACACATTCGCTTGTGCACCCAAGTATAATTTGTGAATTATACCCACCCACCCCCAGGTACAATGTGTGAATAGCCTCAGTGTAGCACTAGTCCTAGAAGGTGATAAAGATGATCATGTGTCCCTGAAGGATCTTCCTTTCTCCTCTTCCTTTCAAACTCAAGAATACAAGCCTGATCAACCAGAAGAAGAAGCTGGAGACTGATATCTCTCAAATGCAAAATGAAGTGGAGGAAGCCATCCAGGAGTGCAGGAATGCCGAAGAAAAGGCCAAAAAAGCAATCACTGATGTAAGTAGACAGCTTATTCCTGCTTGCACAGATGTCCAGTCTTATTCTTCCTGGTTTGCTGATCTTTTGTTGCCCATGGTTTTCGTTTCTGAATCAAGTACTGCTTTGCATGCTGGCAAGTCAGGGATTGTGAAAATTTATTTATTTAGACTCACTAGCAGTGGTGATCTGTTGTCATCAGAAGTCATATATGTTAGAACATCTATCATAATTTAGAAGGATGTTTGGCATTTTTATAGTGAAAGTGACCTTTTCTCCCCATATATCTTCATGCAGATTGGCTTTCACTGCATTTCAAAAACCCAGATGTGAAATTTGGTGAAAATTGGTAGAATAACAGCAGTGTTCCTAAATTGGGTGGGAGAAGCATTTGCCTCTCTGAAATATTAACTGTGTCTGTTTTGGATTTTTCCTATTGTCACCTCTCGTGATAATTACATATGTGTTCAGTTACAGCTTAAATAGAAGATGGCTCAAGTGTAGGGATATCATAAAGTGATATCCGTACATAATACCAAGGTGTACAACAACTCACATTGTGCTTAATTATACTACATGAAGTTATAAATAAAATTTTAGACTAAGGGCTCATCCAGCCTTGTGCTTGTCCCATGCCTTGGAAGCATGGGTCCAAGAGGTTTTGTCCCTGGGAAACACACCCTTTGGCAATAAATCAGAGCCCACATCAATCTTGAGAAAAGTTTATTTATGTTTGCTCCAATTCAGATTTTTTTTTGGGGGGGGAGGGCAAAGGCAAGGCTGGATGAGCCCTAAGTCCTAGAAATGGTTCATTACTTTCTCCAGATCGAGGGAACCTGTGATCCACCAAATGCTGTTGGACTCCAACTCCCATTGGCCCAGCCAGCATGTCCAATGGTCATGCATGATAGGATTTGTAGCCCTTCCTCCTGTTATAGATATTTCCCAGGATTTTGTAGTTGTCTCAAATCGCCAAAATCATTGGGACTCGTTGTTTGTTTGGGGTGGCGTTTCACACATTTATGTTATTATAGGCAGCAATGATGGCCGAAGAACTGAAAAAAGAGCAAGACACCAGTGCTCACTTGGAGCGAATGAAAAAGAACATGGAACAGACCATTAAAGATCTACAGAAGAGACTGGACGAAGCAGAGCAAATTGCTCTAAAAGGGGGCAAGAAGCAGATTCAAAAGCTGGAATCCAGGGTAGGCTTCTAAGAGTCCACCTTTAGAACCTGTTGTGTCAGCCTCCTTGGAAAATGGTTGGCGTGTTCATTTTTAAAATGGGAGCTCAGCTCTGGCTAGAGTAGTAATGTTTTATTTTGAAATGCTAAGTGCTGGAGAATGATGTAAAGGAGCACTCAACAAACGTGCCAAAAGCTTTTGAGTATATATTTATAAAGCACGTTCTGAAGACCTATTGCTAAGACTAAGTTCTTTGAGCTATTCCTATGAGGCAGAGCCCAACAGGAGCACATAAACGCTTTTGATTCTGCTACAGGTCCGCGAGCTGGAAAATGAACTAGAGGCAGAAGCTCGCCGCAATACGGAATCTCAGAAAGGAGTCCGCAAATATGAAAGGCGCATCAAAGAGCTGACATACCAGGTAATAATAACTAAAGTGGGTGAACTGAAATATTGCGCTAGGACAAATACACATAATTTCCAATCACAGAAACTTGTTCTGATGTAAAGCAGCATTACCAAAGACTTTATATATTATAGGCAGCAGCTAACAGCCTGCAGGCGATTCTCTACCACTTTTCTTTTCCTTCTGGCTCTTTCATCTCCATGCTGACTAAAATAGCTTTGTGGGATGAAGGACAGAGAGATGTCTGAGTCAAAGGAGGAAATGTTCTTATCTCACCAGCACTCTTCAGTTTCTGTCTCTTCCTCTGCCTGAACCTCTGACTCATTCCAGGAAACACTGAAGCAAGGGAATGAGAATGAGGACTGGTAGCTGAGAGGTCAATGGAATTCTCCAAGCATCCCTATAGCTAGTATGTTGCAGCTGATAGAGTACCGGACTTGCAAAATTTGGGTTCAAAATCTTTGTTCAACCACACATTTTTCTGGGTGAAGTTCACTGTGCAACTCACTATCAGCAGAAACCTCAACAGGATGTCTGTGAGATAAAATGGAGTGACCCAATTTAAGTCATCCAGAGCTCATTGGAGGAAGGCTAGGATAAAAATTAGATAGAGTCTCTTAGTTCCATAATTCTAGATTTCCAGTGAAACAAGCTATCTAACTCTGAGGAGTGGATGGTTGCCAAGTTAACACTTATTTTATTCCTATTTGTTCTACAAAGGCAGAAGAAGACAAGAAGAACTTAACAAGGATGCAGGAGCTGATTGATAAGCTGCAGGTGAAAGTGAAAAGCTACAAGCATCAAGCAGAAGAAGCTGTAAGTTGGTGCAGTGTAATGTGTGGCTCTTATCAAATCAGTAATTCACCTAATTTCTGATTGGAGTTGTATTATTCAAACCGGGAAAGGAAGACAAACTGCTGATGTGTGACAACAACACTGCACAAAGAGGTATCCTGAACATTGCAGCAATTTCTCTTCCCTTTTTGAAAAGCACATTTCTTCTACCTTCAAAAGCATGGAGGAAAGTTTAGAGAGTACATCTAAATCTCCTACTAAAGATTTTGAAAACTGGGAGGCACAGAGAGCTGTGCCATTGCTTTGACCCTAAGTCCAGAATGTTTCCAAACTCCATTTTTTTAAATGGTTTTCTTTTCCTCACCCACACCAGACCTTTCCAAATTTTACAACAAGAAAAACTTGAATTGGAAGCACAAATAAATTAGGCACAGTTACTTAATTTTATTCAGTTTCCATAAATGGTTTAAATTTTTTTAAAAAGCACAGCACAGAAGCTTCTCAGTTTTGGAATATTTGGTGTATTATTATTTTTTTAAATCACATCTCCCCCTAAGAAATAAGGATGCAGACCTTCAGCAAATTGCTGTACTGTGAAGCACCCCTATTCACTGTCAATCATGCCTCAGTCTGTCAGACTTCATTCCATTTTCCTCCCTGCTAGTTTTCTATGTATACCTCTCCCCCACCTTGGATAAAGGGTTAGGCAGCATTTCATGGTCACTGGGCACACTCAGTCTTGACTAGGCCGTCTTGATAGGTTCTCGCAACCTTAAAGGCTACTTTCTCAAGATATTTTGTACTCCTGGAACCTTGCACGTTCCTTCTCATCTGCTGATACTGCCGTCTTATGTGGGAGTGGTGAAGTTTTGGCTTCATACACAGCAGCACGCATGCTGCATCTCTTACCAAAACAGAGAGGATGATGTTTCTGCTGCATTCCATTATCTACAACAAATCTAAATACAGTTTCATCTCACAGAATGGAAAATGAATGATACTTTGGTACAGAATCATTTGTCTAAGGCATTCCAGTGCTTGACAAAATGATGCCGCTGTCAGAAAACATTTCACTCTGTATTCCTGTTATCGCTTCAGTGAATACCACAGACAGATCTTCTGACTTAATGCACTAAAGATCTGAAACAGAGTAGTATGTGTTTACTAAAAGTGTCTCAACGTATTTGGAGTTCCATAGCACAGCCACTGGCTGTACAAGCAACTTTCACATGGCTTTCGGCCTAGAATGAGAGTTCTTAAAGGGCGAGGCAGGCTACTTACAGCAGTAAAATCTGTTGCTGCGCATTCCTGTAAACTCAGATGTTTACATTTCTGGATTAAGTCACAAGGCTGATTATGGAACTGTTTGTGGAGTCTATGGATATGTCTTTCTCAACTTGGTGTCTTCTAGATGTTCTTGAATTCCATTATCCCTGACTTTAGATGGGTGACTCTATCAATTCTTATTTTTCTCTTAAATTCCACATCTCCACATCAGTCTGCAATTTTTAAAAAATCTTTGCGGAAGATCACCAGCATTTAGTGTGAATTTCTCTTAATTTACATTTTTTTTAATAAGCCATTTTGCCTAAAATACACATTTTTGCAAAATAATTTCCCCTAATATAATGCATGGTTATGTTATATTTACTACTGCATTTGTTTTTATGGACATTTTACTACAGTTATATGCATTTTTGTACACATTACGTGGCTGGCGAATTGCATTGCCAAAGTTGGATATGTGCGGATGTCAAAGGATGAGTGTTTCAGTTCATGCATTATTTTGGAAAGTGAAACATTCATAGGCTCATCTTTAAATGTAAACTGAATCAGATTTCTCTTCCATTCCTATCTCTAGCTTTTTGCCTTGCTGGCTGGAGATGATGGGAGTTGTAGTCCAATAACATCTAGAGGGCATCAAAGGTTGCCTTATTTAGTCTTGGAGGCCTTTGTGATAATAGCACAACTTAAGGGTCTAGAGCAGTGGTTCTCAACTTGTGGGTCCCCAGATGTTGTTGGACTACAACTCCCATCATCCCTGAGCTCTGGCCTTGATAGCTAGGGGTGATGGGAGTTGTAGTTCAACAACATCTGGGGACCCACAAGTTGAGAAAGGCTGGTCTAGAGCAATTTGCTATTTCTTCACCACAGAATGTGGAATTTTTCTACGCTGTTTGCTTTCCAATTAAAGGCTTGAAATCACTACCTGCCATCTACAAAACTCTCTGACTGATCACTGATGGCCTCCCAGATAGACTTTTAAAGATGAAATTGCCTTTCCTGTGTAGCAAATCCCACAAAGTTCCATGAAATGTTTACCACTGACTCACGAATGCTTTTCACAAGTAGTGGAAGGTCCACTACTTGCTAGATTATGGAGGCAAAGCACTTTTGATGTTCTTTTCTCCCTCCTACCAGGAAGCTCAAGCCAACCAGTACCTTGCAAAGTACAGGAAGCAGCAGCATGAGTTGGATGATGCTGAAGAACGAGCCGAAATAGCTGAATCCCAGGTCAATAAGCTCAGGACCAAGTCAAGAGATATTGGCATAAAAAAGGTATGTCAAGCGAATCGGGGGAGAATGTTTCTGGTAGAACCTTCAGAAAAGCAGGGCAGGACATTGGAGTGAGGTGAGGATTTCGCGGGCCTGCATCTCAGACAACCCATCTATGTGCCTGCATACTTGGAATAGTCTTTCCTATTTCTCCTCTGCCTGCCCAGTTTGGGAGAAGGGGCAGGAATTCCAGCCTGATGGGTTGACTCCTGAGGTCCCAAAATGCAGCCAAGAAGCACTGAAGGCTGAATCTTTCTTGACAGTTTACAGCCGAGCAAGGTATGCAGCAAATAACACTACAAAGGCACAGCTGTGAATGAAACACTGCAGACTGCAGGAAGCCATTCTGTTGTGGAATGCTTGTTATTCCAAGCCAAACTGCATGGTATCAATATATTAATTTAGTCTAGGCAAAACCGGATAATGCCCAACACATATTAATCACACAAACTCTATGTTTTGCCCATGTAATGATGCCTTTGGAGCTACTGTAATTAATATAAGAATTAATCCTCAAAGGTGCAATCCAGATCTATTAAAATCAATGTGGAGGATTGACAATGATTTTGTTAGGATTTGGATTACATCCTAAAACCAGCTAAAACTAGCAGTTAACAACCTTGGCATTGGCTTATTTGCATTATTTTGGCAGCTGCAACTGAGTTTCTGGTTATATCAACATTATTTTCTCTAATGATGGGTATTGAGAAAAATCTTATTCACTAATATAAATGAAAGTCCCCATAGAACAGTAGAGGCTAAGAAGGAAGCCTGTTCTGGCCGACATCCATATTGCTTAATCCTATGATGCTGTTGTCATGGCCACCATTCTGAGAGCTCCACGGGGTGACACTAAGGTAGAAAACATAATCGCTTTCAACCTGAGTGAAGCAGCAAAACTTCCTCCTTCACATGATGTCTGTAATAGTCAGAGACTCACAACCATTTCCACTGCAGGTGAGGAAAGTGCCCACATTGCCTGTTGCTTCTTGTTACAAGCAGTTACAACGCTATAATAAATTCCTGTTGTGATTTTGTAATGCACAGTGGAGGTGGCAGTTCCTAGCAATTTTTGGAAACTTGGAGGCGGATAACTGATCACGGACTGCAGTTTCTTGAAGATGGACTTCTGGCAAGCGATGGGCTGCACCTCACAACGGTTGGGAGGAATGTTTTTGCCAAAAATCTCAGAAACCTCATCAGGAGGGCTTTAAACTGACTAATGTGGGGAGGGAGACAGTGCTCCTGAAGGTAGGAGTCTATCAATTGATGAAGATGATCATCCAAATGTCATAGACCAAATGGAGTAAACAGCACGCAGACCTAGTGGTGGGAGGAAAAAATCCTTAAATAAGAGACACGGGGGAATGATTAATGGACTTCAATGTCTGTACAGTAATGCGCAAAGCATGGGAAATAAACAAGATGAGCTGGAGCTCTTGGTACAGCAAACTAAATATGACATAATAGGCATCACTGAAACCTGGTGGGATAAGTCCCACGATTGGAATGTAATAATGGAGGGATACAATCTATTTCAGAGAAACAGACCAGACAAGAAAGGAGGAGGAGTGGCGTTATATGTCAGGGATGTGTATACCTGTGAAGAGATCCAAGATTTAGAACCTCAAAGCCAAAGTGAGAGCATTTGGGTCAAAATTAAGGGAGAGAAGAATAACAGTGACCTCATTGTGGGAGTTTACTATAGATCCCCAAGCCAAACGGAGGACATAGATGATGCCTTCCTGGAACAGATGGCCAAGCATGCAAAAGGAAGGGAGATAGTAGTAATGGGGGACTTCATTTACCCGGATATTTGTTGGATGTCAAACTCAGCCAAGAGCATAAGGTCAAACAGATTCCTCACTGGCCTTGCAGACAACTTCATTGTCCAGAAAGTGGGAGAAGCAACAAGAGGAACAGCCATTTTAGATCTGGTCCTAACCAATGTTGATGACCTGGTTAGTGGGGTAGAAGTGGAAGGATCGTTAGGCGCGAGTGATCATGCTCTTCTGAAGTTTACTATACAGCGGAAAGGAGCAGCCAAGCATACTAGGACTCAATTTCTTGACTTTAACAAAGCTGACTTCATAAAACTTAGGGAAGTGCTGGGTGAGATCCCATGGACAGTAATACTAAAAGGAAAGGGAGTTCATGATGGCTGGGCGTTTGTTAAGAGGGAGATAGTAAAAGCACAACTTCAGGCAATACCAATGAGACAGAAACATGGAAGGTGCCTAAAGAAGCCAGGGTGGCTATCTAAAGAACTTTTAACTGAGTTAAGATTAAAAAAGGATGTGTACAAAAAATGGAAAAGGGGGGAAACCACCAAAGAGGAATTCAAACAAATAGCCAGCACGTGTAGACACAAAGTCAAAAAACTGAAGCACAGAATGAACTCAGGCTTGCTAGAGAGGTTAAAAGCAACAAAAAAGGCTTTTATAGGTATGTTCGTAGCAAAAGGAAGAACAAAGAAACAGTGGGGTCACTCAGAGGAGAAGATGGTGAAATGCAAACAGGGGACACAGAAAGGGCTGAACTCCTCAATGCCTTCTTTGCCTCAGTCTTCTCCGATAAAGAAAACAATGCCCGACCTGAAGAATTTGGAGCAAATGATTCAGCAGAGGAAACACAGCCCAGAATAACTAAGGAGATAGTACAAGAATACTTGGCTAGTTTAGATGTATTCAAGTCTCCAGGGCCAGATGAACTGCATCCAAGAGTATTAAAAGAACTGGCAGATGTGATCTCAGAACCACTGGCAGTCATCTTTGAGAATTCCTGGAGAACAGGCGAAGTCCCGGCAGACTGGAGGAGGGCAAATGTTGTCCCTATTTTCAAAAAGGGAAAAGAGAGGACCCAAATAATTACCGCCCAGTCAGTCTGACATCAATACCAGGGAAGATTCTGGAGCAGATCATTAAGCAAACAGTCTGTGAGCACCTAGAAAGGAATGCTGTGATCACCAATAGTCAGCATGGATTTCTGAAAAATAAGTCATGTCAGACTAACCTGATCTCGTTTTTGACAGAATTACAAGCCTGGTAGATGAAGGGAATGCAGTGGATGTAGCCTACCTTGATTTCAGCAAGGCATTTGACAAGGTGCCCCATGATATTCTTGTAAAGAAGCTGGTAAAATGCGGTCTTGACTATGCTACCACTCAGTGGATTTGTAACTGGCTGACTGACCGAACCCAAAGGGTGCTCATCAATGGTTCCTCTTCATCCTGGAGAAGAGTGACTAGTGGGGTGCCACAGGGTTCTGTCTTGGGCCCGGTCTTATTCAACATCTTTATCAACGACTTGGATGATGGACTCAAGGGCATCCTGATCAAATTTGCAGATGACACCAAACTGGGAGGGGTGGCTAACACCCCAGAGGACAGGATCACACTTCAAAACGACCTTGACAGATTAGAGAACTGGGCCAAAACAAACAAGATGAATTTTAACAGGGAGAAATGTAAAGTATTGCACTTGGGCAAAAAAAATGAGAGGCACAAATACAAGATGGGTGACACCTGGCTTGAGAGCAGTACATGTGAAAAGGATCTAGGAGTCTTGGTTGACCACAAACTTGACATGAGCCAACAGTGTGACGCGGCAGCTAAAAAAGCCAATGCAATTCTGGGCTGCATCAATAGGAGTATAGCATCTAGATCAAGGGAAGTAATAGTGCCACTGTATTCTGCTCTGGTCAGACCTCACCTGGAGTACTGTGTCCAGTTCTGGGCACCACAGTTCAAGAAGGACACTGACAAACTGCACGCTGGAGGAATGGCAGATGAAACTTATGGACTATATGGAATTGGCGGAAATGACTGGCAGAATCCGTGACCAGGGAGAAGAGTCGGTGGAGGAAGACTGGAAGAAATTCAAAGACTATCTTCAGAAACACTGCAAAATTAAGGAATGTTAGAGTGATGTTGGATTGAAAATAAGTGGTTTCCAGCTGTACAGGTTAAAGTTAAGGATAGATTAAGATTAAAGGTTAAGATTAAAGATGTTTAAAGAAATGGAAATTTGATAATAAAAGGGAAAAATTTAAAGCTATATGACATTAAGAGTAAGGATTAGGTTTAAAAAAAAGTTGAAGTTATATATTTTAACATTTTAGCAAATTAAAGATTGGGATTAAAAATGTGGAAAAGAAACTGCTGGACAAATAATGTGGATTGGAATACAAAAAAGGAGAGTATGAGGAAGTCCAGAAAATAAGTAATTTAAAATTGGAATGGAAAAGAGAGTTTGTTTTTAATTGTTATGTTCTATTTTTATTGTTAAGTTTTGTATTGTTTTTTTTGTGTGTGTTGTTTTTCTTTTTTCTTTGTTTAAAACCTTAATAAAAAATTATTAAAAAAAAAAAAAGAAGGACACTGACAAACTGGAACGTGTCCAGAGGAGGGCAACCAAAATGGTCAAAGGCCTGGAAACGATGTCTTATGAGGAACGGCTAAGGGAGCTGGGCATGTTTAGCCTGGAGAAGAGGAGGTTAAGGGGTGATATGATAGCCATGTTCAAATATATAAAAGGATGTCACATAGAGGAGGGAGAAAGGTTGTTTTCTGCTGCTCCAGAGAAGCGGACACGGAGCAATGGATCCAAACTACAAGAAAGAAGATTCCACCTAAACATTAGGAAGAACTTCCTGACAGTAAGAGCTGTTCGACAGTGGAATTTGCTGCCAAGGAGTGTGGTGGAGTCTCCTTCTTTGGACGTCTTTAAGCAGAGGCTTGACAACCATATGTCAGGAGTGCTCGGATGGTGTTTCCTGCTTGGCAGGGGGTTGGACTCGATGGCCCTTGTGGTCTCTTCCAACTCTATGATTCTATGATTCTATGAACTTCCCCCCCCAAATCAAAACCATTTAGCTCCTCTTCCTGTTTTTCAAACATTACCAAAAGAATGCTACTCACAAGTAGAAGTGCATTTCCGCATGCAGGTCAAGCAGTGCTAAATGCAGGTGTTGGACAGGGGGCAAGATCTGGTTAATAGATGGGGGACTGTGTACATGCTGTCATTCAAACATATGAAAAGATTTGACATTGCCTGCTTCTGCTCTTAGAAGTAAATCCTGTGGGATGAGCATAATGTATGTAGCTATAAGTCATTATCACGCTCTTGCCTTTTAGGGTTCCCAAATAGAGAGAGGTGACACAGTAAACAATAATCACATGCACGGTAGGCTTATCATTATGCAAAAAATATTAATAGAATTCTTCCAGAAGTTTTTCAGGCGACAAGAAAAACAACACTCCACCAAACACCCAAAGCCAAGTTTTAGTAAAGAGATTTATCCTTCATTTTACTTTTCCACATTTGTTTGGGCAGCAGAAATCCATGCAGATAAAATGCAAATAGAAGACACAACATTAAAAAAAAACCACACTTCTTGATATCTTGAAAACGGAGGTTATTCATAATTCTTACATTTTAATCCTGCCAGCACCTAATATCTGAAGAAACACGCTATGCTTTTTAATAACGTTGAGGAAGCTGCAACTTTGTTTATCACCACAACACTAGACCCTTACTCAGCCTCTCCATTCCACACAGTTCTTAAAGACACAGATTCCCTTTTAAACCCAGGAAAACTTTCTGCCCAAATATTTCCAGAATATCTCTCTTTCCCACCTCCCATGGTATGCGGACAGACTGGCTCAAAAAGTCCCCTTCATAGCCTCATTCCCTATAGTGCAGTTCACTTAGCCCAACCCCCTGTAATGCAGGAATCTCAGCCATTCAACCTCTGTTTAAAAACCTCCAAGGAAGGAGAGTCCTCCACTTTCCAAGGGAGTCTGTTCCGCTGTCAAACAGCTCTTACTGTCAGAAAGTACTTCCTGAAGTTTAGTCAGAATCCCCTTTCTCATAACTTGAATCCATTGGTTTGAGTCCTACCCTCTGGAACAGGAGAAAACAAGCTTGCTCCATCTTCCATGTGGCAGCCCTCAGTTACCTATACATCTGCTTCCTACACTTGGCCCTCTTACATGTAATGTAATCAGGTAGAACATACATGTGTGGGGCAGGGATAGCAAGCTCCACCCCTGACTTGCACACCAGAAGAGAATGGGCACTCACCCCAATTCTGGTGGGGCAGTGGTTGCAGCTCAACCCAGCGCTCCCTGGGGCACAATGGAAAACATTATTTTCCTCATGGCTGGGCAGTGTAATCGTCCCCGGCTGGCTGAAAGGGCTTGTGGGATTGCCCACCAAAATTCCCATTTGAACTGGCCAATTGCGGGGAGTGGGGAGCTAAAGCAGCAGACCAGAGTAAAGAATAAATTACTTGAACTTAATGGAAGTTATGGCTAATCTGTCGCATTGATTTCAGTGGGAATGATGTTCAAGGAACAATGCAATTCTGCGCATGTCTACTCAGAAGTATGCTCCATTGTGCAAAATGGGTCTTGCTGCCAAGAAAGTGGGTATGGGATTAACGCCACTTTGCTACAGTTCACATAGTGCTTTATATGCAAATCATCACTGGATGCCACAGCCATGAGGTGGTGCACCATTCCTCAAGGATGCTACTGTACATTCTTAATTTTGTACTTAGCTATGTGCAAACGTGTTGTGCCCTGGTACTTTTTGAAGCCTTGTAAGACATTCTGTGTTTCACTTCTATCTATATTATATATTCTTCCTACACAAAAATGCATTCCACAAAGAAAATTCAGGACGAATTCAGTGGGCCATCTTTCCTAGGAAGTGTGTAAAGGATTGTTGCTTTAAAAAGCCATGCAGTCATTTCAGTTGAGCCTAAACTGTGTTGTCATATTTTATAATGTATTTCAGGTTCACGATGAGGAGTAAACCTATTATGCCTTGAGTAGCTGCTGGCTAGACTGGTTCTTACATAGAAACCAGCAGCCCACCGCTGAAGCAGAAGAAAACAGGCATCTTAACAAATAAACAAATATCAAATTAAAATCTGCTGATGCCCTTGTTATATGTGTTTTCAGTTGTGTTTCGCAAGGCTTGGTATTTGGATGTGAAAAAACAATTTCGGAACTTTTTATTAGTATTTAGGATTTTGGAGATAAAGTTCAGATTTCACGGGAAAACATGTTTTGGGGAATCCCCATTGAAATATCTGGAAATTGCTTAATGACTGCCTTTTGATGTGACTTGTACAGGACAGATTTCAACCACTGCCCTAGACCTATGAGTCAAATAGCCTCTTTTTCATGATCTAGAGGTGGTCATCTGGTTTAAAGGCACAGTAAAGCATACTAAATGCTCCCATGCCAAGCTTCTGTTTTTGGAAACGCAAGGAATTCAAAGAAGGTGAGCTATAGCTTTTTTATTTTATTTTAAAAGTCCCTTTGAAGACTTTGTAATGAGTTACCTTAGCCAAGAGCAGTCTGTCACATACATGGCCCTAACTCCCAATCAAAGGCTTGTACCAATCTCAAATTCCAGCAGGCTAAATCTTCTAGCATCTCCTCCTTGATGTTGTGAGCTTCAGATCTCCTCTATATATGAAGCTACTGCAGAGGAAAGATGTGAGACACATGAGCAGGTGTGTGAGATGACAAGACGTTAGAGATAGGTAATAACTCAGCAGTCACCCAGTTTATGGAGAGATTGAGGCATTCAGATAAAGGAGCCAGGAACTCCATGAAAAGCAGCAAGGGAAATATAGCTCTTATTAGGCTTATGCATGTTACCAATTTTGTCACACTATATTTTCTGCTTTCCATTGACCTTTCCGCTGAAGATTTTCATTGAAAGGGGACATAGACTGGATCTATAGTATATATTCAGGCATAATCATTCATATATCTGGAGTCCTACAAAGGAACTTCCCATCACAGCTGGCTGCCACCAGTAGCTGGTGGACAAAAAAAGGTTAATTTGTTTTTCTTATTTATCTTAGATAGTGGCTTCAGGGTGCATGACTCTTTACAATAGTGGTAGGGAACCTGAGACCCCCATTGTGGTTGGACTTCAGCTTCCATTGGCCCCAGTCAGTATGACTAATAGTCAAGGACAGGCCTTTGCCCAGAGGGTTTTTAATTCACTTTGCAAAGGGAGGTGACAGATGAAAGAAAGGTGAAATGGTAGCAAAGTAAACAGGGAGAATATGCATTATTATGTATGTAGATAGTACAGTTGTACCTCGGCTACCAGATGCCTTGGGAGTCAAATGTTCCGACTCCTGAACGATCGAAAACTGGAAGTGAGAACGTTTTCAAACGTTCTTTTGTAAGCTGAACGTCCAACGGGCTTCCGCAGCTTCCGATTGGCTGCAGGAGCTTCCTGCAGCTAATCAGAAGCCACACTGGTTTTTGGAATTCGAACGGACTTCCAGAATGGATTCTGTTCGACTTCCGCGGTATGACTGTATATGTATTTAGGTTTTGTAGGGCAAGGGGAGTAGGTGGTTGTGCCAAATGCTCCACAGAAATGGTGGGTTTGGAGGAGAGAGTAGAAGGAAAAGGAGGCCTCCATCCTTTCCACTAGGTCCAAGGCGAAGATGTGGAAGCCTCTTTGGTTTTGCCAGATTTGCCGTGACAGCATCAATGCTCTTGCACCTACTTTGTCAAACATAAGTCAGGCGTGCCTTCTGACAAGACATGAGGAAGTAATTATGTACTAATGATTCCAGGCTATTAGTGGATTCTTTGGAGAGTGAGTGACAAAAGAGTCTTTAATTTTGGAAAGTGTACCTCTGTCACTGCGTTCCATTCTTCCTTGACAGTAGACAAAGTGGCTTGAATGCATAATCTAATGGCCACAAGGGATTTTAAAGCTTTGCATTGAAATATGAGCCAGCACTCAACTAGCACTCTGTCACTTCAGGGTTGCACACCGCACACTGACAACATGTCCACACAATGGCGAAGATTTAAATGCATTTCTCTTAACTAGCATTCCCAAAACTGGTGTCCTCCAGATGATTTCAGTTACAACTTACATCAGCCATAGTCATAGTCTGGGGATCATGAGAGTTGTAGTCCAAAAAATATGGAAGACATCTAGTTTGGGAAGGCTGCTCTTAATGACTGACAAAGCAGTTAAGGATTTGGGAGTTAAAATGGGTGTCTACTTCCAGAAAGACTAGGGAATTCTTAGGTTTTATATGAACTTGCACCAATCTTCCTTCATGTAAAGGGACTAATAAGCACATAAATCAATCATGGCTATTCCTCTGTATAGGTAGTTATTATTGTTGTTCATTCATCTACACCAGACACAAAGGTTGTTATTTTTAAGCTATTTTTAAAGGAAATTGGGCAAAAAAAATGACACTTCTGAGACTTCCGATATGGCCAGACATTTTAACCGCTTTTTGAAAATTCTGCCCGGACGCCACTTTTGACAGACGAATCCCGGCTATATCCAGGAAATTCCAGATGTATGGCAGCCCTTTATTGTGGATCCTTGTGGCAAGAGAATAATCTGCCTCACTATAGTGTCTTGTAAATGTGTAAAGGGTAGCTGAAAGCATTTTTTTGCAAAAATAGATCAGAGTTGGATTTGAACTTTGGCTGAGCACTGGTGACCTGTACTGCCTGGGTTATCTGTCTTATTCTGATAAAGACCGATGATTTTTCTTCAGGGGAACCTGGAAGTTGCATAATACCACCGAATTACCAGAATCAAGGAGAAATCTGTAGACTAGGGCCTGGCCACAAGGTTACTGACCATGCACTGCTATATAGGTCTATTGATTTCAATTAGTCTATTCTATGATCTAATATTCAGTATCCCACATAATTAATGCCAATATGATATGATATGATATGATATGATATGATATGATATGATATGATATATGCAAGTAGGAGCGGTCTTTATTATATCAGGATGAGTGAAGTTTGACTATGTCTATGACAATTGGAAAGCAATGTGTTTTCCCCCAATGGCTTCAAAATGTCATTCTGCTTCCTGAAGAAGTTCCCTGCCTGTTTTCATTCAAGGGATGTTGTTCCATCTGATCATTTCCCTCAAATACAAAGTAAGAGTTGTTAGAGCTAGTACTATAGGACATACCCCCAGGGACATTTTAATTGAAAACTTCTGTACTGCATGTTCCGAAAAATTTCAGCCAGCTGTGCTTGAGCTATAAAAGTTCATTGCAAATCAATGACAAAAAAGAAAAAGAAAGTATCTGCCAAATACAGCAGAGGTTGGAGGATGAAGGTTGCATTCAAAAAAATTCAACCACAGTTTATTTTCCTCAAAAATCGCACTATATATGTTGTTAGGGTCTGTTTTACATTTAGAAACACCTAGATTGCCAGCGTTCAGCACAAGGAAAAGAAACAAACTTTGCAAGCACAAGTATGGGGAAAACTCATGGGATATATTTTTAAAAATATATATTTAAACCAATTTTGTTTAAAATGTTGTAATAGAGAATTTTGGGCAAGGGAACAAGCTGCAGCTTAAGAAAGGTAATTCGCACTCAGACCGCACAAACAAATCAAGCACCAGGAGTGGGGGGAAATAGAAGGTTAAATGTAGGTTTTTACACGGAAAAGAGGACACAGCAAGCCAAACCTGGGTGCCTGGGTTTTTAAAAGCAGTAAAGCAATGAGTGCACACAAGCCTCCTAAAGTTAAAAGGCAAGCCAGGAACCAGGCAGCCTCCACACACACAGACCCCCCCCCCGACTCCAAACCTCGTGGCTCTTCCCTGTGATGACTGTGATGACTCCTAGCTGATGACTCGCGACGAGAGGACGGAGAAGAATGAGGCCGAGGAGAGGCTGGCGCCGCCGCAAAAGGCTGCTGAACACGCCCCCTCGAAGGCACCTGGTTGGATGCCTGCCAAGGGGGCGTGGGCGCCAGCCAGGTGAGAGGAGGAGGCAGGGGGCTAATGCCCCCTGCTAGGGGCGGGGGGCGGGTCCTCGAACCACAAATATTAGTTTTGGCATTAGATCCATGCAATTATCACACACCTCTTCATGTGAGAGATCCCTATTTGAAATGAACTTTCCTGGTCATCTTAATTCTAAGCATTAAATACAATGTGAACATAAGAGGTGCCTTACACCAAGTCAGGCCATTGAACAGTAATGTTTTATGAACTGGTGGTGGCCCTCCAGGTCTCTTCGAGTCCAGCCTGCCAGGAATCAAATCTAGGATTGTCTGTATGGAAAGCATGTGTTCTACCTCTAAGCTGTGGCCCTTCTATCTGCCAGCGGAGGATACAGAGGCTCTGCTGCACGCACATTAGGATGAAGACCAAGAAAAATGTAGTGTAAAGAGATGCACATTTAAAACACATTAATGTGAATTAATGTTGGGTTGAAATAACGACAGACGAGTAGCAGGTGTCATGTGAGAGGCATCTCTCGAGCAAGCCCCGAGGAGACTCTTTTATTGAATATTACAACATTGCCACAGGTGCGCTCGTTGCTGATTGGTTAACACAAGTACAAAGCAAAGGTTACATATAGGCATTAATCACCAATAGATTAAAGGCTGGGAAAGGGAGCACAGAACTAGACAGGCATGAAACCTCCTAATTAAATTATAACTGGTGATTGATATAGCAAGACTAAAACAATTACTAATGATTGATCATAACATGAAAGAATACAACAATCATGTTCCGTAGATGTGGTCAACTATGCATTAAGAACAGGTCAGGGTACACTGTTTCATGAACTCAATGGGAACTGTTCAGAACATTCTCAGACTCATGTGCAGAGGCAAAAACTTCCCAGCAAATTAAGATGCACATTAAGTGGAGTCCCTCAAGGATTAGTATCCAGACCTGTGATTTTTAACTTGTTCATTTAGATTTAGAGCTAGGGGTTAGCACTGGGGTAGCCACATTTCCCAGAGTTACCACATCATTCACGGTGGTCGAAACAAAACAATCGCAAAGAGCTCCAAAAGGCTCTCTCCAAACTAAGTCGATAAGCAGTGGAATGACAAATGCAATGCACAGTGGGTAAACAAACAAACCCCAAATTTCACATCTATGTCCA